TTAGAGGACAAACTTCTCACGTGAACAGCTTCGAGAAGGCTTTGTTTGTAAGTATTCCGGCAAAATTCCCGTATGCTTACGAGTTCATATTCGTGCGAAGTAAACAATTACGTAGCCTAAGGTTACCTTAATTAAACAAGGCAAACAAGTTTTACAGCGCTTCCAGCAGTGGCTGAAGCCTTCCGCCGTTGGGCTATCCACACAACTGACACTGTCGATGATTAGGCCCAGCTGGACAAACGGCACTCACAACGCTATTCATAGCAATTCGTTGAATTCGACTGTTGAGTGTGGCTGCCACTCCCGAACGTTACCGAAATACATATCTTTATATACCCACGTATTTTTAGTCGACGAGGGTGAGTCACTGCCACCAGACCAGAAATAAAAAAACGTACGCCATTACAACTACGTAAAACTACGACGATCCACTGCCATGGGGGTTACGTTGTTTTGCTGTTGTCCAACTCGCTGTTTATGATTGGCAGCATAAAATATTTATGCTGAAACGGCTCAGTTCGCGACTCCCTATTACCGTTGTGTTCCCATTGTATTTGCGATCACCGCAAAATCGCTACGAGTCGCGTTGGTTAACCGCATTTGATCGGTCGAAGCGATAACAGCAGGACGGACACGGCTTTGCTATAGGCCGGTAGATATTCTAGTTTCCGTTTATGTTCAACGTGAGTGTTATCAGTCCTCTAACTCCGTTGAGACGCGACGAGCGTTTGATACTGTCCACCATACAAACGCTAATGGTAATTGTCACTGTTGTCAAGCCTCCATTTTTCGCTCCTAGTAAATTGCTGCTCGATCGATTAATTTGTGACTCACAACAGCCCCTGTTGACGCTGTCAGGATTTTCTCGTCAAGGCAATGGCTTAACTTCGTCAAATTCTATTCTCACAGTTTCTGCGGGCCGACAATTAGCTACTAGTCAGTTGGAGTAACTTGTATTTTTTCTTTCTTAATTGCTGAAAGAAATCCCAGTATCTGAGGGGCTGATTAATGTGACATTCGGCAGCTGACGTGTTTTGCTAGAACAGTTCGCATCTGCCCCTTTAGCTAGAACCCAGCTGGCCCACGCCTAGATGCCCAAGGATCAATTCTGTACAGCGAAATCTTGGAAAGCCACTGACTTTTTGAAAACTATTAGAAACTATTGGAAACTATTTTTACTAGCAAGTGCGATACGGTCGCTTGAGAGGGTTGGAGCTAAAATGAAAACGGGAAACAGGACGACAATAAGCATGCTTATGAAATTATTCCCACTGTTTGGATGTGTAGAACGTCTAGAAAAAAACACAATGTAAAAATAATATGATGTTAATTTAATTGGTAAGGTTGGCTGTGGACGAGAGTGATCCGCCAACCTGATACTTACCTCTAAATGTCGTTCAGAATTTGTCGGATCTGCCTTGCTAGCAGATTCGTATTTAGAAAACAAATCCAGAAGTAAAAACTCTCGCGGAAGTGATTTAATAACTTTAAGTGAGCCAAAAAATGGCAATCTCTGGATGGCACCCTGATTAGCGTGTTTCATACATACGTCTTGCTTGGCATCTTACGTTTACGCCCGTCACACACAGACGAAATAAGTCTCGGCGAAGAACTTGGAAGGCCAATCTAAGTTTGATTAGTTATAAACTATGCTTAGTTACTGCCAGAATGGCCTCGGTTTTAGATAAGCCAATAAGACATCAGGCTCATGAGTTGTCCGCAATACTTGCGCGAAATTTTGCTAGTAGAAGGAATATTTCCCAGAAAACGTCTGCATTGTGTTTAATATCTGTTTTTTGTTAATGATTATAAAGAAAAACAACCGTGAAACATAACGTGGCCGTTCTAAGGGACGCATCGAATACATCAAGGGGTTGTGCTACTTTCACCTTGTTGCTTTTTAGCACGTTAGATATATATATAAAACTGGTATAACTTTTATATAAATTGTCGAAAGCGAATACTGCTCTATATAGCTCCTTGTGTAATTCGCAGTCTAGCTGCGTACAGGCTCACTTCAAGAGCAGCTCGATTGGAAAAGCTATTTAAGTATTTGAGTTAAGGCCTGGGCTTACAGTTGGCGTTTCATCGTTTTCAAATATCTCGTGTGGCCAACAAATGTGAAACTCTGCAACGAAATCAGCTTTTTAATAGGTTTACGCATATGAGCAAAGCGCCCTGTGGGTCTTACCATACCAACCCGCCCAACTTCGATGCACGAATGCCGTCCAGAACCGGCCCAGGTGCTACAAGGCTATAAAGACAGAGCGGTTGAAGGTAGCTCTCGAGTAATTGGGGTTACTGTAGTAGACAGTAGCCGCTAACATTGCCAACAGCTGAAAATTATTTTTATGAAAGCAACGAGTTCATTTCATTATCTGAAGAGTTCACAATGCTCTTAAAAAACGCTAATGAAGATTTTGCGATCGGTAGCTTCCGGGGTCGAAATACATCTCTTAAGACGCAATTTTTATTACGACAAGTTTGCGTCGAAGGTATGATGATCAAATGGGAAGATAGTGGGTGTTTGTTCATAGTTAATCCTATTTCTTCCTAGTTCTCTAATGAAATAAGTGATGTGCTGCACTTAAGCGTCTCGAATAGGTATACGCCTGAATTACTAATACGTTACAAGATGCACAGTTAATTTCAAACAGGATATTGGGAAATACGAAGGAATGGTATTAGTATTACAACTAACCGCATAGAGTTTCTGCCTGGTGCAAGTTTTCCTACTTAAACTGAATCTTCTTGATGCAGGGATGCTTGGGTGAAATACTACATATCCTTCATTGGAGACTAACTCATGCTGGCAGCTTTTCTAGAATGTTTCGAACGGGATACCGCTCATATAGCAGCCAGTAGACCTATCTCTATCTAGGCCCTGTATAATATGTGCTTAATCGGTTTCAATTAAGGCTATACGTTACCGGAAGTTTATTGTTTAAACGAATTACTAGGTCTCACGGCGCTGATTTCTTCGAATGTTTCATCAGTAAAGCCGGCATAATCTAAAACCCCATATTCTCTCCGTATTCAATTAACTGGAATTTAACCAGCCGCCAAAAGCAGTGCCTGACGGTATAAGTATCAGACATTTAAAAGCTATTATCTAACAAACACTCGGTTAAGTTAGTTTTTTTAGGGCCAGTTAGTTCCTGCGCTACAACTTCCAGTGTACTACTTAAAATGACAGGTTAAAGAGATTTTTTCCTATGCCTTCGTCTGTTTTATTTGCGTATCACTATGTATTTTCACGCGGCCTGCAGCTTGCGAAGCAGACGAAAACAAAAAGGGTCTGCCGTCGAAGTTACGTATCGGTTCATTAGTAGCTCCCAGCCGGTAGTGAATGACCTATAACGAGTGGGTTTCCAAGTGCTAAATGCGCGCCGGGGTGCTGAAAGACGTAGAACCATCAACCAGTTTATCATGCCGTAATGCCTGTGTGTATATACCTGTATGGGTGTGTACAACGCAAACAGACATCACCAAAACATATAAAGGATAACTGTCTCTATGCGTTGTATATGAAGCAAGCACTCTGGCAAGGTGTTGTTGGTCCCGCCGATTGGCCAAACTGAAAACGCGTTTTTGCTAGAAGTTCCAGCAGTTCTGATGTGCACGATAACGGAGCTGACTGAGCCCTTTCAACATCAGCGGCCCCTACGGTCGTTATTCCTTCTATCCATTCAGATAGTATGGGCGGCAAGCCATATTTCTCCTCGCTCAACGGTACCATTTGCGTTTGCTCTTTTCGACTTCTTCCAACCATTTTGCTGCAACCACTGCCGCCACCATTGTCGCCTGCTCTGTTCAGGTGACGCCGCGTCGCAGGTTGACACGTTGGACATCCGCCGAACAACGTAGGCGCGCCTTGTGACAACCCGGTGGACAGCCGGCGCTTGCCGTCACAGTTCACTGCAGTGGCAGCAATAATTGTTGCTGCTGCGAACTTAGCGCCCCAGCTGCAAGTAGCCATTGGTGAAACGACCTTTGACGATGCCTTCCTATCGTTAGCAGCATACGTTGTTGCCCTTAGGGGCTCGCTAAGCGACAACTGGTAAGGGCGCAAACTTTGACGAACCACTGCACTATAGCCAAAGCTTGAAACTTTCGACTTAGCTAGCCAACCGTGACTCTAACGGTATATCACAACAGCTGCGAAAGCCAACAGGCCCCAATGCGGCAAAAGCTTCGAGGGTCACAAGTGGCCAGGACACCCGTTGCCCTATTCGATTAGTACAGATACAGCAGGGCAGGCAGGCAGGCAGGCAGGTATGCAGATCTAAATAGACTGGCTCGCTCTTGAGCCTCTGCGGGACAAGTTTCGTCATGACTTTATGGCTTCGCGATGGGATAGCTGGCTAAGGAACCATTCATCTCATAGGCGGCGCGCGAGGAGAGTTTGCCAGAGGCTAGACATCGGCGCCGTAGCCAGCAATAGTGGGCCGGCGGTAGGGCTAGTGGGCGAAACAACTTGTTATAGAGTCGGCCGGTGTCCGTTCATTCGTTCTGTACGTTGATGCTAATATGGCCGTCGCTGCAATAGGCGACCACCGCTGATCAGGTTGAGAATAGGGCGGACCGAAGAGACGCTAGCCTCCGTTAAAATACTTCGCTGGCGTTGCTGCTGCTAATTCTTTTAACTACCAAAATGTTAACTATCAAGTAACCAAATGACCCGTTGTTCATACAAGAGCGACTCATCAACAGCTTAGCACGTCTGTCGCGGCTGCCCGTATTGCCTGAAACGCCTATCAAAACCGATTCAGCACTGAAAAGGACTCCGACATCGGTCAAATACCATCTGTGGGACCGCACAAAATATACACGTACCGTCGATAATCATACAACTATTATACTGAGCACCAATAATTCATCTAGGAAGATGACTATTAGACATATTTGAAAAAACTAGGGCACACTTAGCGAAAATCAGGTCATATTTCTAAAAGACTCTGGCCGTAAATCTGCGTGCGTATGAAAAGACTACACGTAACTCGGTTTTTTTATTGTAATTTTTATAGATATAAATGGTTTATTTCTTTTTTTTTGCTTCATCATCCATCTTCGCCCGTCTTCTCCCCAACGTCACTATTCATCACATCGTCTTCGTCTTTGTCATAACCATAATTTATTTTAATTACAAAAGGCAATAACACCTATCGAGTGTATTAAGTGTCGAAATCTTGTATGTGTGTACCGCTTTTATAGGTAACCGTCTTCAAGAGGTTTAGTCACCTGAATCACCTTCAGCTACGACTAACGGGTAGGAACCCGAAAAACACCGCCAGCTGATTGTCTCTGGCTTGGCCAGCTATAAGGCGCCTATGGAAAATTTCATCACGCCAACACGTCAACTTCTCTTAATTAGTGTGCAGATAATTCATCCCACCCTATCACCTGACATACCAAAATCTGCAGCAGTTTGTCCTTCGCTCATCAGCTGTAGCCTGTATAATTAACTCTTTCTTTTCCTAGCGTTAGTTCCACTCGATCCCATCATTTCGCACCAACCTTTCAGGCCTATTTCACTTGCGCAACACTCGTATGTGTCCTACACATCATCAGTTGATATTAAATTACAATTAATAATATTGTATGTAAAGGTAATATTCCATGCTATATCGATCACACCTTTTCGTGGGTACCGTCTTTTGTTTGTTTGTTTGTTTGTTTTATATAAACCCACTTGGACGCACTATTCGCCAAGTGGATGATGCAGAGTAATCCTTGATGAGTTTTAGGCTTCAAAAGAGAAAGAAGCAACCAGGCTAAGTAATCCGTTTATTCAGTGATGACGGCCAATCGAATAAGCGGATTGTGTGGTTTTCTTAATTTTAGTTGTTGCCGTTGTTGCAGTGGTGGTAGATAGTAGGTTTGTGATTAATTAAAAGGTCGGCGTGCGAATAGGGCATGCGTTACTTAGTCCTCTTTAGCGACTTGTCCGGGAATCTTGCTTCGAACCTGGCCAAATATAGACCACACTTTGTCGAGCTGCTCGTCGATTTCGGTCTGGTATTCGAGATAAACTTTGGGCAGGGTAAAGAGGCCGATCCAGGACAAAATGACAAGGGTAAGTCCGTTGAACCAAGCACCGATGTACGTGACAAACCAAAGCACGATGATAAGCTTGGCCGACTCGATCAGGTCCTCGATGAGCAGAAGCGATCGAAACCTGCTGATGAAGTTCAGCGTATTTGAGAATAGCGATTCGCCGAATTTTCGCGCACGGTCGGTGTCGGAAAGCGCCTCCGGAAGAGGAGTATCAAGCAGCTCTTGGAACGGATGGGCTTCCTCTGTTTTGTTCACTTTCGACATGACGAGCTTGTAGACGCGGAAGCCAAACGCGCTACAAACAGCAGCCAGTAGAGAGTAGGCCAGCACCGAGATGAGTGAGAATTTTGAAATCGAAAGCAGAATGATGAAACCTAAGCCAAGGGCAAGTCCCGATTTCTGCGGGTCCCTCCAGTAGATAAGGCGCTGGCATGGGCACGACTCGCACTCAGGCTCCTGCGAGCCGAACTTCTGGTTCTTGCGGGGAGCCATTACTGTGTTTGAAGCTATGAACAACGGGCCGGTTACTGTTAACGGAACTGGTAATAGAAGTTAAATGTGTTTGATTGGTCACGCTTAGTTGGTTACTCGCTTCTCTACCTGGCGGTCTAATCAGACTCCGATAGAGACGACCGAGAGCGAACTGCAGTTACTAATGCCGTTCCTGCACATACACACACATGGACCACCGATCCCACTCCAATGAACAAGATTCACTATTGGGCCTCTGCTGCACGCTGCTGCAATTGTTCGGCGATTGTAGCGCACTCACATTTGGCGACCTATGGTACCGTCCGCACGGGCTGTACTGCCAAAGCACGTCGTCGAGTCAGTGTCTGGCTCCGTCGGGTTGGGTGGCTGGTTAGTCGCTGAAACGTGGCGCCGTCCGTTAGTTTTGACGGCTCCTGGGACGACCCAACCGGCTGCTATTGGGTCTCGTACAAAAAAGGCTCTGACCGTCGCTGTCCTGCTGCCTCACTTTGTGCCGACGGCCGTGATGTTATCCGCCCGTTGTCAGCTTCTTTCGCTGACTGCTGATGTAGCTTCCGCTACTGCTGCTGCTGCTGCTGCTGCTCCTCGCCAGCAGCAGCAGCAGCAGCGCATCTATGTGCCGCACTCACTCACCACTACAACCACAGCGGCTACAGCAGCCAGACAGCCGCCATTCAGTCGTTTGTTCGCTGCCCAGTTCGGCCGACCACTACGACGACTATGCGGCAGGGTCTATACGCTCGGTCTGCCTTCTTTTGCTGGCATTCGGCGTTGTGGTTGCCGATGCTGCTGCTGTTGTTCGCTAGACACAGCTACCAGCTGTATTACCTACGATGTCGGTTTCGTCGCGTTAAAACAGTGAGAAAGAAAGCTTTTGCTGCTGACGCCGTTGCGCCTATCCGGGAAAGCAGAGGAGAAGGAAAAAGAAAGCAGGCTTTTTCCCTTCGTAATTCTGTGTCCGTAACACAGCTCTGCCTCGAGGGCTGCTTATCGGCGCGGTGATGCTCAAGAGGGGCGATGGGATGAGACACCAGCTGGCCTAGATATCGTACAGACTACATTACTGCCTCATGTTCTGTAGCGAGTATGTATGGACCGACTAGTAAGGCTGGCGCCTGTTTTTCTAAGTCAGCAGTCAACAGGCCAAACAGCCAGACCTAGCCTGCCCCGAGTTACCGTGCCGTCACCTAATCAGCTTGGTAAAGCAGCCTCTAGCTGGCCGCTATGCTAGATCGAGCCCATTATTTGGCGTTTGTCAGAGGAGGTTACAGGAATCGCATCTGCAGAAGCAACAATACACCATCAGGGTAATGGTTGAGTCAGACTGACGACAGCCTTTGCTTTGGTCGGCTCTGCAATTAGAGAGACTTAGCGACGGTTTGTGACCAACAGTAAACCAGCGATGATCTCACAAATACAAGATATAATCTTCTTTTATTGCCAATCGCAAGATCGTGAGTGGCTTTAATGCGATTTGTTCGCTGTGAGAAAAGCCTCTATACGTGTGTTTATTGAGACCGCATTTAGCTAAGGCCTAAAATGCTATTCATACGTACTGCGTTCATCGTTGCACTCAGTAGTGTTAGCAGGAAGTATTTCTTGACATAAAACTGTATATACTTTTGCATTCACGGTCAGCCGATGTCCTTGAGAAGTAACAACCTATAAATCCGTGGTGGCGTTCTGCTAAAGATTGTAAAAAGCTGATATTAGAGGGCGTGCAGCCTCTCGGATCCTCCAAGCGGCCTTGCAACATACGAAGACGCGCTTTTCATAGAAAAACAAAAAAAAAAAAGACTTGGATCGCGAATTCGAAATACGGTGATTAGACGTGAAATTTGCGAAAGGTCAAATCGGGATCCAGGGGACACGATGTACTTTATCCAGTACTTACGACGAAACCTTTTTTTGCAGAACGTGAACGTATACTTCATGGGTACGTTGAGAGCTAACGGCAACATATCCATCTCTGCTTGTATGCAAAACTATGACGCTAATTGCGGTTAATTCACGTCAATTTGCAAGGAGATGTGTGGTGCTGTAGTTCGGGCACTAGGAACTTCTCAAAAACTTGCCCTTTTTTGGGATACTACGCTTTCACTGTGAATAACGTGACCTGTTTCGGAAGGTAAGAGGCTATCTTAGACGTAACATTGAGCACATTAGGATAGCTATCAAGCGCCCATGATGTAACGATCTGATTATATTCTGCTGCAAAAGATGTCATCTTGAAAGACATTTTCCTTAAACTTCTGCAGGCGAGAGTTTGAGCACGACACTTTCTGAACCTGCTACCAGGCCGTACTGTCTTAAAAATTCCTCAGATTTAGGATCACAAAAAGCCGATATGGCATAAAATTGCCCCACCGGTTCCAGATTCAACAGCAGAAGATGAAAGTAGGGTTTGTAAGGAGAATGTCTTCTTCTGTTCCCGGAGAAGTTTGGGAGCGGCGCTTAATATTAGTAAGGGCTGGGCAGAGACAGCGGTTAGGTAGTCCAAGAAGTAAATTTATGGAGCAAGCTGGATCATCTCATTGCCGAGGTTATAGGTAAACGCGTACGCATCCCCCGAAAGCGTCCTATGCGAGAATGTAAGCAGCCCGTGGCCAGTGTTTTTCGGAGATTTAAAATTATTTTATGAAGAGAAAAGATCACACGTATAACGCATTCCACGAAATTTGCAAGGTCGGAGGCGGTGGTGATGAAAAAAATTGTCGTTATCTTGACGACATGAGCGCCTTCTGCCCACTCGCGAGAGGTAGACACAAATATGGCACTGCTGCTTCGTACGGTTCCTAATAGGCAGATAGAGACACGCTTTTGGATAACCGAACAAATTAGTAGGTGCTGGCCAAGGTTCATCGCAAGTTATCCGCGGAGGCCTAGCAGTATAGCGCTGACGCATGCTGACACGCTGTCAAGCTAGCAATAAAGTAGCTTATTGTTAGCGACCGCTGTTGAAATCGAAAGTACGTGAAAATATACGTTTAGATCTTATGATAAACAATAGTCTATTAAGCTCCGGTCAGACAAAGTTTCTTAAAGCTGCTCCTTATGCTAGATTTGGCATGCTATAGCAGTAATCCTAATAATAAAAGGCGAGTAGGTAATCAAGCTGATCCGCAGAGGCCGACCGCATTGGCTCTACGAGCACCAGTGCTGCCGCCTGCCCCGCACCTCTTGGGCCATAACATTACAAGCAATTCGACAACGAAGCTTCCACGTTGAAGAAGATATCTACAGCGGCAAGCTCTCTATTCTCGGCGAGCGACGCCACCTAGCGACGTGCGTCGTCGACTTTAGTTAACAACATGCACTCTCATACGAACAGGCATAACACCGTGCGGACCTGACGTCGTACAAAATGTGACATGCTGATGGGCAAGATGGCAGCTGTTAATAGTCAGCATCTTGGCGCTGCCGTCGTTGTCGCTGCCGTCGTCATCATTATCATGAACGTAAATATTGGCGCCCGTAATGCCAACGCAATAACTGGACGAAGGTTGGAGGGAGCGAGGAACGGCGACGAGAGATCGTAGAAACTCAGAGAAAAACATATGAAGTTATTTTTTAACTCGATCGACTTACCCATGTTGTAGTGTGCAGAATGAATAAATGAAATAAGCCTGGAAACAGCGGAATAACGGGTAAAATGAACGCAGCAGATTCGAATGAATGCCTCAAAGCAGGCAGTAAGCTAGAAGTTTGCAAGTGACTAATCTGTATGCAATTAAAGACGCCTAGCGGCCATATGTTAGCCATCTAACATGTTTAAATACGTTCTCAATAATCGTTTGTAGAAATAATGTTTGCTAGTCAATGATTAACTCGGCGGTGAAGTTATAGCTGCCTGACGCGTTTGATGCGTTCAGAACGATATATGTGTCATCATTTTGGCAGGGATTTGAATGCAGCCTATGGCATAAACGGAGGAGAGGGATTAATATCAACTCGTTCTAACGCCCAGCGCGGGATCCATCGTTAATTATTGATCAAGCCGAAGTTTTGATGTTCAAGCCGAAGATGTGTCAATGTTAGATTTCGGGTCAGCGTATATGGAATCGGCGCAAAAACAACGAGTAGATTAAGATCAGGTCTTCTTGGACTGAAAGCATTTAATTTATCATACGCTTGTCGAAGCATAATTAAAGGCAACATTCCGACTGCTTTGAGGAATACATGTCGGCCTACTTCCTAAATTCTTAGGCATCTAAAACTATACGAAGTTCCAAGTGAAATCTACTGTCATTCATACAGTTTTTGTAAATACGAGCCTTCTGGAATTTCGGTGATACTTCAGCACGTACCCAACTGAAAGGTACTTGTGACAACACTTTTGCAGGGCTGTTTATTGATATGTTCATATTTATCTAACAAAAATATTCTAGTGGACAGTAGCACTTTGGCCGCTGTTGAGCACCGTAGACATTTTGCAGAGATCTCCGCTTGCAGCCATTAACGGTGCGCGAACATGCGGTACCACGAAAAGTACTTTTCGAATCCCTTTGTTTGAAACATCTTAGGCATCTATCTAGGCAAAGTCTGAACGCGCTGTTCTAAAATACGAGCGCAGCACGCATTATCAAACGGCGGTAACTACAAATGACTGTATGTAGCTAACAATGTACGGCATACGCCTGCCGATGACATTACGTTTGTTCAGAAGCACGCGCACATAGGGCGCCTCGAAACTGAACTACAAGAATTGACGGGTTCGTTACATAACATTATATACGAAGTGTTTAAACTCGTCTGAAGTCAGTAAAGCAATATTATATAAATTAGGTAGCATTATTAAATTATGTGATACAAGAATGTAAAAATCATATAAGTGAAAACCAAACACAGAGAAAAACACTAGTTAAATGGGTATTTTGGTGAAAAAAGGAAGGTTGGCATTATCATGGCTCACATTCAGCTAGGTTTAGAGAATGTATCAGTTCGGATCGCTGCGTGTTGAATATCAATAGAGCTACTGTTTATGCCGAACGTGTTTCATTGTGTCATCACGAAATCCGTTGAAATAGTTTATATGCTACTAACTGTTAAACATAAAACCTTCATCATAGTCAACCGTGATCGTTAACGTATATCAATCAATTATATTTTACCATTGCTAAAGCCATATGGATCAACAAGCCAGTTTAGAACCACATTTTAAGTATTAGTCGGTACCTTTAAATTGTACTATCTCTAAGTGGTAAAAGTCATAGATAACTCTCGACGTAGGTCCGTTAAATGCGACAAATGGCCACTAAATGTTAAATTCGTTTGTAACGACCCAAAAATACTCCGAAAGGTCCTCGCGAATTTTATCAATGATTTACTGGCACTTGTGACAACTCTGGTTCATTTTGCTGCCGTGCTCGGCCTCCTAAAAAGATTGGGACAAATTCGTTATTTATGCATCTATCTAAGTAACTGCGTCTATTCACGAGATTATACGGATGTATGGAGCATAGGGCGAGGGTTTCGATAAGATGACACATGTAAAATTTGCCGATGAAGGATAAATGTTTATTATCATTACCATTATCTTTGCATAGCAATATACAAAATGGATTCTAGTTTTTGACTTTGCCGATTAATGCCATTGGGGTGTTCGCGTTGCCCTATCATTGTCAGTGTTGCCTACAACCTGATAGGGGCTGTATTCTGTTTTCAAATTGCGATAAAACAATCTAAATACAGTTCTTTTGAAACCGCAATTCTTGGTCGGACCAGCAATGACGGACTCATCTCCATCACGCCGCCACTTCTATTCATCTTCGTCATTGTTCATTAGGTTGGCACAAGTATTTTGTAAAATTAATCACAGGCATCTCATGAAAACGGAAGAAAGTCCTGTCCCATAGCATGTTGTAAATAGTACATACAGGGGAGTCAAATACGTCGAAACACTAGACCACTGCTAGATTTTTATTTAGTTTGTCCTGGCTTCCGCTGTTCCCGCAAAAAATTCGTTTTTACTTCCCATTTGACCAAATGTGACACCCCTAAAAATTTTGTGAATTTTCTTAAGCACAGTAACTTTAACTATATGAAGTTCAATAGAAGAATAGGGTCTCTGATTTCAAATGCGTAATTAGCCATCCGTAATCAATCGTAATATCTCAACATGGTCTTCATTTAGATGACATACAGATGAGCGTTGGCAGATTCAAGGTTTCGGGGATAACAATTAAGCTCTCCGTCCGCCATGCTGATTCTGGTGAGAAAAGCACCGAACACATAAAACCTGATCAGTCCTATTGACGATGGTCAGCATCACCGTCGTCATCAATCTGATCACACCATGTTTTTAGAATAAGCTTAGTCCTCCTATATACGTATTGGCATGTTAATTCGGTTGGGTCCGTGCTGTCCGTTGCAATTGATCTTGGAATTAGTGAGATGAGACCTCGTGTGAATACTAATTTGAAGGCATTCGTCGTATGTTTGAATTTTTTTGTCGTTTAGAAAATCCCTTGCTTCTCGTCCACGTATAGCAGTAGTCCATTCATATGATGGGAACAAATATATAAACTTTTTGAAATTTCGCACTATCGTTCGGAGCGTTCTTTCTTAAAGGCTCCGATAGTTTAGGACACCTTTTATCCCTTTTCAGTATTTTCCATCAGGTAGTTTGCCCTCGCCGACCCCCGAGAAAAGTTCCATCAGTGCCAAGAGTTGGCGGCACCTTATTGCTTGTCAATGACTACGATTGCAAGTGCGACAGTGACAAACAAACTGTACAGAGACTATGTTTTATAGTTCCATTTTTATTGCCTTGTGGTAACTGTAAACATAATTAATCCCCTTTTTTAGCAATGTTTACTCGTTCATCCACAAAAACAGCATTCTATATCCTGTAGATATTTATCCAAAGTATGCGTTTTGGACCTTGTCAACAATGCTAGAGTCGGTGTATATTATTTCTAATCATTAACAACAATGATAATATCTAGCGTAACAGTACAGTTATATACTAATAATTATAATATACTCATGTGTTTACTGCTAGTGGCTTCTTTTCATCATATCTGTGCTTGTGTGTGTCCAACCACTTGTTAATACCTTCATCTGTTTTTCATTGTTTTACACTCTCGATCATAATAGTTTTTCGCTTACCTGCTCTCTCTTTTTAGTTTTTTTTTGGCAGAAAAACATATGGAAGAGGTCCGCGCAAACAAAACGCAGTTAACGTTTTTAAAGGACAAACAGCTTAATGCTCTCTCTCTCTCTCTCGCTCGCTCTCTCTCTCTCTCTTGCGTCATTCGTATGAGGCTTCTTGTAGAACTAGTACTAATATCATAGCCGATATATATATATATATATAGTACTAATAATTATTACCACTATGATCTCTATGATCGTTGTCATAGTTTTCCTGCTTTATTCCCCAACCTATCGGCCTTAGTTATTTATCATTGCCCGCAACAGAAAGCTTCCTTATACAACGACAAACGTTAATGAATATTCTGCCTCTACTCTGTTTCTTCCACCTCTTCTCGACTTGCATTTTTCAAACTTGTGTTCTTTTTCTTTATATATATATATATATATATATGTCCCTCTACAGAGAATATCTAGTACTCCAATGTTGTCTGAAGTAAATACAGTAGCTTTGTATCAGTCTGTCGTGATTTTCTGAAATCTCCGTTCGTATGTACCCGAAGGATGGCACGATCCTATTCATAGTCCCATGTTAGCCTTACAATTGATTTCACCTGTGTTACATTTCGTCAACTCGATAGTTGTATGCATGCATGCCTGTCTAATTGTCGAATACGTGTCTATATGTAATATATATATGTATATATGCGCACTATATGATCTTTTTCGCGTTTTTAGCGGTTTGGTACCTCGTGTCACCACAAATAAGCTAAGTCGACAACGATCTACCGTGTTCATCATATGCGTTCGTTGTTTCGCTCTGGCCTTTTTACATGCACTTTGCTAAATCGAAGAACGGTATTACGAAAAAGTATTATTTATTTATGTTATTGCAATGTTTACGTTTGTGTCTATAACACTGCGCTGGTCTATGGACAGTCGAAAACAACTGGCCGGATATCTTTTTGGTAACGTTTGTTTTTAAACAATTTACGTTATGTCTAACTGTCCCGTCTAACAGAAGGTCTGTCTAGAAGGTCCCGGCTAACGAAAAAGCATTGCCGAATGCTTTTACTCGTACATTTTCGTCTATTATTTTCGTTGAAGAATCTAAAATTTAGGTTACATATTATCGATATCAAGCGGCTGGTTGACTCCGCTGTTATCGTTTCAGTGATATTGAATTAACGTAGTCGATCTCTATCGAACGTGCACCCCAATACTCTACCTCTGAGTGCATCGAACCTCTTCTTACGTGCGCGTTTTACGTTCGCTGATAGCTGACGCTCTGTCCGTGAAGCGTGCTACGTGGCCAGGTATTTGTTCTCTCGGCTGTTAATAATGAACCACTCGTATCATTAGTAATTGTTGTTTCAATGTTGCGTTCAGCTCCCATTCATATTCATAGCCATATTGTTAGTGACCTTGTCATGTATCAATCATATTAACGCGGCCTATTTGTTGCTGAATGTAGATATGAGCATATATGTGTGTGACATAATTTTTATGTATTTTCCACTTCTGTTACATTTAGTCGGCTTTTGTTGCTTTGCCAATGTATTTGTATTTTCTTTTACGCTTATAGTACTGTTTCCTTGTAATGTTTAATGCTTTGTTGTTTGTCGTTTTGCTACGCTATCGTTGATCCGTGCGATGGCCCTGCCTGGTTGTTTTCACTGGCTTCGTATTGCGCCACGACCCAGCACGTTAGTCATCACGCTAATGTTGGACTAATTTTTCCTTTATTGCCACTTTTCCAGATTTGTTAAAATCCATAAAACCCAAATCGAGTTCGGTACGTTGTCAGCGAAGCGTTAGCCCCCCTTCTGTACGGTGAATGGGGCGAATGAGCGGCATTGCTACTGTTAGTTCCCCTTAAACTACCCAAGATCGTAATAAAATCTTATCAAATAAAAGACAATCTGTATTGCGAACGCGGCGGAGCGAACAGCTAGATCCTGGCCGAACGAGCCAGGGTCATCACTTTAGCCTGACTATCGGTATACACTATATACCGTGTGTCGTAAAATTTCCGATTCAATAAATTGAGTCGTATATGCGTCAAGCATAGCTGGTAAATAAAGTAACAATCGGAGATCAGTTAAGAACCGAGGCTTGAAGCGTACGCCCCACCCGTAGCGTTCCCTCTGTGTAAATTTCGACCTTTCGTTTCGTCGTTGATCGCTACGTATCATCCTTGCTGTTCTCATTTTTGAAGAACGGGTGCCCGTAGTGTATTTGTAGCGGTAACCAGATTTGTCCGAAATTTCCATGTCCATTCACTTGGTCGCTTTGGATGATACAACAAATAATTTATGGCGAAATACTATGGACTTTTCATTGGACAGGAGCAATATAGAAATCAGCAGATTGATGTTTTTATCAGTCTTTATTTAAAGCTTGAAAATACTCGAGAAAAGATACAATGATTGTAAACGAAATAGATGTGTACATATTTGAATTGGCATTGTTCTCTGTTCGCATAACTCCTTTGGTGAAGTTGGACGAAGAAATCGAAGGTGAAGACATAACAAACGACTAAAGAGAAATAGGCGCCACTAACGTTATTATCAGCGTCGGAATAATTAGGTAATTATAAGATAGTAATTAGATATTCTAAATTAATATCAATCAAGCAAAGCAATAATTTTTCAGCGGCAATAATGATCATAATATTGTATTTGGTCTTTCTCTTCATCGTTTGTCTTCGATCAATTTCCAAATGAGCTTGTTCTTCGATTTCATCATCATTATTATTTCGTCACGCTATGGCGGAAGTCAGTTCAATTAATACTGGTCATCACTATGACTATGAATAGAGGGTAATACTTAGGAAGCTTGCGGCTTTCATTTGAACCGACGACTCAGGCCAGCCGAACCAAATACGCCATTTGCACGCGCTTTCGGCACCCAGACGCACAGCCGATAACGACATGTCAGCGTCTCTGGAGCCGCGTATAGATACACCTTAACATTATCCACTCTCAACCCTCGAAAAACTGAAAGAGTAACAGCAGACCGAACAAAAAATACCGGCTGAGATACCGCGACATCACGTCAGTGTTGCCGATTCGACACATGAAATCTTCACGTAACTGTTACATCAATAGCGTTAACTCTGGTCTTCGGCCTCGTTGGCTTTCCGCTTTTACCTTCTGTCATATTCGCATCAAACGCCATGCTTTACATTATGGACATTCCGTTATCAAACCTTACGCCGCTTTAAACTAGAGCGCTCTGATAAACTAGATAACGCCAAACGTGTCATCCAGTCGGCTGATTAAGACCGCCTAATGTAATTTCAGACTATTTAATTAATTCAGTATAGGAAATGAACGACGAACAAATCCAGATCATCACACTGACATTTGACGGGAGTTGTATGTTTCTCACAATCGCAATGATCGACCTACGTATCGTATAGCAACACCATCTGCTCGGATTTATCTTCTCATTCTTACAAGCATTTGTGTAGCGTTCTCTCTCTCTCTCTCCCTCTCTCTCTCTTCATTCTTCTATATCTCTCTTATTTAGTTTTCTAGGTAAAACAACAACGTTTTGGCGACCCCTTTTGTCTTACACACGAGCACATTCAAGTACTCTATTATTATCACTATCATCACCATCATAGATATAGTTATCATTATTATTCGTTATATTATCATCATCATCATCGTTATCATAAGGGGGGTGGACATCCGCTTCCCACACTCCCAGGCTCATCTTTGTACTTTCTTCAGAATTCTCGTCCGAGGACACTGAGTGCCAGTGGCGTCAAAAATAGGTTTTTGATTGATCCAGAAGACCTTGTCTTTCTGCAACCTACCAGTAGTAGTGGTAGTTGTCAGACTTGAGTCAATCCCTCTGTCTGTATGCTTGATTGAAGCAATGGCGGAAAACGAATCACGGTTTGAAATGAGGGAACCCTTGGCACCAGCGAACATAACATATATGTAATGTATCTAGCGTTGGAGATGATGGTTTTATCGGATTTTTCAATAGTATGCGACGGGTATGTTATGCAGAGCTGTCACGTATGTGGAAACGAGCAGTTTTTACCAACTGGTCAGTTGATCGTTTCGAGAGTGACGTTTGTTAGATGATTTACACAATGCAAGGTCCTATGTACGTCTTATATATAGCGACTACATTACGTTGTTCATGGTAAATCGTTACTAAACATAGAGGAATGCAGGCCGTTACGGGAAATGCTCCGTGCGTGAAAACTGCACACTCGCTAAAACGTGGTATCCTCTACAATTGTTTCTCTTCATAGCGTCATTTGAATGATATGCGCCCGTCAGCTGTATGTCATGGGAAATAGACAATGTCAAAGTGATCCTGTTAATCTTATTCTCTTTATTTACTGTGAACATGCTGTTTGTTTTCCAACATTGGTTCTGGCAATTTTTAAAGGTCCTCGGACGAGGAATGATTTTGTAAGTTAAGCAAGATGACCCAGTACGTAGGCCACAACCTTATCGCATTTATATATTTCTACAGCTCCTCCGGTTACCCTGCCCCCCGAACATAAATCGTCTTCGGTGCCCAAACATATGTTACTGTATATAGATATATATACCCTTGTGTTTCGCTTTGTACTGCCGCCTATAGCGGCAGAACCCACCTATTTTCGCCACATATGTCTGCTTTATTCTCGTTTCCTTTTCTTTTAAATCTGTCATCTCGGATGGGGTAACAACGAAGTTAACTCGAACATCTTTGTTGCTCCCAGAATGCTCTAAATAACGTCGTACTGTCATATCATCATAGTTATCATCATTGATTATTTATACAGTTCGTGTTTATGACGATTTTTTCCTTCCTTCCTTCTTTGTTTGCTTGTACACTCCTTCTGGTCCAATGCCGCTAAACATCGTTTCGAGTATTCGTAATAAGAATGGCAATAATAGTCATAAATTAGCATGTCTATATTATTGGTACATGTCATAAAGTCTTGTTTTTGATATACACATAGTTTTTTCTGCTTACTCCGGTGTTTATACTCGACACAACTCTCATCTTAAATTATCGCCACACAGCCTTTCGCTGTTATATATAATAGTTGTCATTATAGTAATGATAAATCATAAAATAATAATGCTTTCAAAAATAAACTTGTAGTAGTATCCGTCCTGCAAGATTGCTTTGCGGAGGGACCAACCCTGGAAATGTCCGAAGGCGGCCTCAGTGGAGGACAGCGAGGCAAAGCAGGCCTATCGTGGCCACCACGTCGTTTCCTTCATTAGTTGTGAGAGCCGTAGCTGCTTTCTTTCTCTGTACCATACATACTTCTTTTTCCTGTTGACTATCAGTATCTGTCCGCTGCTTGCTTTCTTCGCGTAATAGGAGCAACGAAACAACGTCGAATTGAAGAAAGATCGGCAGCGTAATTTCTCCGTTCATACGGTACGAATATACGGTCAGGAAAATACGAACAATCGTTGTAACAGTGGAAGATGATTCATTTTCCTTGTCATCCTTTCTTCTATCTTTTCCTCTACGGAGAGACATGTGCTACGTCATCATTACTGGAAATGCGGTAAACTCTCACACGCGACGGATCCTTCTATTTCTCTAGTAAACACCCAGTCAAGTAGCATATTGTTGTAGAACACGTATACCAGCGATGAATGTCGGTTTTTTTTTTTGCAGTAGTTATAGTAAATAGACGCCGTGTGTTTCTGACTGTGCCACATCCCATTGCTCAGCATTCTTCTCCTCTTTTTTTGTTTTTACTGCTTGAGCAGGTCCTGATAAAGATCGCATTGCAAAAAACGTATATAGGCATCCTGCTCCATCAGACCTTGGACCCGCCGCTGCGCCTGGTCGAACATATGTATATCCACATTGTCGAGATTTTCCTGTAATACAGACAACACGAACAGTAACGCACGCCATGCACGCAGGCCCGCAGGTCGACCCAGCAAATGCAGGCAGACGGCCCGAGAAACGGTTTCAAGCATCCACCGAAAGTTCAAACAGGATCGTACGCACGAACCGAAGTGTGCGCGAACGGCGTCCAGCGTGCGAACAACGAACCAAGCAAGCACTTTGTCGTTAGGTGTAGCGGTTACTCGTAGTCACACCAGCGGCCGCATAGATCCCACCACTCAATGTGAGTGGCTGTCTAAAGGATACTTTAGGAATTGACTGCTCGTTCTTAAGGTGCAGTAGTTCTCTTTCGTCGGGAACTGGTTGAACATTGGGGTAGCTAGCTTCGAGGAGAGCGAAGGAGCCTGAAGCGCGGCCTGAACTCAACGAGAAAGGGTAAGCCGGGGGAACAGGAATCCCTAGAGGACGAGGACAAGCTAAGCCTTCCTTAACCACTACATCTAGTCATGGTACGTACAATTTCTACAACTGCAATTATCATTACTTTTCGAACAGTACTATGGTAGCAGGCGGACGTATAGTACAATGTATTTCTTAATTAACTTGTGTTTCAGCTTCACGGATGCCGATTCTTTAATCAGTTGAAAAATACTTTAGAAGAAAAAGCTAATTAATTTCCTGCAGACAGCCAACGCGACAATCTGCATCGCTTCAAGATTAGATCTAACTGGTGTCTTAAACGTATTCTAGGTGTACAAACTAAATGCCTTATCGTGCCTCCTTCTGGAGAAATCCATTTGTTTTAGGAGTAGTCACTGTACTATCTAGTGCAGAGGCCTACACAAGAGTTTAGATGTACGTAAACATATTCATCGTTCCTTATAGAAACTTAATGTAATCATCAAACTGTGTCTCTGTTTTTCAATACGATTGGTAAATTCTTATAGTTTCGGTGTGACCAGGCTTCAAGAGATATTATGCTACTAATAAAAGCAAAGTTTCAGGCAAAACTAAACTCATTCACTTCACGGCTCTCAACCATGTTCTAGGGCGATAGGCAGATGTCTGGTTTTGATGCCACGACCCGGCTATTCCTCGCTCTCTTTTCATGCCCCAAGGACACAGGAGACTGACTGAAGAAACTTAGGGGTACCCAACATAGTCGAATGGCAACGTGTCTGCAGTATACTAAAATCGCAGTAAGTTGAGTTGGCCTGGGTTCAAAAGCTTTCGTTATGGAGGCCAGTCGTCTGAAGCAATGCTCAACGGCAATCTCAAACGTAAAGTTCAAAACCAGCTCTGGAAAAGTTAAGGAGTTTTTATGTAAACCGACAGATCGTGCCATCGAATCAGCAAGTGCAGTCTGTCGGACAGCGCGTCTCAGCAACGCGTCGCTTGCTAATACTGTGTAGCATCAATGTTCACATGTATTACCCAAGTTATTAATACCAGGGAAGTCCACTTATAGTATGATTAAAATTTTTCGGGCACAAGCACATAAGGCACAACGCTTTTTCGATAAATGTCAGCTATCAGCTACAGCTGCTTGGAACTACAATTAGCTGGATTGCTATTGGCTGGTACATTGTCCAGCGCGGTTGGCCGTAAGCAAAAGGTCCTATACGTCTAGCTATATTACCTGTATAGCGTTACGCGTGGAAGCCTCGAGGTTGACCTCCTTCGGTGACTGCACGGCAACAAAGTCCTCGAATATCTTGCGCGCCTTCGACTGGAGCTTGTGTGGTCGGGTCGACATCTTCTTGAAATCTTCGATTGCAAGCCAGAAGTCAATATTCTCTTCGCTGAATTCACGCGATAAGAACGCACGGAATAGCGCCAGTCCATCTGTCGTGTCGATGTAAAGGTTACACGCACATATACACGGAAAACAATTACGAACACATAAGAAAGTGACAGACGACCATGAATGTGGTTACAAGGCGTGAATTGCAAATAAAATCTGGCCAGCGATGGCGGTAAATATCTAAGTATATAAGGCCTAACAAATCATTGAAAACAATAGCAAAGCACTGAAACGAAGCACACGACAATAATGAAGTGACTAGTATTTCTATTGATTAACTAGAAAGGTTACTATCGTGTCACTATTTACAATAAAAGCAGAAATGGAGGATTCCCGTCAAGGGAAAAAGCCCCGGTGTACATCGAACGCTTTTCGAATGGGTCCCAACCGCGCAGCCATACTCCGGGAAAGATTTAGTCAAATAAATCGAGGAGACTCTAAATAGACAAATAATGCCGAATTAGCCGCTACCTCTACTTACATTTGGAATTAGTTAGTTCTACAAAGGACTGTGCCCATTTCTGTGCCTCTTCGGGAGGCGGTCGGATCGACGTGTCTGTGTTCCTACGCCGCAAAAATCCCAAACGCAGTCGTACGTCTTGAGCCCTGTAATAGTAACATCGATAGTAGCATTATATTTTGTGGTTGTGGCGAGTAAATATCGTTGTCTGAACTCATAGGAGCCTATGCAATGCAAACGCAGTAGTGATGGCTATGGTTTCTTGTCGCCACCTTGAAGGCGATAAAGCGGATTCTGCGAGCCTGTTTAGTGGTTTAGAGGATAGGATAGTAACCAAGAAGGCTCCATGTTTCTGCTGCCCACATGCTGCTTGGCCGCAGCAACGATCGCAAACGGTTCTCATGCAAGCTTCGATAATGCGCCCAGAAGAAGCCGCCGAGACCACCAAATAGTGAGCATTTCTAACAAATTAAGCTGCTAACGTTGTGTTCGTCGAAGAGTGGATATTAGCTTAAAATGAATACATTTATATTTTTCGTTTGACTTCAGATAGTGACACTTATACGCGTGGTAGCAAACACCAAGGCAATCAATCAACCCAGTTTTCAGAAAGCTGACCCTCGGACCAAGATGGACAAATTTGATTGATCTTATAAAATACGGTGGGAACGTAGGGGTAGACATGGGATAAAGGTTTGCGATTGGGTTGGTGCCCTAACGGAGAAAGGAACTCGGGCCTAGAAATCTGAAGCAGAAGTAGTTTCCTCGAAGCGCTCCTTGCTTTGCTCGTCACAGTAAATACACATAGCGAGCTCCCTTACGGCGCAAGCCCAACAGTAACTGAATCGTCTGAGTAATCGCACAAAGATAACGCGACTCACATAACGAACGGTAAATCCATCGATTCGACGCAGCTAAGTGAAATGTGTGCTGAACTTGTGGTTTTACGCGCTTAGTTCGTAGAGAAACTGATAGACGGACTCCAATGTTTTGTTTTATGACCCATTCCGCATTCTCCTTAGATTGTTAGCGAACTACTGCAAGGTTCTAGATTCCTAAAGTTTTGTACGTATTCCTTAGTGAACGGTTTGGGAATGATGCATAGGCCGCCTGACCTCACTGGCTCGCGGCTTAGCGGCGAGCGAAGAAAATACGCTGATTTATTTCTGTTCAGAAACGCATCGCGCCATAGCGTATCAACGCGAACAACTCGGCAATTACACGGGGAAAACGTGTAGCGAACTCGTCTCGACGATGATACGACTGTGGAATACGGAATAGCAACTATTGCCAGAGTTGGCATCGTAATAGTAATAATAGGCCGTAACAAGGTAGAAGTGTTGGGTTGTTGTGTGACGGTGATCAGATTTGATACGGTCTGTTTCATTTATTCAGCTGATCGTTCAGTGTGAGAGGGAGAGAGTAGCAGGCTGAACAAGTTGCCGAGGGCATTTTTTTTCCGATCTTGCATTGCTAGGATCTATCTAGCCTTTTTGTTTCTTGGTTTCAACAGTTCGATTCTTTTGGAACTTTGTGCTTCTTATGTGGCAGGTGCCTGTTTAATGTTCCGGCGTGTTCTTCGTTCATACCGTCCACTATAGACATACACGGGTAGATACGAGATACGTGAGTGGCGCATGAGACCTATATTGCTTAGTTCAAATATACGTGTATGTATATATATATATATATATATATATAGTATACGGTACGGAAGATGTGTACGGAATGGATGCACACGAAGGGATGTCAACATTGCGGCCTTTCGGCCTAGTGCATTATCCTACTCTAAGGGCTCACACCTTTCTGCAAATTTCGGCGAGTCGAAAGATACGCTCAAGCTACGCTGTCTCAGCTTTCCCAACGGGTCTGGTGGCAGCTGTTGGTCATCCTTTGAACCAAGACCTTCAGCCTTCTTGAGACTGTTTCGCCGCCAACTGAACATCTTCCTCACCTGGTCTTTGGAACTACACTATCCTCGTGCTGTGGCTGATGCTGCTGCTGATGCCCTGACTGGTATATTGTTTGTCGTGTGTTGGTGGCATTGTATTTTTTTCCTTTTAGTTATTCCTTCGCTTTTGATTTTCTCACGCACAGACACACGTCCACATATACATACACACAAACAGGGGCAGACGGAAAGCCAAGCTGGCTGATGTGACGGTTTGTGTCTCTTCCCGTCGAATTCTGTATTTTTGTTGCCGCCTTTGTAACGGACTGTAGCGTTGACGCGCTGTTACTGCGCCGTTATTACTTGTACCGCTAGGGTTCAGTAGAGCGTCCTGAGTACAGCTCTGTAATATTTCCTGGATGATGTCTTTTTGGTTGTACCCGCTGCTGCTGTCGTATTGGTAAAGTGGACGAGCGACAGGAGCGTTGGTATGTTACTGTCATAATTACGACTACTGAGTTAATTAAACAGTTACGACAAGGTAAACGTTGGTGCTGCGTTTAAGTGAATTTCTGCTGGTGCTGTTGGTGACACCGCTGGACGTGGTTGCTACCTATCGAAACGGAGCCTCATTCAACTCTAACCGGCACAGCTGACGCTTACTGATTGGCCGCTAGTATCGATGCTGCGTCGCTGAGTACGCATATGGTCATGCCGATCAGTATCGATGTAATTAGACCAGCTGTTATTACCTTGTTTGCGGTATGCTAGCCTGTCACTGTAGTTTGTTACTGGGCAACTCCCGGGAGACTGTGGAAGGTGACCGAGAGTCTGCGACCATAATCGACCTGGGTTCGGCTGGTCTGTTTGAAGCAGCGTTGGCGCACCAATAGAACTAGCACCTATTCGTCGCCGACTAGTTGCTAAGCCAGCCGTTAGCAGCTGCATCAACCGGTGGCTAGATTTCTTATGTACAGTCTGATGTTTGCCTGTATGAATATTTGGCTTCCTAGAGACTCAAAGGAAAGATCCGGCACGTTGGAGGCCCCTGGCAATCTGATTCGATCTGGTTGATTTGCGTTGCGTTTGGCTTGACAAAACTAAGAGATTAACTAGTCTAAACTGCATTAGTATATGTGAGAAAAGTGGTGACAAGCTATGGGGTTGAGTTTGCATGGCGGCCATAGCTTCTTTTGTTCCTTCTTGGGGTGTAATGGAAATAGCAATAGAAGATGAAGCAACTGTTCTCATTGTCATGTCGAATTGCTTCTGCAGAAATCGCGACGGAACAGCGCTTGTAATTACGTTGGAGGTGCGTGAACGAGGCGATCGTGAGGTTATATCATATTGTCGTAGGCGAGCGAAGAAGAAGAACCGCTGCCGACGGTAGGGCCGCGGCGACAATCCTAAGTGTCACGGTCTCAGCGGTAACTACTTCTCCTGCACTAGCTGTTGTATTTGTGGCTGCTGCTACTCCTACCGCAGCGGTGGTATCGTTCGTGCTGACTATGGCGATTAGGACATGTGTGTACGACGTCAGCTTCACACACCTCGTCATCCGTTCTGATCCAATGGGCTGTAACTAACATTACTCTTGCTTCTGCTATTTCGGCTCCAGCTCCTGTCCATCGTTTCTGCCGCCGTGACACTTCCTGTCTCATCACTCTTTCTCTCTCTGTTGCTGCCTAAATCAGGCCGAGTCGTCGATGCCCCGCCGGCTACTGCTATTACCATTCGTACGGCCATTTTATTGGAGCACTGTGGTGGCATAGCGTGACTTGCCGTGCTATGACAACGTATCGTTGTTTCTGTACTTGCAAACGCTAGTGATGTCAACGTTGTACTATTTGTCGTTGTCATGCACATCCGTGTGTCGTCATCGTCGTTTAATTTTAGTTTTGACTGCTGAACGTTATGAAGAAACGAAGAATTTATGCTGTGGTTGTTGTCCTGCAAGTCGACCCTATCGTCGTCCTGTTGAATCGGTACTCGTCAGGACACTGGCTCGCTTTACTTGGGATCTGGTCCATCGTGCTCTCATCATACTCTGCGATTCTGCTCTGGGAGAAAGAAGGGCCTTGCACATTCCCGGCCTGCCCACTCTCAATAATTACGAGGCGAATGACCACGATGGCGAGAAGAGCACAACATCAGCACCACCAGCTGCTCTGTTCTGTTGATCTGCGCCGCTGCTGTGGCGTACTAAGCTAGAACCTGCTGCGTGGAGTATGAGGAATCGAAGACTCTTGTAGCCATCGCGGCTATTGCCACTGCCACTTCTGTTGCAGCTGTACTTGATCGGACCCTTTGCGTCGTCGTTTTTGAAAATTCTTGCTGTTGCTGCTCCAGAAGACATCAGCGATAAAAGGATTCGATGATGGCTAGGAACAAAAAAGGACGGCCTTAACAGACTTCCCGCCTGGCAGGCCAGTTTGCTAACTGGTTTATCTGATTCACCTCATCATCTATGGCGAAGCCGGTTTTCTGGTCATGCGAGAGCCGCCCCTTGCGGCAGCTCGGACTTAGTTAGGGGCTCGCCCTAGAGTACTTTGCTTCGTTTTGAAAGCAGCTTGTAGTAACAGCGGTGGCAGGAACTTACAGCTTGGAACTTTGGTAGCTTGGTGACTGAACGCCTGCTTGCCTTGTTTGCCTGCCTATTTTGCTGTGTTGCCTCGCCGACTGGCTGTTTTCCCGTCTAAGTTAAATGATCGGTTAGCAGACCCGCTGCCGCAAGCGAAGGGCCGCTGCGTGATGGAGTCCAGAAATAGGTCACTCGACCTTATCATGAACTATATTTCCTTGGCCATAGCTGGCCATATTGGCCAACGAGTGGCTGCCCCCAGACAAGAACCGATCCGACCGACCGACCGACCGACCGACCGAGGGGGCTTTTACTGTCGCCGCTGCCGTAAACGAAGCAGGAGGTAGTAGCGATGATGACGACGGCAGCGGTAGAAATAGCGAAGGAGGGAGCAGTGCCGGGGGCCGGCATTACAAACACAAGCGGCACCGGTGAGGATGAGGGACATATACTACGAGAGCGGTATAAAGAGGGTGCGAGTTGAGAAGGAGGATAACGTTTGGGAAAGGAAGGGGACGAGAAGCGGCCCAATAGAAGACGATTGAGGCGAACGACGAGAATAGACCGAGAGTAAATGGAGCGTTAACTCATTCAGGCGCGGTGGAAAATTACAAGAAAAAGAAGAAGACGACGTCGTTGCTGCTGCGACTGCTTCTGTTGGGACTCAGGAAGTAGCGAACACCAAAGCGGGCAGTGAAGGAGCGAGTACACGAACGAATAGCGACGGTAGAGGACTCCGGCAGAGTCGCACAGGATCGTCGGAGCGACGCGCTAGAGAGGCAAGTGACACTCGTTTGGGTGACAGGTTGCGCTAGTGGCCACGGAAGCTGTCGATGAGTGTTGACTATCTTTCGAGTCGGGGACGTACTGATCGAGTGACTTCAGAATTCCACGCTAGTCAACGATGGCTAGCTTACGCATTGTACAGGTTATAGTTATCGTCCATTGTAGAAAACTGCCTTGTTAGGTTGGCTGAACCGTGAGATGGCGGTCGTTTGCTTCGTGTAACCCCTGTTTAATCGAGTTCCTTCGGGTGGCTATCGAGGTCGTTTAGCTGACGTTTTAATCAGATGCCGAAAGTTAGTTGTTATTCCGAAAAGCGCATAGATGATAGATGGGTATATGCAGGAGCACAAGAGCGCGCTGTTTCACTCCGAGTAGGTGCGCCACAAGTGGACTTACCTTCCCGATACGATACAGTAAATCACCGCTATAGTGGAAGAGCAACAGAAGACACCCAACGTTGAATAGCACGTACCATAACAACACGACGAAGCCATGTTAGATTACGCATTGTGACGATGAGGGATTTGAATGTAGAGAATCAGATGACATACGCTTACACGGACCCAGTTAATTAAAAGGGCAGTATGCTTGTAGTAGTATGTGGAATGAATAGCTGGAGCAGTCGTAGCTTAAATGGTGAGCTGCAAAAACAGTAGTACACGTTATAGTAGAAGCTATTCGTCGTCGTCGTCGTTATCGCCGTCGTTTTTCTCATCGTTCAAGTTGTTAAATCGAATCAAAACGTAATTCCGGCTGTGGAATGGCACCATCAAAGTCAGGATTGACCGGGTTAGGGCTTAAGGATACAGGAGAACTGTGAAAAGTATGGCATGGTTATTTCTAAAGGATGCGGGTTGACAATGACGACGAACATCAGATAGGATAATGAGTGGGTGGCTCGGGTTTAGGTAGGAGCAGACACGAAAGTTCGGGGAAACAAGAGCAGAATTAACGTATAGAACAGTGATGGCATGAGCCGCTGCTGCAGCTACTGCGACTACTAATAATAATAATGGGACGAATACGATCTGGAAGCTACTCGGCTGGAAACTCTTCTACTTAGTTTCAAAATGGATACGACCTGTCTGTCTGTCTTGCTTATATGTTCGTTTGTCTGCTTACGAGTGTCCGTACGGGGCACTAGCAACGGCGGCGGCGGCGGCGGCGGCGGCAGCAGCGGAGGCAACGGGCTAGACGCTCGCGTAAAATGGGGAGACGTTCAGCCAACCGTTGCGGCTGTAGGTGAACCCCGAGGATCATTAGGAACACGAAACGTGCAATAGTTCGTGTGGCAAAATTCTAGTGCAACACCTTCTGCTGACCAAACGCAAGCACAAGTGGCTTGCTTCTGCGACTTGCTTGCAACTGGCAGCCTCTGCGTCGTGTTGCCTATCACCTTATGACGCGCTGGCAAACGGCGGCAGATGCCACATTAATTAAGCAAATTAAACGGGGGAACGAGTAGCAAAAGACACATGCATGTACATACACAGGCACGCAAATGGATGGGCAGACGGACAAATGGGCAGAAAGACAAATATACGCACGCGCGCACGTACGTACGCTTACGAGCAACAAACAATAAATCGGCTGATAGGGGTGGGTGTGAGAAATGCTGGAGTTGATCAGTGCTTCGCTGTTCCGGGAACGGGGATCGGAGGAGGAGGCGATTTGCGCGCTGCTATTTCGAAGTTATCATTAAGAAGAAGGGACGGAACTGGGTGATGGGGAACTGCGCCTTCCAACAAATGAACTGGACTGAATGGGGCAAGTTAGAGTAAAATGCCCTGTCGCACTCGGTGGGGTACTTACAGCGTTTTCTTCCTAGGCTCATCGCATGCGATATCGGCACTTTTTGTCTTCGACACGGGCTGAAAAGAAGAGTAATGAGCACAGGTGTTCCGTGATGGCGGTCGGTTGTAGCCGGTCTTATTTCGCTATCTTTCTTTCCTTTTCCTAGTTCAAGGTATATTAATACAGCAGTTGGTTTTTCTCAGCTACTACAGTTCCAATAGTTATATATATTGTTGTTATTTTTGTTGTCTCTGCTGTTGCTGCTGCCGTCTTTATTGCTAAGTCACACACCACCGTGACAGATTCTGATGCCGCTCTTTGTATTTTACTTTCGACAGTGTTCAAACGTCTATTGAAAGTATCAGAGAAAGAACCAATCGGACTGAACTTTAATTGCCACTGTTATTGCTGCGGAAATTTCGGTTGCAGCGGATACTGATGCCGCTGCAAGCGTTGCTATTCCAGTTTCGTCCTGTGCCAGTATTGATGCAAAGTCAAAATAGACGCTCATAGGTTAATTTGTTTGTTCGGCTGGCTTCGACTGTTCGTTGCTTCGTCTGAACACCTTCTAGCGATTCAGCGAGAGCTCTGTGCATTCGTACCTGCTATTGTTTGGCCCTCGGGACGCTCAGTTAACTGGCTCCGCTACATTCGAACAAACAGCAGCAACAGCATTTGCTGTGATTTTGTTAGTAGCCACTGCTTGGTTGGCCGCTTTACTAGAGATAACGCTTGTACAGCATCAGTGAACGCGTTTGGTCTAGCTTGACTTAACGCAGCCCGGTTTCGTTTAGTCGTAATGTTCAACTCACTGAGAGTCCCTAGGTTGACGAATGAACAAAACTACCACAGCAGCTACTGCTACTGTTATCGCTTCTGTTATCTGCACGGTGTTGTATTATATGACGGTGGCGGCTGGTGCTGAACTACGGGACGATGGCAATGGCAGTGGCAAGGCGACGCATCAAACGCATCGCAACTCTATAGAAAACGTTTGCTGCTACTGCGGACGTTCTTTCGTTCACCCACTTACTCACTCACTTGCTGTACCTTTTTTGCTGTTACAGCAGCAGCAGCAGCAGCAGCAGCAACAGCAGCAGCGGCTTCTAATCGTCGCAGCAGTGGTATGGTTCGTAGTGACTTAGCGGTGCTGCTGCTGCTGCTGTTAATGGTGCTGGTGGTCGACAGCTCTCGGCGTTTGGGCTCTCTCAGGATGCTGCTGCTGCTACTAGCAGCGCTCTGCTTGGGGCACTCTTCTTCGCTCGGGCCCTTTTAGTTGGCGGCGGCGGCCGCTGCTGCTGCTGCTGCTGCTGCTGCTGCTGCTGCCGCTGAATGAAAGAACAGGAAAACCAAAAACAGAGAACTACAGGCGGCAGTGGCTACTGCTGCTATTGAACTCGTGTCGATTTAACTCTGATGGCTGGCTGCGTTCTGTTCCACTCTGTTCGGCTGCGATAAATAGCGGTCTATCCTGTCTGACTGCTAGGCTGCTGTGCTCCCAGGCTGGTATTAGCGGTGGGCTGACTGCTGGCCAATACATGCAACTAGCTAGAGCTCCGCTCCGCTCGCTCGTTTGCTGGGCGCGAAAGGGGCGGGAGGGCGCCACAGCCGAAAACCACGGCTACAGTCAGCAGCAGGGACACGGTTGACGGCTAGAGCGTGAGCCAAGGGAGTGAGAGCAGACACACATGGAGAACGAACGCAGTCAACCGATCTCGCGCGGACAGTCGCAAGTCCGACATGCTGGCTGCCGCCGGACTGCGAGAGCCTACCACAACTGTTCTGACAACAGCAATGTCCAACTAGGTCCACTACCTTACCGGTACAACCTAAGACAGAGAGAAGGAACTTCCATGAGCTAGCAAGCAAACTTCCAACCACTTGGGAGACCCAATTTCAGGGTGGGGGCACTAGTAACGGGCCGTTTTTTTCGTTCGTCGTCCATGTGCTGGCTACTCCGTTACGTTTCCCTGCGGATGACACCTCCACTTATTAAAAGAGACGAAACAGGAGGCAGAGCATGAAATAAGCTTTAGGCCCAGTGCAAAAGAGCTATGTGCTCTATTTATACCCCCCAGGAACATGGGAAAGCGGAAAGTCGGACAAGAAGCAGGGTTGTGTATAGTATTGACTGAAAGAGTCTGTAGTGGGGGTAGTTTAAGCTGCTCGCTCGCTTTCTCGTTGGGTAGCTAGCTAGCCGGCCAGCGTTCACCCTCGCGTCCACTTTCCAACGGGACCACCGTCTACCGTTTACTCAACCTCTGTGTATATCTGGGTGTGCATGTGAGTGTGTGTATGTGTGAGGGGTGTGAACGACTCACACAAATAGTCTTTCTCTGTCTCTTTCCTAGATGCACACCCAGACCCACATGTATACATACGCTGTACACAGCCGCACTGCCCCATAGCTCACGGTGACATCATAGCACCTTCACTCTTCATGCCCCAGAGTCCGAAGCTGCTGTCGTAAAGCGACGCGATCCCCGCCGGTTTAGCAGCAGGATGCCCTCAGCCGGCACCCGTCTGAGCTGCCGCCGGAAGAGGGAAAGGTACTGTTCTCTGTGCTGATGCTGATGATGTTGATGGTATAGGGTTGAGAGTCACGGCGATGCCGGTGACCCAACCTTTCCCAAGATCCCTTTCCTCCGTTGCACTCTCACACTGGGCATAATCTTGATGTTATCGCGGTTCGACTCACCGTCATGCGACCTCCAGCCTTTGATCGGGGGGATATTGCGAACCTTTTACACGCTCTGCTACGCTAAGCAGAGGAGGAACATGTGGTTCGCCGAAGACGGAAGGAAGAGTACCTACCAATCATCTTTAGTCGATGCAAATACGCTTTGCCAGAAACAACATGACGCCGACCAGCGGGAGAGTTCCCATGATGCGTCTGTACGATATAGTAAGCTTAGTATATTTGATATAGTAAGTCGAAAATGGAACTATGCAGAATGCGTCTGGGGGAGAGAATAGGACTGTTTGATATAAAGCGACGATTTTAGAAGCGAAACTCGAAAAGACCTTCTAATGACTGGTCATCGATCATTGCAACTATCTAACGTCATAGTTTACGTCGGCCACCTTTTTCCGCATAGCAGCTACATAGAGTTTCATAGCTGAAGCTGGTTTTAATAAAAAAAAAAATTGGACTCCTATGAATACTGCCTATTCGGTCTAGCTCAGTTGGACGGAGAAGACGTTCGGATATCGTCTTCCCCTGTTATGCAGCTTTCACAAATTTGCATATTCGACACATGACACATTGCGATAGATTGCCAATAGCGCTTTATCTGTCGCCAACCCATAACCTTGCAACAAATGATACCGCGAAAACTACAAACAATAGTAACTGAGTCAGTATGCAAATACAACATCATTTGTGTTTGTTCCAGCATATATGCAGAAGTTATTCAATATCTATGGCAGAAAAAAAAATATATATGTGTGCAATTTGTAAAGAAACAACTTGTCATATGTACGTAACCAGCGCAAAATGCTAAACAAACTGCGTCGTAACGAGTTTTACACGAAAGTTGTAAGGGCAGATCATACGGAGATGCTTGCCTTTCCTAGTAGATCGCACTAAGCAAACCATAATCAAGACGCAAAGGGCGAGAGTAAGTGTAAAAGAGTTGTTCGCATTGTGTTATGCAATTTATCTCTACAACCCAGTTGCACAGCTGCTCAGATCCCGGGGTCGGCTCCGGGGGTACGGGCAACCATACCACCGCCGCCGTCAGGCAGTAAGCCAGTCAGCATGACCGCAAGTAACGCCATCGGCTGTGGCAGACAGAAAACACATGTTGCAAAACACAGAGAATAACTCCACATCACCCCCTCATAATAAAAGAGCTAGCAATAGCAGGAGTCACGTTCAATCCCGCAAATGCATCTCCCAGACATCCGCTGTATATATATATATATATATATATATATATATTGTTACTGTTGCTGTTACCTCAGTATGAATTTATATGAGCATTCATATGGTGGTTGTGAGCGTGTCATAAGGATGATACGATTGTGAATGCAGAACTGTTAACTGACCTTTCGTAGAAAGAGTGCATGAGCTGGCGGTGTGACGCTCTGTGTGCGCTTGAGAAAATGCGACAGACGTGAGACGGATCCACTTGCGCACGGAATATCCTCGCCGGGTACGCCGCCGTCGCCTGATGACGCAGGATCTCCACCTAATTGACCATCGCATGAAGCCCGCGAACCGCGCTTTAGTCGCCGGGCGGATGCACCAGCGCTGCCGAACAGAAAACTACAGTGGTCCGATGGTGACAACGGGCGCACTGAGGTTATGTGGTCGCTTGACGTAGACAAGAAGTGCAACGATTCCTCGCTGATCGTGCACTTATGATTAAACTCGAACGCTAGTCCACTGGTCATGTAGGACGGTGTCGATGAGCACGACGCCCAGGATGGCGAAGACTCATCGTTCGTTGACGTGCCATCAATTGGTGACTGCACGGAACACGACCGTTCTGCACGCATCGCGAACTAGGAGATCTACACTTACCGTCTGGTTTCGGTGAAACTCGGTGCAAAGCTACGCAGGCGATGGAACGAGGAAACAGGTGATACACGCAACATACACGTATACACAACGCACGGGATTAGTTAGCCAGCGAGCCAGGCCCGGTCAGGCCAGCTCCAGCCAGCTGGTTAATGGAGCGGCTGAGCAGGCGGTTGCGCGGTCGCACTTTAATGGTTATTGCTTGCTAGTTCGGTGGTGCTAGGATCCGTTAAATCGGGAGTTCGTGTTTGGTGCAATTAGCGTACCGAAAGGGTTACGCACAACTATGTACAGACAACCTACGGGTGCATTTCACGTTGCACGCGTTATGTCATCCGCTCTGATGAAGTTTGCGAGCGCCAACGATGTGCTATCGTGTCAGGTGCGTACCGTGCTGATAATCGATGCTCTGGGCAGCGTGCCTGCTTTTCCGCCGCTGCTGCCGCTTACTAGATCATATAGACTTAGCCTCGTTGCTTGCTGCAGCTGGTTGAACGGTCGGAGTTTGGATCTCGGCCGTAGCTGGGAAAGCGTTGGACTATTGGGAGAGGGGGGTTGTCAAGGTGACGACGATTGGGAATGGCACGGGCGCGCACACGAGGTGGCATTACCGGCAGAGAGGCTAGTGTTCCAGCCCCCCCCCCCCCCCCCTTCCGCCTGTTAGCGATGAACTATAATTATTACGCGCGACCGTCCTTCGTTTGAATTGCTGCAGCTACCAACATTGATGGCGTGCTTTAACAACACAGTAACACGACTTAGCAGCCAGGGTCTTAGCGGCCCCCGATTTCCTTTGGTAGCGAGATCTTCACTCGCCATTCTGGTTGTCCGGGAAACACCGCGCACCGTTTCCACCGTTTTCTCTGCCGTTCGTTTCGGAGAAAAATGGAAAGCGGATTTTCGTAAAAGAACAATACACCTGCAACGATTTTTTCATCTTGCCCTTTCTTTTGCAGGCTGGCGGAGCTTCAAAGAATCAAAAAAAGTTTAGGATGTGTTGGTAATGGCAGGCAGGCATCCAGTCAGAAACCAATCTTTTCAATGTGAATGCAGACTCTGCGTTAATGGCCAGAAAGTCAAAAGGGCAGCACTGGTTGAGCGTCACCACGAGTCATTTTCCAAATTAGAGCCACGTGCCTCCAGAAGGTGGAAAGACCGCCAAAATTAAGGCACGCGCAAACAGGTGGGCCTGCCAATTCGAATCGACAACAAAATTAAAGGCCAGGTAGGGAGCGCAAGACAGTCGGAAAGAAAAAAGAAATGAGGAAGAACTTCTCAAACGCCTGGACTCACTGCTAGACTGTACTGTCGGCGTGTATCACCGTTCAGTGGCGTAACTTCAGCGCTACCATTACGTAGACGTTGTGAAGTTTAGCGTTCTCCAAACCAGTAAGGCGGTCAGCGGCGAATCGCCCTAAACCTCGTTGCTAAAACCTCGTAAATACGCACAAACCTCGCAGCAAATACAACTGCGTAAACGCAGACCCATTTTGACAGACGTATATGATATACAAAACACGACACAAATAATATTCAGATAGTCAAGCACTCAGAACGAGCAGAAAATAGTCAAGACGCTACAATCAGTGTGCGTGCACTGATTCTAATCAACAATTAATGTTGAAGACCGCAACTCTACATATCCTGCTTACCGGTGTTACTGATGCCGGCAAGGCCGTTCCTATAGAGACACCATAGTGCTCGTCACTAGGACCTCGATGTCACGAAGACAACACGGTGCACGAGCAGCTTAATTGACTCATACACAGCGGGTCAGTATATTCAAACACACAACGGTGAAAGCGATGCGATCCGGCTACTCCAGATCACGCTTATCAACCTAACAACGGCGACCTCAGACAGGCTCGCCAGCGACACGGACTATGTCAGCCTGTTGCAGCGAAACAGGCCGACAAACGGCACAAATCATTTGCGAACTACAGACCTGCATCGCTGAAGCTACTCAGCTTGTCATCTTCGGTCGCCACACGGGAGTGGATCCCACTCGATGCGGATATGCGAACAGATGCACGAATGTCTACAGAAGATACTAGTTTTAATTCATTGTTAACAACAGCAAGATAAAGAAAGCAGCGTGACGATCTAAGCAGCAAGATTGCCCTGTGCTTATATATATATATATATATATATATAGGTCTAAAGTTTCGTAAGCAGCAATTTAAACGAAAGTGCGTCTTGACAAACACATTCATTACTAAGATAAAGTGGCGTCAAAAGGGTTATTGAGCTATCCGAAAGCGATCTGAAACGAAGTACTTTTTATTGTTAGACCATTAGGTAAAATGCTGTCCGATAGATATACAATAGACTTGGGCTCACAAAAGTAAGTGTAGTCAAACCATTCGACAAATAGAGTGGTCCACGTTTTTTTTGCAAACCATTATAAAATAACTATGATTATTATAAAAACCGTTCAAAATGTGGGCCATACTTTTTTCTTAGTGTACAAATGACAAATTTAACACACCGAAACTTAACTAATAAATCAAACTAAATAGACAGGTTACCGACATAAATTATTCTACGTGCTAATATCATCCTTAGTTCATATGGGATCTCCACGTTTCTGCTTCTCACCCTTGACACACTTCAAGCATATAAGGGAGATTAAAAAAAATCGTTCGTGTCGACGCCTGTCTGACGACAGGGACATTGAGGCAAAAAGAGGACATTGTTCCTAAAGCCAGTATGTGTGTACGTACTCGGAGAATAATGAAAAAAGGCCGAGTAAAACACTCTGTTTTGAGGAGCCTGACCATAGCGGCTGCTGAACCTACAATGACTAGTGAACACAGTCGAGTGAAATAAAGAAGATCTCATTTTATAGTTACCACTCGTAGGTCGACTACAAAGACCGTTATTGAGAACAAATAACTCAAGCACATATTTCTGTTGCTATAATTAAAACCCGATTGTCCTTACTCGTGCTTTATTTTTGGTGCGCGGTGGCACACGAGTCCAAGGTGAAGCGGCGACCACTTCCTAGCTTTTCTTATTCATATGATAATAATAACAGCCTGTGTGAAGTTTTGGCTTACTCTCCTGTTACAATTCAATCTACCCGTAGTTGACCTGTTGATGACTGCCCCATACGAAGGCCATGAAATACACAAATGCTCTTGTGAGTAAAAATATTTTATTAGTATAATCTCTTTGTTTCTAGCTTGGTTACTTTAGTTATGTTGTTGTTGTTGTTGTTGTTGTTGTATTGCAGTAGAAATTAGTTCTTCTTACGCCAAACGACGCCGCAATATGACTTATTTAATGCAAAATCGACATTTGTAAATTGGTTTGAAGGACAAACACACAAAGATGACGGCATACACGTACACGCACACAGGAATTCTTCACATTATCAATGAATAGTGGTTATATAGAGATGATCATTACCAGGTATTAGGACATCATCGATTCGTCTGCCATAACTCACTGGGCTAAGTCAGGAAAAGCTTGACTCAGGGGGCCTAGAAGTCGGAGGATGCCACATGCAAAGCCCTCGCTAACAGCTCGTGACATTATGACAATTGTTACGGTCTTCTACACTAGCTACGCTTGCCGAATGCATGGCAGCTTTTCGTCTACGTCCACTTGTGTCCAATCATAAGGTTGTAACAACTTGTCGAATATGGGTTACGTACATAGGCTTCTTTTTAGTGACCCTTTATATCGACGTAGTCCCATATCCCTTGACCATCCATCCATACTATATTTACTGTTGAATTTTTCACACCGATCGCTATACAGTATTCACGAGCGTCGTCGTTCATCGCCAACGAACTACACAGATAATTTACCACGAGCGCAATTTTGTTTAATCGATTGCAACATGATTTGTCCATTTGATACTTTGTTTGTTATTAGTTACTAATTGCACATAGAAATTACACACGGTAGTTTATACGTGACGTCTTGTTCCGCAGCAGGGACATAAACAAACGAGGAAAAACAGAAAAATTTAATCATATAGTAGATGTAATAACTCAAAAGCGAGTGGGATAAACCCATCGGAATCGAAGCTGGCGGAGCTGAGCTTCGCTAACAGCTCGCCCGCTCGAAAAACAAAACAATGACTCATAATCGTAGTTTATTTTGAAATTATATATTAGTTCTATTGAGTCAGACTTTCTACTTTTTATTGCTTCTACCATTTTCGTTTTTACTCTACTTAAGGATGTTTGGCGAGCCCTCAATTCGAGCTGGCGTGACTTTTTCTGTGCTTTCACATTGTTGGCGAAGGTTCAGTTTAGCTTTTCGAGGACACCCGACCGGGTCACAAACAATTTTTCATGGAGAAGATTAGCCAACCCCGCGAATTAGCATGTGTTTACTCCGCCGTATAATCCAAGCTTATCTATCATGTCAACGCTGTGCCTGTGTATAGATATATTTACCATTATATATTTTGTTTCCAGATTATCTCCAAGTGTTTACTAGTAATAATACTCTTACTGTTATTATTAAATAGTCGCTTTTGGCCATTATGGTTTATATATATATATATATATATATATATATATATATATATATATATATATATATATATAATACATACGTAAGTCACAGTTATGGGCTCGTGTGCTTGCCCTAACCGATACAGTAATAATAGACCTAGTGTGGTGTATTTTGACATTGGTCTTTCTTTGCGCGATTACTAACCCATCGATTTAATTCTGTCAGACTGCAGGTAAGTCTACGCTTACGTATTCGTTTATTAGCTCCCCTGGCTCTTGAGTCCCAGATATCCACCGTTCATGCGGCTCATGCTCGTACACTCGAGCGGGGGCGTCTATGCAGGGGCGGTTTAAAATAAACCTACACGAGTCACAGGGCTATATATGAGTTACAATAGTAGGGACGAACTACACTGCCATCGCGTCTCCTTCCTATTGCAACTACGTACACGGAAAATTCACTGACTGATTCACCGAAGGCAATAGTGATCCGCAATAGGCAAATGGCGAGCTCGGTGTCTTCTTCGCTTTATTCGCTCGAATAACGGCGTATAGGCTGATCGCAGCAGCTAGCTCGTGGGCAGCAGCAGCAGCAGCAGCAGCAGAAAATGGCCGTGCGCTGTTATTCCGGGGGCAAATTATATTAGATCAATAGAAGTAGAATATGCAAACTGACAATGTCCTGCTCTTGATCGACATTGTTGTGGATGCGGATAAGAACGAAATATGATTGGCCGGTATCAGTTGATGCAACGCCAGCGTTAGATTCTGCTATGGCTGGCAGTATCTTCATTTTGAAAATAGATGGCCCCGTCGGATATGCTAGCAAACTGCTCATCCAAACAAAAACACAATTACACACAGAGGGATAGCAAAATACGCAGGTGGCTTATACAACTAATCACTACTAATAAAGATTTTTTCATTTTGCTGATATGCATGCTCAGAAGTTCATACTGATTCTAATTTGTCCATTCGACCCTGAATGGTAACTAGGCCGTTCTGGATTGTTTTTTTTTTCGTTTCAGCTAAAAACGAGGCCCATCTCTGTCAAGCCGGATCGGCTATGAAAACTTTTCGGGTTAAAGCGACAAGGCGAGAGCAGGCTTCTCCTTTACCAATTAGAGCAGACAAGAAGATATTGAATCTTTTCTTGCGGGTATTTTCGCCTGCCAAGCCACATATATCTGTATGCTTACTCAATTCCCACAAAACAATATCAATTTCCTGCCGTCTGAACGTGTCAATCAAAAATGATTCCTAACAGATACTTGTGAATCGGATAGAACTTCTTGGCACGGATTCATCAACTCGTACATGAACGTCAAACATATCACGAAATCATTTTGCCGCCGTCTGTTTCTACAGGTCTAAGGATGCATCGTAAGCGTTATTGTCGGTAGTGGGTCTCGGTTATTGTTCTGTGCGGTTACACTCCTTCGAGTACTCCATCGTTCCTCACCACTTCATATTGTGCCATACTACAACTAAAAATCACATGAATGTCTTCCAGTAGGGAAGCTGCAGCGACGTATAGCGCGACTGCACCCTGTGATATCGAATCGTTTCGAATAAACGACAGCGAGGTGAGAAGTTTTTATTGCAGATAATACCGGGCCTGCGACGGCCCTTGAACTTGACCACTGAGTACGGGGTAGACGTCGGAGTCCTCGCGGGCCGACATCTCCGAAAACAAGGAAAAACATAGCTGAAAGCACACCTCCCTTCTGTGTGTGAATCACCCAACTCGTTGTGGAGAATCGATTTCGTTAACTCAGGGAAGATAATGCATGCCAAAGTTTGCCCTCGACGCTCCTGAGATAAAGTCAACTCATAGACGGGGCGGGCCTCCAGGAGTGCTCTTACCGCTTTTCCTGAAAAAGATGAAAAGTAGGTTCGAAATCATCGTTCAACTCACTCTTAGCTACATTATATTAGAGATGTTGCCAGCGCCATAGACTATAAAGTGACAAAGCCTAGACATTTGGCTCACTTTCTGCCAGTTAAATCTTTAAGGCAATGCCTGGCGACCGTTTGCTCAAAGCAATGCAGCTTTTGTCTACTTGGAATGAATTTTTGAAAATGTGTTATGTCATCTGTAAGGAAAAGGGGAAAAACCAGTCGTGTGCACAGGTGCGCGCCAGCAAAAATTGTGAGATGAAGGCAATTGCTTTTCGTTCACACAGTATAACCATGCAGGTTCGCCTGTCTACCGATCTCTAGTTGTTTAGTAACTTTTTTATTGAGGTTTGCCTATATGTTGTTATAGTTCATCTGTAGAGGGTTGAGTTGGGATTTCTGTAACCCAATGCGTAAAGGGGCTCTTTTCAAGATAGAACAATTCTAATAATCTATTGTTATAAGCTCTAATATTTTACAAATATTAGTAATAGACATATTATTTACTTGTTAACATTGGAGCTATGACGCGCAGGATCCAACACGCACAATGGAGTGGCCAGAAGCCTCAATCTCGTACGAAATGTGCCTGCTGCGCAGAACAGCGCGAAGGGTGTAAACAAGAGTTTGAGTCTACATAAGCTTCGTCACGACCTCATCCGTATTTTATTCATGCCTATTATTTTCTCATTTTTCTCTGCTGCTTTTAAAGTCAGCAGAGGATATCTAATGACACCATAGGCTTGACAGAGTCCCCAATGCATCCTAGACTTACCTGATCTGATCTAGCACGCTTCGTTTACATTCGCCGATGTCCTTGATGGGGGGTCTTCCACTAAGCCACTCCTGCACGCGGTGAGTGGCTGGTGAAATCTCGCTTTCTCCCGTGGCGCCGCCAACGTACCCATATACTCGCTGTTGTTGCTGTTGCAACCCATTCTGACTATTGCGACTTTCCGAACTACAACGTCGCCCTGAACGAACACCCAAAACGAGGTAGCGAAATTCACATATCATTAAATTTTGCGTGCAAACTTTATTGCAAATTGCCGACAATAACAATTCACTATATGCTTTGACCGAGCGAGATAATATCAGGCAAGAAATGCCTTTCTAGAGGCTTGTCCTTAGACTATAATACCAGTTAAATGACTAATGCCAGAAGCCTCAACCTGGCAAGATATGGCCGATTCTATGCTCAATACGGTCAAACGGGTTGACGGGTTCAGTCGGTCCCATGTCCAATTGTTCTGGATCGGGGAAACGCACATAAAAACCTAGGAGTCATTGTGGATCAGTTCATTGGTCTATTTAGTGACTCGATGCACCGATATAGGGGTCTGTTAAGGTATTCGAATGTGTTATTTTCTCGTACCTTTACCGATCGTGGCCGTATTACAGCTGCGAAGCGTCCCATAAATGGAAGTGCCCTGTGACATGTTTGGCTGTAGCGCTTGTGACTGTTGTTGTTGATTTGCCTGACTGGTACCTTGCGCCAACTTTTCATTCAACTGTTGCATGAAGCGTTTCTTCGAGAGATCGGTTGGAACTTTCGGGATCGACACCGGCACTCCAGGCCTGTTGACGTAACACAGCGCAACGTTCGCATAGAAATAAGCCACACTGCTTAGGGAAGAACGATTTTTTCAAGGTGTAGAGATACCTAAACGTGCTAGAACAAACTGGCTTTTAACGATGACGAAACACCAGACAAAACCCTTTCTCACAGGTTCGAATAAGCTAACCGTTAATGTACACAAATTAATTTAGCGACGGGATAAATTTAAAGGAGAAATACAGCCTTTAATGCTTTCGCCGGCGGCTTGTTCTTCACTGTTAACCCCGTGCCTTTTCACCAAAAACACAAATTTAGTTTTAGGGTTTGTCTGATAAACTTGCTACCACTCATTAAGCGGACGGCGAACAAAAACAAATCTATTGCTCTGCTATTGCTTAACTAAGTTACTGATACTTTTAGTTAGAAATGAATAAATATGTAGTGCGTACGTGAGAACTTCATTTTTCGTAGCGTAGATGCTGAACTGTGAATGGTGATGCTGAGAAGTCGACTGATTCTGAGCCCCAGGAAGACTTTCCTGGGGTCCCTGGTACATGGAAAGCTTATTACTTGGAAAGGGCGATGTTCCCTGACGGTTCGACGGGGACGAACACCTTGACGAAGTGGACTGCGACTGAGAAACTCTGCCATAGAGGGGCTCATTAGCGGACACCTGTCGCAGGTGTTCAAACGTCTCTTTGACCTGCTGTACTTTCGATCTGGACAGGAGCGACAAGAAAATCAATAAGGAACGTAAAAGATGAAATAACGAATAGAATGATTAAATTCAATCTTTTTTTTTTTTTTTTTTTTTGATTGAAACTAGAGTCGAATGCGGACTAAAAATTATATAAGGCCAACCCGAAATCGTAGAAATCATGTTTCAAAGCTAGCATTTACGTTAAGGCGTTTTCGTATTCAAAAGAGATGCTATTCTAGAGTGGAAGAAGCTATATGCATGTATTTCACGCACACCGACCTCGATGTATGTGGGATATCATCCTCAATGGTTCCATAGAGATCGTTACTGAATGACTGCGCCCTTCGCTGAGGTGTTCGTCGTTCCGGTGGGGCTGGCGGTGCTGCTCCTGGTCGTCCTGAACCTGCGCCGTTCGCCGATGCGGCAAGCTGATGGCTGGTTGATCCGTAAGTATCATTCGTTGATATGGCAATGCTCACTCCGAAGCTGCTTCCACCGTATATCGATTCTGCTGACGTAGAGGTCATTTGTAAATAGCCAAGTATACGATTCTGGGTGGTTTACATATTAATATGTAAGTGAAACTGAATATGAGATGAGGTAAGTTAAAGCGAATCGTTTAATGAGCTTCTCTAAGGGGCCTCGTCAGCATGTATGGTAGAGTGGCGTCCGATACTGGGTGGTACAACTGACAGATAGATATAGCTTGGGTAAAGACGTATATGCATGTCACACAGAAAGCTTCCGTATATTCATAGAGCCGCGAAAATAATATTATCAGTCTTGTTTTCAATGTGCTTTTAAGCTGAATATTGACACTTTTTGTGCATGTGGAACATACCATTAAGTTCTTTATTAAGCGGCTCGTACAGATTTTCCTCCTGCGCGGCGCTTGGTGACGATGCCCAAGGCCCTGCCCGAGCACCCAGAATATCGTCAGAAGAGGCACATTTATACATCTTACTGTTGCGTTGAGCTGCACCTGCCAGCTGGAGCTTAGTGCCACTATCGCTACTACCCTGTCTACTAGTGGGGCCAGCGGAGTCCTTCACTTCTTTAATGCCAGCAGATGCGTCAGTGTTGGTCTGTTGATCTGACTCCTGGCTATCGATACGGCGGTATGTGTTCCTTTTGCCTTTACCGAAAGTACCTGGAAAGATTAGCCGAAGTGTCGTTTCTTAACGGAATCTATTCTGCTTCACAATACGGCAGTGCTATGAAAGACTTTATCTAATGGGATTATCATTTTTTCAAGATTTAAATAAGCTTATATCTTAGATTCTAAAAAAAGGAAATGCTGTTACGCCTAGTCGTTGAATATTTTTGCCCGGATATGAAAATGTTTTACATGGATGTCTATGTACCAGAGCTTTGGGACTCAAAATCATAGGCAAAAGTATTACTTTTTTCACTAAATTTCGACTAGAGGGTTCTCCTTCTCTTGAGTAGAGTGGATGGCTTCACCGGAAAAATATAGAGCTATTAAGCTCAACAGTTGCGTAATAGCCGACAAATAGATGTAAGTCAACTATGCATCATGGCAGAGAAATGTTGGATGCGAAGCCGTAAAATGCTACACATACCGTATATATTATGATTGTTGTAGCTATTCGAGTTGGGACTGTTCGAGCTATCAGCTCCTCCGAATTTTTCTGTGATCTGCGAACAAATGCCCCCTAAATAGGCATTATGGTCGTCATGATAAGTAGAACTTTGATCGGGAGAATGGTGGTATCCGCCAGCTCCTCCCTGGCCGATGACGGCCTGCGCTGTTCCGGATGTTTGATGTCGGGTCGGCCTTTCCAGTGTCGCGTGGCAACTCTTAATCATCCTGCCGTATATAGAGTTCTCTTCTGAGGGTGATAGAAGTTCGGCAGGTGGAGAAGGCAGTGGGAGATCGGGTGACTTCGCTGCTTCACTCTTGCCTGTACCTGCGGCCGAATCACCTCCGCTCATGGTGCATGTTCCACTGTGGGAACTGTGACAAGTGAATGATCATTAATTACCAAAATATTGTTGAGGAGAAGATGGCGATCAACGATAAAGTATATAAAAAAAAAGAAAAACAAAAACAAAAAAAAGCGCTCTTGAGGCAAGTGATACGGCGATGTTGTTTATTTATACGTTTACAAAGCAACTATGCTCTCTTTTCCTGAAAATTAAATATGAGCCTGTAGTGTTAGTTCATGCAACGTAGGTCACTAGGGCATCGTCTGTGTATGTAACGCAGTAGCGAATGATAAATCACGCAGTCGGTCCAGTGTAAAAAATTTTTCATAATTCGAAAGTAATCAGGAAATATCTATTTTATCAGCTTTCAAAGGCCAATTGATGGTATAATTTGTCGAAATAATTTACAAGAAGTCATCGAAGGGGAGATGCTCACGAACTTCGAGTGGTTTCCACATAGAAAAAAATGATCGTGATTGTATCGTACCAGTGGTACTTCACTCGTTTTAGATAACCCTCTAGTTATCGATCTATAAATGTTATTGTATACGGCGTTCGCTTTGGCACAAGCTATCACATATGTCCAAACATTTTGCAGTCTTGAAACTTATTGCAAAATTTCTCTGAAAAATGAGTATTTTAAAAAAAAATTTGTTGATATATTGCCCAAAACTTAAACGGCTGAAGACATTTTGTTGCCCTTTACCGATATCATCAAACTTATGTACGCAGAGCCCGCAACACGATAGGACGATTCTTCTCTGTTGGTATTCACTTACCTAATGTTTGCTGTCTGTTTGAGCCTGCCTTGTTCCTCAAGTTGGCGAAGCTGGAACGCCACGTTGAGCGTCGATGTGGGCGGCGTCCGTCGGATCGGCGGTGCAGGAGGAACTTTACGGGAGCGATCTCTCCCACGAACTGGTAAGGTACTCATATGCTGCGACGGAGTGCGCGCTAAAAAGAGTGCCGCTTTTGAATCTGTTTTTCGAAGACAGCACCGCACAAAAAGCACAATTTTGACTAGATTAACACGTTGTCTCAAGTGTATTCAGAGCATTAATATAGTCTAATTAAACAGGTACCCCCTAATAGCACGTGCTTCTAACTACAAACAGCTCCGATTTATTTTTGGTAAGCGCTTGGTGTATGCAGAGTTTTTAGTGGTTTTATATAAGAAAATTGTTTCAATACCAAGAAAATCCAGCATTCCCTTTCAAGGCTGCAAGCCTCCTCCAGACGTATAATCAGACTGTATAGAACGATGAAGTCTACAGAAAACAAGTTTCTGCTACGCTTACAATTATTGTCGGATGAAGGAGGCGTCTGTCCAGTGACAGATAGGGCCCTGTGCGTCAACTGTGGTGATTGCGGTTCTGAACGGCAAGCATCGATGCATGACATTCCCATGGAAGTACTATTTCCACCATCAGCATCAGCAACGTTTTCCTCCTTACAGCGATCGTCTCGGGAATCAAACAGCGAATTCGACGGGAGACTATTATTGCGTCGAGGCAAACAGGGTGGTCCCTGGGATCCAACGTTTCCCGCCTTAAATAATCAAATACAAACATTTCTTTTTTTTAATGTTTTTTACTTAGTCGTTCGCTACTGTGTCTTGACTTCGAATAGTAAATCAATGGGCTTCATTTCAGTAATCGTAGTGCTGCCGATCAGATGGAGGCGTGTCAAAAACCTAATCAGGTAGGTCCAGTACAGGCTATCCTGCCTCATTCGTTCGTTATGTTTCAGGCAAATTTTCACAGATGATACCTGTCCCGCTTGCTTATTTTTGGGTAGTACTTTGTGTTCCAAAGATAAACACAGATTTTAACGTACAAATTGGAGAAACCATACTAAGGTAGGAGAGATTAGAATATTATTATTATGTCGTACATGTTCTACTTGAGACGATTCCTGTTGCTGGTGCTGTTTTAGAGGAGGCCGAGAATCATATATAGGGTTGTTAGCAGATAAGATCATGCCTGTGGCTAATCCGCCTGCCGGAGAATTCTCGTCTGAGGAGCCTTGTCGTTGGAATAAGTTTTCCAGGTTTCGGTGGCCGGCTTTACGTAATCCGTTGCCATCATGTGTTGAGTTGAATCCCGAATCCTGGCTAGATACGCTGCACAAGCGAGATACCTGCCGAATAGAGTCTTTTCTGTGTTATATCCATTACAGTGCTATGAAAATAGGCATTTCGCAATAGGATTCCCTTCGGGTTTGCACTGGTGAGCTAGTCAAGTACAGTGATGATTTCGCATGTACTCACAGCCGTCGCGTTAATATAGGTTTAGGTAAACACCACGCGTTCTGCCGATTTCAACCTGATCAACGCGTTTTTGCAATACGAATAGTAACATAAGTATGTCAACAGACACAATGAGCTAACCTATTCCAAAGTATCCAATTTGCCCATCGTCACAAGTTCAGACGTTACAAAATAGAATGTTTTGCAGCGAGCGGGTTCGTTGTATAGCCAATCGTTATTAATGTAAACATCAGTCTAGCGGATTAAAGACCGGTCACCGTCGAACTTTTTCTAATTTTCAACTAAAACAACGATTCTAACAAAACTATAATGAAGAACTTGTGTTATTGACGTGAAAGGTACGGTATGCATCGCAAAGTTTTGAACTTTTGGTGTATTTCGGTATGTCTCTTCATGGTTAAATTAACGAGTACAGTACGTTTTAACAGTCCTACCCTTTGGTAGGAACTTCATTGGAGAAATAAACTTTTCACCTTGCAAATACTTTTTACGATTAAGATCAAGTAGGTTCACTTTGACCGAGCCTACATAAGTCAACCTTAAATCTACTCCCTACAAGAAACATTCGTTACTATTCATACCTGTAATGGCGGCGGCTGAGAGAGCGAACGTGCTCGATGTGTGTTCCCGTAAATATCTGCTGAATTAGATTCCGAAGAAATCGAACACATCGACGACTTGCGAGAACCCAGTGAACTTCCAGGAGAGCTCGGGGGACTCTTTGAGCTCTGTAAGTAAAACGGTTCGCAATAGATGAGATTCCACATATGCTAGTAATACATAAGTGAGTTACTGACATTGATTTAATTTTGCACAATATAGAAGCTGATTTAAAAAACGGAATGTTTTCTCAAAGAAACGCGTCTAATATTACGCTTTACTGAGAGTGAGGGAGAGAGAGGCAGAGAGAGAGAGAGAGAGAGAGAGAGAGAGAGAGAGAGAGAGAGAGGGAATAATGCGTGTCGACGTGATTCTATTCATTAATCCCCCGGGTCCGTACGTTAATTCAAAGACTAGGGCATAGTTACAATACAGTCATATCGTCAGTTTTTTCTTTCTATATAAAAGGGCCCCCACTACTTCCACTTTCTATATTCTTAGTGGAATTGCTAAATATTGGCCAGTTGTATGACTCCGTTAGAATCTTAAGAAGCGCGGTCTTAATCAGATTTTGGCATTGCACCACCTGCGTGGAACACTCAGCGTTGTCCATCTAATCTATGTGAAGTCTACTTTTCGGTACAAGTTTCTCTTAAGTCTAGACTCTGATCGTTCATTCGTAGACGAAAGCCGATCTCATCTAAGAATAAGATGTTACAATGATGTCTACCTTTCGTTGGCTAACCACCCGCGCGGGCCTACCCAGTTGCCTTCAAATTCAGGCATTCTATGTCTATTGAAACCGATCCTATTAACTTTACTTTTGAAAAGCTGATCACCTGAAATAGATTTTTGATCACTCTAAGACAAACAACATGTTGCAGTAATAGACTTGCATCTAAGAAATTCAGCCATCATTTCAATGTTACGCAAAGAACCAATAGCAAAATCAAGACTGCTTATGTTACTATCCTATCTATACAATAACTGGAATAATTACTACTATTAATAACTTATTCGGTTTTTTTTTTTACAAAAGGTCGCAAAGTACAGGTTTGGTTTTTGTCGTACATGTGGGTTACTGTCTTTATTTTTCTGTTTGCAAATCCATTTGAGGCGAAAATCTCCAAAGTACTCACATGGTACCCGTATATGCTTTCGCTCATAAGTGCGTGTCCCATTTTAGCATCCTCAATGACCTGCTCAGAGGCGGTGGGTAACCGTTCCGGACTAGTGGTCAATTTGCATAACGACTCTACGACTTCTTCAAGATGTGATACCTCTTCCAAAAGACGTACTTCCTCGTCCTAAAGTTGAACGTATTGAGTTCAAGAAGTTGACTCATGAAAAATTAGCGTATGAAACCGTAAATCTATTATATGCTATTCGCTGCAGAAGAAGCAGATTATCAGGGCGATCACAGCGCATTAGTATATAGTAGTTAACACAAATAGGGAAGTTAACAACAATAATAGTACTTCGTTCTGGGTAATTAGGAGAAGGCAAGTTAATCTGATGCTAACCATGACTGGTTTGATGCAGTGAACAAAGGCACAATATCGACGGCGCTGCTCAATGAGTGCGCGTCTAACCGCCTGCCGTTGGTTTTCTTCAAGCAATATGTAGTCATCGTGCATGCCCTGCAGGGCGTTACTGAGGCATTTCTGGGCCAATTCGGCGCCGCCCATCCCCCCGAGACCTCCGCCTGGGCCAACCCCAGCGCTGGCCCGCTTCACTTTTTTGCGCAATCGAAGCGTATCCGTATTCTTTTTTTTCAGCTCAGACCGCGCACGTTTAAACTCTGAAACGTACCAAAAGCCGAATATGCAGAGCGAATCAACGATGTGAAATGCTTTATTATAGAGTACAAATTTTCTATCCACAAAGAGAAACTTTATTACAGACATATAATTGTACCTACGGAGGTAAGTAGGATAGAGGAGATGTTCGGTGGTAGCAGTGGCGTCACACGCCAAATATTCAGGTGTTTTTTGCTGGGTGTACCAGATTTGAATGTCTTAGCAAAATTTACGTAGCCTGGAGGATTCTGTTCATGCTTGGTTCGGACTTCTATTGTCCAAAATGGTAAATATACTGTACCTTTACTGTGCGTACGATCAATTTGAGTGGTGATTCTTTTCCAGTCCTCGATTTTGTCCGTCATAGGTATGATCAATGCATCCTGTAGGGCGTCGATCAGTGCCTTCAGCCTAAATAACACAGTGTTATGTGATGTCAATAAAATCAGCTAATACATGTGTATAAATTATGGGCCTTCCGAACGAGCTTAATGTAATACAGCCAAATCACTGCATATGGAAGGCATAGGTACTCTATTACGGTACCACTAATATTCCCACGATAATTCTATCAGCTTACTTGTTTCCTTTCTTGCAGTCTGATTGTTACCGAATCAAGTAGCAGAAGGCAAAATTCTTTATGCACTATCAACTTATGGCCTAAATAGTATTTGTCTACGGACCAACAACATGTTCATACTCTCCTATCATTTTAGCAGGACGAATATTACTTTAGAATAGAATGCTAGGATGATTACTATGTTTATACTATAAATTATGGGTTGGTGGTGGTGGTGGTGCCCTCTGTCGGGTTCGAGTGTTTATATTCTATGGTGTGATTACATCTAACCACATTTGGCTGTTTTTCATTTGATGTTTCCTTGTACTAATGATATATACAAACGCAGTCCCAGTGAAAAAACGAAAAATTAAACAGTTTCAGAATCAAACGAGTGCAGTTTTGTTCAGGCCAATAGTCGATTGTTGATCGTTTGTATTATTTCTCTCCGTTGATAAAACAGTTTCTTTCAGATCAGAGATTCGGGGTCAATAATTGAACCATTACAATCCAGATAACATTCGTCGTCTATTTAGAAGAAAGGATTATTAACGAGGTTTGGTTTGTTGTGGTTACAAGTATAGCAACTGGTTTGTATAGGTTAGACAGCAGAATAGTGACCGCCTCGAGAAACAGGTGACTCGTATATGTCCTGCTAAGCCAATTTATGGACAATGCATATAGTGGAATAGTCTAAACAGCTGAGGCCACCAATGGAAGTCAATTCAATATCTAAAATAGACCTATCTGCTTTCTCTACTAATGGGTTGTTTAAGCAAGCTACTTCTAGGAGATCCCTATTGAACTCGAATCCCTCTAAGAATCTCCTGAGTCCTAAACTAAATCGGGTTTGAGACGGTACCAGCAGTGGAATCGCCTTATCCGATATGTTTCTTCTCGTTACTTCCACCCTAATGTAAATATATCGTAAGCTCATTCTACCCATACCCGCTTTGCTCTACCGCAAACGCGCTCTACAATATATATATGTGAATTTCCATTGTCTTGCGCATGGCAGGTATCTCTATAGGACAGAGCCCAATGCTTTACAGGACGATTCTTTGACATAGCCCTCTGTGGCTCGGAGGCACTGCCCATTACCATGAATTTTATAAAAAATAGCGAAAATTACTTCATATATCGAATACTGACGCATGGCAAGAACTGTTTTTGCAATTGCGCTTCAAGGAATAAATACTTGGTAGCTAACAAAACATAGGTAAACTATTAATTAGTGGACGTGTGCTGGCCTTCTTTTCTAGGACGAACACCTACCTGTTTTCAAAGGCTCGATGTCTTAGGCATAACCGAGTGAGAGCTTTGCCCACATCCCGGGTGGCACCTTGAGCAGAAGTGGCCATATCTGCAATTCGCTGCATTGCTTCGACAAATGTTCCTAAACAGCTCATTGTGACCCTGATAGTAAAACGAAAAATGACCGCACAATGCGATATTATATTTGTAACTTTTCTGTAGAAGTACTTTATATCTCCTTATATAAAAGCCGGATAATTTCCAGTAAGATATGATTTACCTTCTTCACACGGACAATTATGCAGGAAGTGGCCTATTCGACCTTTCCATGCATGGCAAAAAGTTTGCAAGAAAGTACATTTAATAAATTCATATGCTTCGTTTTTCGAAATGGAAACTTTTATAGGCGCACTATTATTCGCTGCAAATAGAAAATTCAAATGCTGCTTACTGGTCACATTTGAGCAAGAAAGCCCGCCATTTATAATCTCTGAGCGGTAACGCGGCTACTTGAGGTAGTCTGCCATGAAGTTTCGATAAACCCGATACTAAGGAATTTGCCTAATCCATATAATCAAAGTGCCAACTGTATTACGTGCCATTCAATCGTTAGATTTTGACCCCAACGATTTCTGAAAGTCTAATCTATCAACTAATTTCTGCAACAACAGCCATTTCATACGACGACGGAGCTATCCCTGTAAGAAATTGCTAACTCGGTTGGAAACGGTACTTTAACTAACTAAGGTGTACATATAAAAGCAGCGACTATTGCTTAAATGTTTTTGTTAACTACGAACGTTGAAAACAAGTAACACTTACTTGAGTTGCGAGTGAAGTTTCCCCGTTTTCATGAGGAAGTCTTCCCATATCGGCGTGCTTCCCTGTAAACAAGCGAGTTTCAGGTATGTCAGTGAAACAGATCGTTGTGCGTCGCCTACCAAATCGTGTTAACACGTGAGCACGGTGATTACAAGCCCAACCCAGTTCGCTCATTCAATCCAACGGTCACACAATAATATTGTCAATATATACATATATATATTGACAATACGAGCAGAGATGTATGTAAACAGAGATTCACTATTCATGGAAGGACAAAAAAGCTTACTTTTAGGTCTGTTATAATGAACGTGAAGAGTCCTGATAGGACGCTGACGTCCTTTTCTATCTCCCTATCCATGCTAGACACGAATGTCTAAGCTGAAATGTAACAAACACATTAGTAAGTACTAACGTTAATTTGAGTTTTATTTTTCTATCTATTTAGGTGTGGCGGCTCCATTCTCAGTCGATTATGTTGTAACACTAAACACGCGAGACAAAATCAAAGGTTTTCACTATTAGACTCAGAGCGCTCAACTGTTTTAGAAGCTTTGCTATAATTTTAGCAAACAGTAGATTCTTACGCACTCATTTTTCGTTCATGAAGATTTTTTCATAAAAATGCTTACTTATTAATAACACATACGTGATACATTTGCCGAGACTTTACAGTTGGTTCAAGCAGCTGAAGTAACACGACTGTTAGTGTCTATGAGAAGTATTTTTACAGCGTTATGAAGATACGTCAATACAGCGAAACATAATCACTTCATGAAGAACAGCTAATCAGCACTTCAATGTGAGCAAATGAAGACTTATTTGGCTGTAGCCTCTACGTCCAGGTGCATCTTCGGATAATTTCTTCACATTTTGCAGTATAAATGCTGGGAGACAATTTGAATAATAATGATAATATGGATACAATTGACTTTGCGGCGTATCAGCTTTAGGTGTCCACACTACAAGGGTCAGAGTTAGAAAAGAGTAAAAACAAAAAACTTAGAGCTTGATAGCAACTTGAAGACACTTCTATATTTTTGCGCAAAAAAATACTATAGATCTAAAATATATGTTGGAGGAGTAATTCATAGTTGTAATAGGTTCTACTAGACTCACGTCGTTTATCGTAGGTTCAGTTTTTAGGCCACTTTTAACAAAGGTCACCTAAAAATTATTAAAAAAAAAAAGGGGAAAAAAAAGGACATTGAGCAGCTATCATTTGCATATTTTTGGGGACTGCTAGTATATTTTTTCGTCGTCTGATTTTACGTACTATGTCAAATAAATAATTACCTCATAGAGCCTGTAAACGGCTGACATGTACATAGGTATATACACCTTCTAGGACAACAGCTTACTCCAACTATACGCAGGTAAGCGGCAATTGCTATATTTGTACCCTTTCGTAGAACAGTCCGCTCGGAACGATCAGTTGCCATTCTTATCCAATACGTAGCTCTCTTAACTGGGCCTGACGGTCCTTACGTGTTACGTCATTCCTTAATGGGCTGTACGACTGGGAACAGACATTTGAGGGATATTTTAAAGTAGATGATATGTACTTCTTTTCAGAAGTAACGTCAGCCCTCTATCCATATTCAGTCGATAAGAAAATGTGGTGTTTATACAACCCCATTCCATGTATCTTTTTTGGTAATCATTCGTAATATGCTGTCAATAGCCGCTTCGATAAAGGCAAAAACCATAAAGTCTCGGATTCGATACGTGGCCGAAACTCAGTATAGTTTATAACACGAGAAATATATGTATAAATTTTATAATTATAAACACTTATGGGATTGACGAAATGCTTTTCGTATATTCCATACAGATTTTTGTTTTTGTATTATAACGAGTGATGCAGCAGCATCCTGAGGAAGTTGAGAAGATATAATGACTTGTGCAGAGAACTTATTAGTGTGAACGTCGATGAGCAATTCTCGTTTAACCCTCACCAAGATGTCTCTCACCGAACAAGGGGTTGTATCGTTTTATTATCGTAGAAGCATTTCCTATAAGCTATTCCGTTGCCGTTACTACGAGATAAGAAGAACTTTTTTTTGAAGTTGAAAAGGGTTCTACACAAAAAAACCGACTACTAAATTAGCAGTAACATCTACAATACGGACAGGTTGTTCGGCCGATTTAACAAATAGTATATTATACATAAAGCGTATCAGGAATATCATTTAGTTAGCGGATGAGTCTAGATATACCGATCTACAAATTTATCCTACACAGCTTAATGCGTTTGAAGAGTTATGTCAATTAGAGTACCTGTCCAGTTAGGGAGAACTTACAGTTAATTGAAATAAAAGTCAAAGTATAGAAAATAAAATAATAATGTACATAAAACAATGATCAGCTGCAAATAATTGAAATTTCCTCGTTTGGCAAGGCCTTAGTAGGTCTATTTACTACCGATCAGAGCAAGTAGATAAACCTGTGCCTGCGTTTTTAGACTTTTTTAGAAAAGCTACATGTCTATGGAGTTTATATAGCACATGATACGCATTCGCAAGCATATACTCGCATAGTTTCGCGACTACGTAGAAAGTTACAAATCATCAACAACACGCACTTATGTATTTACACACACGTTTATATCAAAATCTTTAAGGTTGTGCTCAGTTACTGTTACGTTAACAGAGACTTCTTTAATGTCCTCTACGTATCGCCCCCTAGTATCATCTTCCGTTGTGATTGGTAAACGACCATGGCAGCTTCATATTAGAATCGGTAGTTCCATAAATGCTATTGTTTGTGTCTTTCTACGACTGTTACAAGAACACCAACTGACAACGACGAAGGGACAATTTTCTCAAACCGCATTTTCATCTAGAAAATAGGCTTTGCTAGTTCAATCGACTGAACTTCTCTGGACGCATTCATGCGTCTTCTTTTTACCTGACTAAAATCCCCTTTCTTAGCGGGTTCACTCGGATAAGTTCTAAAGGTGCTCCAAAGATTTCAATGCTAGGTCGTCTTGTTTCGTCAGTCCCGCTAAAATACCATCAACAAGTGTATACATAGATTACACAGTGCAGGCTCACGGAAAGAGGTCCGACGTCCTTCGCGTGTTCTGCTTATTCTGTTACGATTGTTTCAGCTACTGCTGCTGCTGCGGATGGTGTTTCTGTCCAGGAGCGTCGTGCCAACCTAACTTCCCCAATATACGCACTCCCCCTAGCGCTAACAGACCTAATCGCTTGCTTGGCCTACGCTCACTATTATCTTTCGTGCCTTTTCCGACTACTCCATGATGGTCTTACTATAAGCTGGTGACGCAGAGTACGACTCACTTTAGTGACAATAGCACTCAGAGCTGCAGCAATGGCTACTGTTGCGGATGTTGCAGCAGCACTACAAGTACAATGATATCTGGCAACGATAACAGATATGAGACGGCGGGACTCGAAGCGCGTGTGCGCTTGTACTGTCTTTGCGCCCGTACATGGGCAAACGTCTACATTTCATTTCCCTATACAATAGATATATGTATATACATTCTCTGTTTATAGTTTTTGTTTCTCTCTCTCTCTCTCTCTCTCTCTCTCTCTCCCTCTTTTTCTTATTTTCTTTCTCGCCCACTCTCGATCTTTTTGCTCTTTCTGTATGTACTGTAGACACACCTACCGCTTTTACTTTGCGACGAGCGGAATCAACCAAACCTCCAAACATCCAAGGCCGTAAGTAGAAGCTGGGCAGAATTAGACTAGTAGCGGTATCAACGGAGCGGTGAAGCCCATAGCAGGCGACATCTTTCTTCTTAGAATGAATGAAATCAGCACACAAAGCAATCGATGTCGACGATAGGGAGAACGAAGACACCAGCTACCCAGCCGCCGTTATCACTACCATCAGCAACGACAAGTTAGCTTCTGAGGCGCAATAATCAATATACGATAAGTAAGACAGTAGAACATATGTGCACGTAAACAATATGTACCTTAAGGAAGATCTCGTTGAAAAATTGTCTTACGCTACGCAGCCGCAAACAGAGAATAAGGATCTGCCTCGTTGATTAGCGGCTGCAATACAGAAGGGAACATCAGACGGATAATAAACTTTGAACACAATTCACACACAAACAGACGCACGCATCGATCTTTTTTTTGTTCGTCTACCGTCGGCCGGTACTGTTCCCCGTCGTCTCTCCTACGAATGGCTCTACCTTGCGGCCACTTTCCTACGACGAGCTCACGCTCACGTAGTGTTGTGGTATTTCCCGAAGACGCGGTTAGTTCACGACCCACAGTAAGTATATAGCGAGCACAGAATACATACCAATAAATGCATAGCTATAAGAGCAAACGGGCAAAAACCGCACGCTTTCTCATAACCCCGTACAGGGTGCACGCATCTGAAGAACTGCTAACATTACCATCACGCACCTAGCGCCATGAGTACCGCATCACGGAACACTACTGCCCAGAGAGATGTTTAGCAGATGTACATCAACACTATAGCTCTCGGCAAACATCATACGTGAACAGATATACGCAAAAAGTTACTTCGTAACGGCGACACGAGTTTGCTAACGAAGTAACGCTGCCAGTTATTAGTGCCACTCTTACTGCCAAATGAAACCGTTATTAGCTGTTTCCTACCTCCTCGAGAAAGACATTTGGTGTCCACTGTGGTCACTTGACGCGTCGTCGGCGACGCCTCAGCGCTAACGCCATCATCTTTCGCTGACCCGGCGCAAAGGCCGCTTGAATCGTTGCGATTCGAGTTTCCAACAGTCGCAGAGCACCAATAAGATATCTGTAAGAGTTTGGTACGGATTTTGATTTGTTTTCTTCCTTTAGGCAGAGCCTCGGATGGACGTTTTTATCCGAACAACAACGGAACCAGCAGCAGGTGACGGACGGTAGAGGACGACGATTTTCTCTCTGGGGCGGGGTAGGGAGGGAGGGGTGGGGTAATCGTCAACTCGGCTCAGCTCAGCTCGACGATATCAACGCGGTGCTATGTCGTGGTCCGCTTTCGCTTTGCTATCGGTCTGTTCGTAAACTGGCGCTTCGGTAGTGGTGTTGCAGGCACCGCTGCCCCGCGGTTCATCGAAGGCTTGGGAAGCACCGAGTGAGAGCAGACACCAGCACAATTATTACTAACACTAGTATGACGAGTGGGAAAAGCAGCAGTAGCAGAAGCGACGGGAGTGGAGCGAACGCTGCGATCTCGACAACAAGCAACGGTCCAGCAATCCAACTAACAGCAGAGAGCAGACTGGCAGTAGTGCGGAAGCCGTTACGGGAGAGCCTTTTCTCTCACTCTTCGAGCCTGTCTGCCTGCCCGCTCGACTAGCCGTCTGGTCGTCTGCCAGCCTGCTTTGGCGCTCTATAGTCTATAACCTCTGATCAGGACAAACAGCGACTTGTTCCACTCACCCCAATAGTCACGAGCACAGCCGAGCTCAACACCACAAAAGGCGAATATAACACAGCAGAGCAGAGGAGCTTTCGGCAGCAGCGGCCTGAGCTCTCGCGCCGCTACTTTACTATCGACGAGCGGACGGTACTGTGCTCACTACCGTCTGCCTTGTCCCGCTCCGATCCAAACCCACGCTCTGTTTATCTGCCGCTACTCAAAGAGTATATCGTTGTTGTTGTCGTCGTCAAGTGTATGTTTCTGCCGTTCTTTCGTTGTCGAATCGATGACACTCAACGCAAAGATCAGTGGTGCTGCACGATCGGGTATTATGACGGCGGCAGGAGCAGAGCTGGACTCGAAGGGAAGCAGGGAAAGGGGAAACGCGGCGAAAACAGGCAGCGGTCAAAGGCGCGACACACGAAGCCTTAAACAGGACTACTTAGCGGTATAATAACGAAAAGGACAGTACGACGGGAGAAAAACGAGAGAAAAAAGGAAAAAAGAAAAGGAGAGGTAAATTGCATGCTGCCCGATAATACTGCCATTGCTTTGCTTCCCGGTGCTGTTGAAGACTTTTCTCAAATACCTTGTATATACTGAGTGAAAGGGAGCCCGATACATTAGTTGGTTTTAATTTACCAAGGATCGCTTTTTTCAGAATGCTAGTCCATCAGACAGCCTACACCGCCACCCTGAGCTGAGAAGTGGTATAGCCAGAGTAAAGCTCTCGGGAATGACTGCATAGTTTAAAAAAGGAGGAAAACCATAATGTTTCTACTCTTACAGGCTGATGGTGACATGAAGAAGACACAAGGGAAAGGACAGGAGCGAATTAATTTTTCATTATGTACGTCAGATCTATATATATATATATATATATATGGGCATGTATATATTTGATGCGTCATTTGGAAATAGCCAGAAAAACCAAAAAGCTCCTTCAAAAAACTGAGCCCTCTAAAAGTTATGTAGAATGTAACGCGGCTGTGATTTTCAGTTATAGCAGTAGAATTTGTGTTCTTCAATGAGTAACGTCACTGCTATTGCAGAGTTGTTTGCGATAGTAAGTTTGCATTCCTGGATGATTCAAGTCAAGGATGGATGATGAAACCCGCAAGCACAAGGGCCGCACACAAAATGTTACACCTTCTTAATACTTTGGACACGTTATTGGATTGTCTTCATTAGTGAAGTATTGGCTTGAATAATTATAACAGCGTTGCATTTCGATTAATGCAACCACCAAATCTACCTGAAAGCACAGGATATCCTTGTTGATGGTCAAAATTCTGAAATTAGATTGGGTACGAGCAAAATTGGTGAACTGGATCTGCCATTTTTAAATCGTCTTGTCTTCGCTTCCCCTTCATTGTGACGCGGCAGGATTTGATAGTTAAAGCAGCTGGCAGATCAATGCCTATTTTTACATCGCACAATGATTTCATATATACAAGGAGAAAAATGAAATACATACAACATGAGCTAAAACTCTAACACACAGACCTTCGACAGCCGGTTTGCAACAGCAATTGCAATACCTATTTGTCACTGGGTCATAAGCACGAACTCAACACTTTCAGCATCGAAGTTCTCGTCGAGACATAAGTTGCCCGTATAGATTCGATAGCAATGATACATATTTTCTCTACTAATTACATAATCCCTCTGTAGGACTGCTTCAGCGGAACAGTGTCAGCTTATCGAAAGGAATACAACAGTTAAGTCTCTAAAACCATCTCGTAACTCTAATTTAGTTCTTTTGTTTGGCAATTAATTATATTTCCAACCCTCAAAACAAAGTTTCTAGTATATCATATAGCTGTGCTATCCAAGAGTCAATAATAAACCTAACGGGTAGTGTCCTATTTACACAGCGCTGATCTACGTAAACAGTCAATAGAAATCAGTACCATATTGATTCGTCGAAGGTGGGAAATTTTTGTTATCGTTATTAGCTTTACTCTTAAACATATCTTTTGTGTAGTCTAGATTTGACCATCATCCGACGCCAACATGTTCTTTTTTTAGCATGTCAGGTATGTACTATATGTCGTACAACTATTGGACAACAGGTTCAGTTCAAACTTCTCATTCTAAGGTATTTCGAATTTTACGTTCGGCATCGCCGTGAAGTATTCCATCAAACAGACACACAATGCATTTTATGCCGGACCACAACGTGTCCTTGATATTAGCACGCAAATATGTTATCCACTAAGCTATCATTTGAACACCTACAGATTACAAATAAAAAAAACGTTCAGTGATCGTATATTTACGGTCGCTATGCCAAACAACTGCCTGACTATCAGTGTGTCGAAACAAAGTATCACCCTGAACCCATCGAGTGATGAAAGTAAAAACTAAGATTGTGCAATTCAACTGTCTCATAACATCTTTATACAACCAAGATCTATCCGCCTAAATATGTTTAAATAGTAATAGAAAAGGATTAGTAGGACAGCTCTAAAGGGCCCAGACCTTAAAAATACCAGAAGTTATCGTCGGCGCTAACTTTCGAACAGATATTAGCACAATGTATTTTTTTGTCGTGCGTTTATATAGTGAACAATCGATGAGCTATCTGCGAAATTATACGAGCAGTGTACCTCATGGATTCGCTTTCTAATGCCCGGTCAATAGGTAACCAATATACATGGAGGACTCTTAGAATGTTTCTCCCGTAACTCGGTCTGAAAAAAGGCAGTGAAGATGTACTTCGCACATACGGATACACATATATGCAGCTTTTGCGTTGTGCGTATGTAGAAATCCATACTGTTCGTAAGTAATGAAGAGCTCCATGTAATCAGGTTGGCTGCAGTGCTTTTTAATTACGTTATACCTAACCGAGAGGATTTCACAAATCCGAACACGATGATTCAATTAATTGCCTGTCTATGAATAGACTACATCATCCCCAATAGTCCCCTTTAAATGAAAAATAATAATTTTTAAAATTTAGTCAAAAATTATTTTTTCCGATTATTTCGAAAAGCACTTCAACGTTTACGCTGCTCACGTTTTACGCAAACTATTTGCCGTCATAAAACTTTACAAATGTGCCTGTTTGAATTTGCTGTTTGAACTATATGGCTAACATCGACACGACTTTTAGCTACGGCTAATCCACAGTTCTAAAAAACAAAGAAAAATCCAATTCTAAATCAATCCTGGTTAAATTTTAATGATATCATGACATTTGCTAAACTAATGGTACGATGGGAAAATTCAGCAATTTCTACGAAAAAAAAAAGTATAGAAATCGGAGTATCTGGGTCGGTGATAGGTGACTGCGCCTTGCAACAATAATTTCCACTGAATTTATGGATACCATTTAGGAAGATGGATGTACGGCGCATTTTGATATTCTACGTCGGCGTTTCCTGTAAATTAAGGACAGCACACTCGAAGTCATTGAAAGTAACAAGTCGTAACGAAGCAAATACATCAAAAATAACCATTACATCATTTTGCGATAAATTATGTATCTACCGAAATCAACACCCCTCAATCAATTCTAAGCAGAAACATCTAAAAGTAATAAGACCATTTGATTAAATTAATGCTTAAACTTATCTATTTTCTTATCCATGACTGGATCATACCCTCTACAGTAGTTTGGCAATAAAATATTTCTATATATCTCACCGATGACATATTTTGACTGAAGGGGTCTAGTGCAGCCAACCCATTTTGGGAATTGTAAAAAAGCTAAAGCAAAAGCTAACCTGCATGGCTGTTCTGATTGCTGATATGATTTAGGGAGGTTCCTGTATGCTACTATTCTTTTTATAGCGACAATATACATTAGTGATCTTCAGTCGCATTGCATTGTGACGCTTGCCAACACCCGTGACCTCAGCCCATACCTCTGAAGTGGTAATATGGTATTTATCAATCCTGAACAGCATATCAGAAGGTTAATAAGCAAGGAAAGTGTCACTCTTTGTGGGGGGGAATGGGCTTAGAACGGTTAGATGCACACGATAATTTATCGTTTGGCCTTATTGTTAAAGTATTGTCTAAGATGATGAGTTTCTCTTATTTACGTATGAATAATACAAAAACACTCCATGACCAAGGGTGCCGATAATCCGGCACCCTTGGTCATGAGTATTTTTCCGTGAATATAAACGTCATTTGCTCATAATACTAAATTCGCTAACATCAGGTCTAAAAAGAGTGACCGTAATATACTAGAATTTGATAAAATCATAATTTTGTTACGCGAATATTCTCGATTTATACATGAATAAACTATTGATGAGCTGGCACTTCAAGTAGTTTTCCCTCTACCCGATAAATATATATTTTCGTTGATTTTACCAGATTCACACCAGACTACACCACACCACACCACTAATGTTTACCAATATATTACGCTCGAGATGATTCGAGTATTCATAATAAAGAGTACTGACGAATAATTTAAAAAAAGCAAAAAAAAAAAATGTGTTTCATTAGTGTCACCGTAGGTCTATTTTAATTTCCTTTCCATAAGTGTCATTCATTGTTCTTTTTGGTAATTTTCGAAACCGGTATCAAATGCCGGCTACGGTCAAAATGACATTTTTACTCAATCGTTCGATGTAAGCAGAAACGATGTGGTCGAAATTGTCGGCCGTGGTGTCATCAGCTGCAGAAAGGTTTTTTTCATTTAAAGAAAAAACACAACATTACCAAGCGTATATTAAAAGCCATCTTTCTACTTGTCTTACCTCTGTTGCTCGATAAATGGAGGTACTTTGTTGTAGTCATCCCCTAGCTACAGTTATTGTGCATAATACCTTTCATCTGGCTTTGAAACAAGTGATTGCTGGTCAAAGATCTGCCGAATGCCGTACATAACGTGTAAAGATATTTAAAGATCTGTTCTTAGATATTCGATAGAAATATAGGGTGCTATAAAAGTATAAATTGAATCGAGCCATTCTTTTTTGACAGTACAATGGTCGGTGCCACTTACTTTAGCTTCCTGTAGGAATCAGTTTTATCACACATCCGTAAAAAAAGATGGTAAATCTTACACCCCATAGGGCGGAACACCTGCACACTATCGTCGTAATATAAGGGCATATCTTGATAAAGACCTTCCAAACAACGAAAAATACCCTAGTCCCGTCGAGCATCTTAAAGTTTACAGCAGAAAATTTTAGCGATCAATCGCTTTTGGAATGCTACTGGCCATTATGCGTAGCCGGTGCCTTTCAAATAGTTAAACTTTTAAGGAACCACACGCAACAAGAACGTCGCATCTTTGACTAACTTAGCATGCAAACTATTTCATAAGCTATTACAAACAAATGAGACATCCACGATTTGCAAATCACTTCACAACAGAAATTTCTAAGGGTTTTTTGGAAGACAAAACTTGTTTCCAATTGGAAAGTCAAATAATACATATTCAAACATTTTAGAGATCCTGCTAGTTAATTAGGCTACGACTTATGAGGCAAGATCATTTCAAGCTGTTCAATTATTTAGATATGAACGAGCTATCCCAACACTTTTTACCTTTGGCAATACGTTGATCTCCACAGGTTCGGCTGTCTGTTTCACTCACGCCAAACGCCTATTTTCAAGTACGAAAACAAACTAACTAGCGTCATTGCACCATAATATATAGCATAATTAGAATTTTGTTGCAGAAAAAACTAGGGCAAGTACAGAATATAGAACTATATTAGTTATATGGACGTAGTTAATTCTTAGCATTTTTACCAATCCAATACGAAATACTAGATTCAGAGGCGGGCGTACAGAGCTGGGACCGAACGATATCTGGACGGGTAGTGTCAGATTCGACCCCGATGGCTAGGCTTGATTCTTCCGAGACTAATGCCGGCTAATGCATCTCGTCCCTTAAGCTTTACTCTCTGCCGTCGCGGAATTTCATTAAGTAACACCACGGGACTAGCAGAAGAAGTAACAGGTGTATTCGGATCAAGCGACCCTAACCACACACGGGCCCCTTGTCACCACTCATATGTTGCAACGCATGTAAACTCAAAATTCTGGTCGCGTCGTCTGCCACCTTGGCAATAGCAGCAGTTCATTCTCCATTGTTGCCCACTTTACTCCACTTTGGCCACAGCCTATGAAATCCTTAGGGATTTAGCTGACTGTGGTCGCTCCGCGTTCTCATCCACTGGATGATGACGTACTTGAACTCCACGAGTTCCGCTAGTTCTGTTCTAGGCGACTCGAGAAGGAATCATGTTTTCCAGGAGCTAGCCTCTCCACCTAATCAAGACCTTGTTTCTGGCTATTGTCCTCACAGCCTTGAAAATGGGACAGGTTCGCGACGCATGAGCAGAGCTATTCTTTGCGTCCCGGTTGTAGTACGTATAAGTATCGAATGAAGTCTTCCCAATGCTGTATTGTAAACAGGTTAGAAAGGGACTTAAATACTGCGTTTTCTACGAAGTGATAGTGGACAGTCGGAGTGAAAACGCCGTTCTGACATAGAATTGTTGCTATCGTTGGCCAACCTAAATTACCCAGCAGTACTTAGGTATTCATTTTTAGGAGACTTTCCTAAAACGTTTATCTTCTTAGAATTTGAGGCGTACCAAAAAAAAAAATTCAAATGATGTCCGGGTCCTAAAGCAGTGTCGTGTATTATATTTTCGTTTACAAGTTTCTACTAGAGTCAGTTTTTATATTTTTATATATTTTTAGGAAAGTGCACGGGGCTTGTTTCCAACGGTCCACACTCAAAGATTCAACGATCCGCAAGACAGTGCAGTGGTTACCAAGTTTTCTATGGGACTAAAAACTTACTTATATACTGAATAGGCGTGCGCCATAGATTTTTGCACAGTACATGGATTCGTTAACCTAGGTTATAGGCAAAAATGTACATATTGCCTGAGGGCGCGATTAGGTTTTGATTCTTTTAAACTTAAAACTGCTATATTTTTATGTATTACCGAAAGCATTATTTGTTTGTCCAATACGTTAATACAGTTGCTCTGTAATAGAATGACACGGAAATCATTATTAGATCGATGCTAAGTCAATTTCAGACAGAATAAAATTTGAATCTCTCTGGCGCAAATGATAATAAAAGTACAATTCCGTTTTTACGGTAGATTTATGCTGTATTACACTGCATAACCGTCGTTACGATTCGCAGTGAACTATTAAGTAACTATTTGTAAGTGCTTTGAGCTCTCTGTTGGGTGAAATATCGAGACGGAGCGAATGTTTTTAACGAGGATTTTATTCACATTTTTTTTTTTTTTTTTTTTTTTTTTTTACTAGTCATCAGTTCGCAGAAGTTCGCTGCGAATCGATAAATCCGCCAGACATCACCGTGTGACCGACGACGACATGATCTAAAATCTAAAAGCTTCAAATCTGTTTTTATGATAGAAACGACAGGGGCTGTCAAAGCTAGAACGTATCTATTTAAATAATGTTTTGGTCACAAAGTGTGATGGTTCTCATTTTAATTGAGTAGTCATAACTGCCCCAGGCTGTGGCAATCGTTATTATTCTTTATTGGCACTGGCCGCTTCACATCTTAAATGAGAACATTGGCCTCTTGCCAACACTTTTCATGACTTAGAACACGTTGCCACGCTGGATCCGGTGCCATATCCACCTAACAATGGTATACGAAGTCATAGATCATTACAACAAAGTTCGCATTAGTACATACTGTAGCTAAGGTTATGGCAATGCAACTTTTGTCTGGGAAGTTTCAAACAAATTGACCGTTCCCGGACGCGTTAGGTTAAATGTTCCTGTAGTTTTCTGTAAAATATTTTACGTGAACGCTCCTTATTATTAAATTGTCTATGGTCATATGATACGATTTCAACCTGACCACTTCGACAATTCGGTATATGCCTAAATACGCAAGTATCTATTTCGCTCGAACGAATGAATCGAGTCAGGGGGTGTAGGTAAGGAGAAAAGCCGCAAGCAACAGATCTTAGGGACACGTTGTGGTCCAGGTTCGAACCTCGGCATAGACAAACGGTTTTGTGCCGGGAGCCAGCCGTCTGCCTGATGGAATGCCCAACGACGATACCGGACATAGATCTCGAAACAAAGAGGCAATAGATCCGTAAAGAATTAGGGTATTCATATAATTATTGGATTCATGTCATACAGATATTATAGACAATGTAAGTGCCGCTGCACCCTGAATTGCCGTTCGTACCTTAACCTCGTTGCATCTTTGCTAGGTCATGGATGCTTCCGCACAAATGTGAGAGTTTGCAGTATTAACGCTTTATCATTTAATCATAGCAAGCCCATTATCCGTCTTTCCATTGTAGAAGCCGGGATAACTCCGCTATTGGCCGGAAAAGAAAGGGTCTAGATATGGAACTACGCGTTTCAGCAAATCGCTGACCATGCTTGTGCATGAATTCAAGGTCACTAGGAAAAGGATTCGTTTTTGCGAACCTGTGGTGGTTTACCATAGTACAATTGCGAGCGCGTTATGCGACCGTAGAATTTAAGGGAGAGCCATGTCCTGTACAGACCTATCAGTTAGTCAAAAAATAAGCTACTAGAGTAGTAACTGTCAATTGCCATTCTAGAAATTTATAACTTGTCTCGCCTACACTGCAGTCGAGTATGTTTGATGGTGGCTTATTGAACAGACAAATCCCCTTTTTTGAGCTGTCTTTCATAAATGGCACCCTAATGAATATGGCTTCTATTCTACTTTAAGTACCAATCTGTGTTACCCGTTTCAGAGGTATAAAAAGTCACTCCTCGTCGACGTTTTCGTGCTCCCTTTCTCCCGCGTATATAGCCTTGTTGCGGCCTAAGTATTCAGCACTACCCACTGACCAACCTCTGGATAACTATGAAACGATTGTGTAGTTAGACTCGTTTCTAAGTTGTGACAATTACCAACGCAAGAGCGTAACGGTGAATCAATACAGTGCGGTAACACTGAGGTAAGCCAACAGATGAACCGTGGTTTGCGCCTCGAATTTGCAATGCACACCTACTCCAGTGTGACTTATCGTGTTCTTGATTTTTTATTCAGCCCCTTACGTTATGAATTACTTCAAATTTGTATTTATGTCAGTAGTTTTGGCGGCACTACAGACTTTTTTTATATGGAACTATATATAGGCCGGAACGATAGGAAGATATCTAGAAAATATAAGTTTATTCTAGAATCTCTATACTGTACGATGTTGAAGCTTTTAGCTTAGGTACATTTAAATAAGTACAGTTTAGATCTATGGGCAGAGGCATACATCTTTTACCCGAAAGCCCATATGTGTTTTTCTATTTCAAATATAAATCAAATCTGCGTTTCGTTAAGATTTATTTTAATTACGAAAGCCAAAGTGACTTACGCTTAGTTTGCATGGCAATACATCCTGCTGACTGATGAAAAGAGAAGACTCGCTTGTATAGCAACAGAAGCGTATCTTCAACGTAAGCGATGCTTAGCAAATATAGTACAGTGATATAAATAGATTTTCTACGGGAACATAGAATAACAGTATGGCCCTGTTGCGTTACCAGGCAAATGCTCAGGGTTTTAGGTATATCCCTATAGCTCATGCATAAACTATTACGAAGGTATCGCCTGTTCGCCTGCTTGTCGCCTAGATTCAGCTTCAGTGGACTCCGATAATATTAGATGAGAAGTTTACATTTAGTTGGCAAAGCTAAAAATGTTTGAAATTGATTATTGCCCAAAGGGCGGCCGAAATTTTGGTCTAGGAGTGGTTTGAAATATCAAGACCACGAAGGTAATGGTTCTAGAATAAAGGTCATTACGCTTCTAATGTATGCCTTCCTTCGTTTATGATTTAGGGTTATGTATTATTAACGTTACATGGTTAAGAAATTATTAAAGCTTATTAACCCTGGTCTATCAGTTAATATACGTTGTCTAGAGGCAAATTCATCGCCGCAAATCGATCTTAAGACTAGAATTGCCTTAGCGTAATTTACAAAACAACAGGACCAAATGCACTCATTTTTCGAAAATGTGATGCTTCTCCAAATTTTAGGAAGTGTTAGGAAGGATTTAACGATCCCGTATTTCGCTTCCGTCTTCAAATAAGTAAAATATCAATAAAGTGAAAACAGCCATTGAGAGCAGTACGAGAACGCATATCTTATGGAGTGTTTTTTTTAATGTTAACTCTAATGGCTACTCCAAGCGGTTTGGAAGTGCTTAAAAATTAGACTTTTGGCTTTGTTTATTTGTAGATTTGGCAGCCGATGTATATAGTAAGCGACAGGCACTAGTTCAGAAGTTCTCATTAGGCCTCAGACCAACGTTGTTTAAATATAGAGATAAGAAGGATACTGAATAGATTTTATCAGCAATTCCTTAGCGTAGAGCTTTATAGCGATGATTTCAACGCAAGCTTTCCTTATCCAGAAAAAAAAACTACGTAATATGTGTAAAGGAGAAGAAAAAAACAAATCTTTCTATTACGAATCTTTAAAGCAACAAACGCTAACAGTCTGTGCAGGACTTTTCATTAAATATATCCTACCTTTTCTAAGCTTTGCTGCAGTCTTTATGATCACTTGTCCTTTAATTTAACGATCTCCTGCTTGCTATCAATTTTATTCTGATAAACCCATAGCTTTTTCTATAGTGTGCTCGTAAATATCTTGAAAAGAGCTTGTTAGCACTTCTTGTGCTGGTTGTAAGACCACTACAAGCGCTAAAATCTGATTTTAACTTGGACAATAATAGTCGCTATGTAATTTATCGCCCAAATTTCCGCAACGCCCAATGTGAAAATAAGTGCAGAGATGAAATCATTATTGAGGCCTTGCACTATTTCTTACTTAGTTGAGAATCAACTTTTGGTGGAACTCGAAAGCCATCAGATATAGATTTGATGAAACTGGTACCTTTGTGTGTCAACGGCCACCTATAAATCTGTCGGCATTTTTGTCAAGTTGTAAAAATCGCTGGAGCTCCCGTTACGTTATCGGGATACGGACATACTAGTTCCAATGTTTTTGTTGGTGCAATGTTGGGTTATATCCAGTAGAGTAGGGAACTCGATAAATTTATTTTTATAGAATTAACAGAACCTTTATGTGATGCCATTACACTATTCTTCAAGAAAAAAATAAAAATTCAGGAAATATACTTCAGGAAAAATAAAAATTCAATTTTTATTTTTCAGAACATTTTGATAGCATCAAAGAAAAGTTCTGTTAATCGGGTTAAAAGTCGAAATGTGGAAAAATCAAAGAGCATTTCGAGTTACATAAAACGTTGGATTAGTGACGACGTATTGCAACATTGTTCACATTAGAAAAACTGGAAGAGGAGCTAATATTTATAGTCGATATTCATAAATTAGTTAGTGTTTACGCTGCTCTTTGCACGAACGTTTTGATAGTTACTTAGACGTAAGGATATTTTGCTTTTCCCACTATGCAGTCATGTAAGTCGTTAGTTAAGAGAAAGCCGCGGTCAAGTCAATGGAAAGGAAACAAATTATTAGGTAGTAGTAGTAGTAGGTGTCGATGGTTAGGTTTGAATTACTACAAGAAAACTGCATAAAATGGCGGCACCTGTCGAAGATCTCGTCAATAAAAGAGCAATCTCTATCACCGTATTCGTCAAAATTGTCCGACGAATTCGCAAAATTGGTCAAGTGAAATCAGTTATGTCATCAATTCACTGTTGAATCTTTCAACTGTTACCCATTAGCTTATTTACAATTATAAGCGCATGAATTTACGTATGTCTTTACACAAAAAACAATGAATCTACATTCTACTTTTAAGAACACCACTTCTGGTTTCGGTAAGGAGGAGGTTTTAAAAGATTCGAAGGTAAATGTGCGTAAATATGGTGTTATGACATTGTTCGTTGACATCATATGGCTCAGAGTGTTTGAAGTTGAAGGATATTTTAAAAAAAAAAAAAAAAAGAAAAGATTTAAATAACTACATAGTAATTTGACGCTAACTTCAGGTAGACCCGTCAATAAATCTATGCCGAGATGGGTCGGCACTACTCATCAAGCGACGACAGTTGTGACGACCATTGTGGAAGGTAATAATAAGTAGAAGGACGATTCTGGAGGAATAGTAAATACCTGAATAAAATTTCACATATAGATATATATACTTTTATAAAAGGACTTAGAGAATGTCTGTTGTTTTTGCCTGCTTCTCCATAACCTACAAATATTTTCCGTACATGTAAAGCTAACTGTGAATTTATTCCGCTGGTTAAGCTCCCCCCATATAGGTAGATAATATAATAATAAATGCTATTAAAATAATACTACTAATAATAATTATGAACATCCTTACTTCTTTACCAACCTCCTCGCTCGCAGGGCACGCAGGTCTTTTCATCGGAACGCTCGAGGTAGAGACAGTCACCACGAAGACTATCGTGATGGCCAGCGGACTGACCGAAGAAGCCACCTCAACGATTCGGACGATAATCACCGTCCACATCGTCATTACAGCAATCGAAACGGTCAATCTCGGTAAATTAGTGAGGAAATATATATAATGTTATACCATAATTTATCGTTGATCAGTCCAATCGGATGCAAATAGCGCACTTCGTCTCTAGTACTGCTTTCATAATTAAGGAAATCGTTACAATATAATGTCCCGATTATCGTGCAATGTTATACATCAGGCATGTTGCGCCTTACAGTTCTGTCTAAACTGTATCTTCTTATTCAATCCAGACACCCATGCGGTTAGTTAAGCGTTACTGCATTAACTACAAAAGAAACTGAAATAGAAAACCTCATGATTCGGCTGTAAACACTTACCTCTGTAGCACTAGTTGCTGACTTCAGTGATGTACTTTGTGAACCGAGAACATTATATCCTCTTGAGGACTGACCTGTGTTTTGGGTACCATAAAACTGTTGATTACGCGATTATCATCTTGCGAGTGATGTACAGAACGATCACAAATTAAAACTTCTAAACTCCTTTATGCTACTTTCCTGCCGTTTTTTACGTTTTTTTACTAGCAATGTAAAATTGCGCTGCGGTGGGTCTTTTATACTTCTGTTTATTCATTCTCTCTAAAAGCTCATATATCTCAGCATTAATGCAATTATATTCAAATTATTGCAAACGTATGTAATAGTAAACTAACATGGAGAACTTGGATCGGCGAGGTTTAGCTAGAGATCGAATCAGAGACTTCGTATGTCAGGTCTGAGTCAAATGGGGATGAGCTCCAAACCTTTTGTTTACTTTTTTCTTCTTCAACGCTTTGTTGCTCATATCCACGGTAATGATTATCTTGGAGATCTATTTAACTTGACCAAAGCTTTTTTAGTTTTGCACTACTAACTAGGTAATCAGAAAACTCCACTCCATCATTTGAAGATTCATTAGTGTGTTGTTTTCCAGGCGTCGATCACCGTCTCCTATGGAAATGGTATCAGTGAATACTCATCACATATACGATGACAGACAACATTTGAAGCAGCTAAACATACCGACAAAAGTAAACCGATCGTGCACAGACATCACCTTCCTAATTCTGTTCCTCATGGTGATATTCTTGTGGTCTCTAGTTGCCTTCGTAGGTTCGTACCTTGCTTACGTTTTTTTTTTTTTTTCGTGTCACGACTCTATTCTGTTGATTGTATCAATAGTTTGCACATTATGAACTGAGAGCCTTCGTGTCCCCGTTTCCGGCTGCAATCGTTTTGCTCTACGTAGAACCCACTCCTGCTTCGTTATGCAACTTCCTTACCATAACTATTAACTGTAGCCAGTCGGCACTAAACGAAAATACCGGCCAGTAGATTTAACTACTTCGGAACGATTATTTATTTAGACAACAGCAGATCCACTGAGTACATTGAGACGAGGATGAGAAGCGCAACATTTATATTCATTAAAATAGGCAAGCTTCTCGAAAAATTGTACTCGTTCTGTTTAGTCTGAAGGCAGCATCAATAGCTTTACGCGATGTCCAATCAACAGCATGAAAACTGTCTCAGCCGAATTAACTGATTGCCTATTTCATACTTTCATGTTAATTACTTATTCTGTTGACATTGTCAATAATAATACTTATATTCCTTTCTCTATCACATTTTGCTCATTAGTTGTTTTTGTGTAGATCTAGACTAATTTTTGCGACGATCTGGGCTTTGCAAACTGGCACGTGATCTTGAATGTGTGGAGCATCATTTCCATCGTCGTTTGATCTTCTACATCTTTTACAGCATCGCTCCCGTCTCGCGACGGCTCTATTTCGAACGCGTCCATCTTGTTTAAATAAATAACCATTTAGCTATAACATACTTGCACTGTATTTCTGATATATCATGTCATTCAAAAGAAACGTTCTTGTGAATTCAGAAAAATGTCGGTCAAATCGTAGAAGCAACATGCAAGCAGTATGGTATAGTTATAAGGTACGAGCTCTTAACCGTGTTTTTCAGCGATAAAAAATGTCAATCTCGAAAATCTGATGCCACACAAAGACTCCAATGGAAACCTGTGTGGAACTCGCCATTTAACGTAAGTCAAGTATGAGGCGAAGAGAAACAAAAGTTACTGAATATGAGTATTGTTTTACGCTGTCGCAAGATTTCTTGGTGATTTGCTAGAGTAAATTATGTTACCAATGACGCTAATTTGATATAAGCCAGCGGAACCAATTACAAACAATTTTACATATCAAGAATAATTTATAAATAATCAGCAAGCAGCGAATGTGTGGTGGTCGTGCGGTTGTCGGCGAAACCTAGGGGCTTTTGAGATTCTTGCTCCACGATAAGCTAGTCTGGCATTTCACTCTGGAGTTGGAATTTCCTAAGCAGACAGTCAACTGTCGTTGATAACATTTGACTTTCTGATTGGTTTAGGAACAAACGGATTTTGTACATAGAAAATCTGGAACAATGCGTTACACGTGAATCAGGCAAGATCTTCCCAACGTTCAAGTGTACTAGAACATTCTGCGTTGAGAGCTGCCCGAACATGACCTCGATGTCTAAGGAAAGTCAATTTTGCACGAGAGATATTTGCACGAACTATGTTCTTCAGTCTCGCGAATGTACGTAGTCTGTGCTTTTTCTTCACTCATGTTTCGAAATGTTGAACGTATTATTTTTAATTGAGTTTAATGAATTATTGAACACTGAAATTCATCACTGCTTCCGTCTACTACTACTACTACATGATGACGGTTCAGTTCGATTGTTTTATTATGCTTTTACGCACGGTGCCCCGTGAACTATATAAAAAGCGCTTGGAAAACAGGAAATTTCACTGTTTCTCAATATCTCACCCAATACCAAGCAACACACTGATTAATAGCAGGTTTCTACACAAGGTTGGTACGAGTGGCCAAAGGCAATATCTTCACATCTGTTTAAAGCAATGAAAAATACATCCAAATATAAAGACATACATTTATCCTGAAAAATAATAGGATTTGCGTTGGATTTGCACTGGAAGGGCCTTACACATAAGAAAATGCTTAGTAAGAATAATACAGTTAATGGGGGTCTGTATATAACATCAAGTAAGTGGGGCTTACTTTGACCTAATTGTTTAGCTTCCCTGCATAGCAGGGTCTTTAAAATTACGAATCCTGTTTCCACTGCTCAAAAATTGTCATCTAGAAAATTAGTAGGGAAGGAGCTGCAAACCCATTTATAAACTAATTGTTGACCATATCCTACTTTGATCCCTAGTCGGGGTCTCATTAGGTCAACAGACCTAACTATCAATGATGCGCAACTGCTAGCTCAGATGTAGGTAGGGCATGAAAGCCCTAGCGGCTAGCTTACCAATACCCTAGTGTTTCACAATTTGGTGGTGGGAACGCAGCTTGCCTATGCTCAGACTTGTGGAAGCAACCAAGCTTGTCCGGAATACATCAGCCCCCGGTCAGATCACTGCAAAAGGCAGGTTTCATGGGCTTACCATTAGCACCGGTTGCGACTGAAGCAGAAAAAAAGAATTGGCCGCGGAAAACTATTGACCACGAAAAGTGTGACTGACCAGACAGATGCGTGCTATGCGAGGGATAGATGGCCACATGCTGTAATATATTGTCACACTAACCGTAAAGAAGCCTAACAATAGAAGACGCCCAGTACGTATTACGACAGTGGACGACTGTAGAACTGTGGTGACGGCGTGCAGCCGTTAAAGAGGTAACTAGCCCCAAAGCGTTACCCGATGTGATGTCAATCACTACGGCGCAAAGCGTAAATGCGCGGGGTTTATGCAATGGTGGTGGCCGAGTATTGCGGTAGTGAATGTAGATGACAAATGAGCTGCTAGCGAACGCAGTTAGGTTATGAAATCCTTAGCCGCTAGCTGATGTACTGTCAACCTTCGACCAGCGGTTCATTTACATTCTTTAACCTTGACGTTGGCGGGCAGGAATAAGCGCGTTACCGTCGCTCACTCTGCGCTTACGTAAATGTACGTCTTAGAATAAAAACTGCATAGAGTTAATAACTGATAGATTGCTTTTCAGTCCTGGGTATTTGCATACCTGTAGGAAACTGCGAGCCCAGCAAAACTACTGAATTCAGCACAGCCAGCACGCCCTACCCAGATACAACTCGCGAAGCTCTCACGTTAGTTAAAAACGATTTCCTATTTACTTAAAAAGCCCATAAAAATATTGCAGGGACAGGTGTGACAGGACACCGATCTAGTCACAGTGACCGAATTTAGCTAATGGTTTGTTCCCTCAACGAGCTTCTCAAGAATCGCGGCGCTGACACCTTACACCAAGCAAACGAGCTATAAGAGGCAAACTAGCTATGAAAACATCTATAAAATTTTGGCATTTTTCCCCGTAGGAAAAAGTATGGTAGAAATCATCATGGCTGGTTGAATGATTCTGTTAATTAATAATGTGATTAAGATTTCTAATGAAGTTTGTTAAATGCTAATGAAGTTAAATTTGTACTGGGATATTTCTAAAAAACTTGTGAGACAAAGCGTACTACATTTAAGAAACGTATTTTTACTGAGGCTGAATTTGATCCTCGTAGGTTAGCTATATCAAGAAACAGCTGTGATAAGTTCTGCCAAAATATTTATGTTAACAGATTATCAATAACAACAGTAATAATTATAATTGATATTGATAAGTTCATTTTACGAGAGTTTGTTCGTACTCCTCACGCCATTTGACAGATATTTTTAGTTAGCTTTAACAAATAAGTGTTTCTCGTGCTCTCGTTAATATTTATCGGCAAGTACTAGTTTTCTTTTGCTAAGCCACGGCAATTAAATTCAAGAAGTTATTTATTATTATACTTTGCAGAGAAGTTTGCGACCGTCTACAAGCATTTAGTATGGCATTCTATATCTTCTGGGACGTAACAGATGCGTACCCTGTTATCCTGGGGTACGTCCCACCAAAAGTCAACTTTTACTTTTCAATGCAAGCCTATTTACCAGACTGTAAATAAAGCTTTTTTACATTCTTATTTATCTGCATCCACATGCGGTTACAAAACAGTATTCACTTTCTGTCCAGAAAGAACTAATAGAATGGCAAGATATGGTTATTTATAAATTTTCATTACAGAATATTATCTTAAACAGAAATAAGCTACGATTGAGTACCACGTGAGATTATAATTAAAAAAATATACTGAATACTATCTAAATCGCAGCCAACTATTTTAGGCAACTTAAGGAAATTCTTTTTGATCAAGTTATTTTTGACAGGATTGACTCCGGGCAAGGTTCGTATTATAAATTTCATACTTTTTTAGAATATAAAAACGATTTCGATATACTTGTTTAAAAAAAAAAAAAATATTTAAGCACATTGAAAGCGAACCTATCCGTTCTCATGGCTGTACAGACTGTTGTGAAACCGGTCACTTTCTGTGGCACAAATCTTCCGAGTTTCACCAAAAACCTGCAAGATCGAATTGTCTTATTTTTAGAACGTTAATCCATTTCATTACAGCATAACCAAGCTCAAATTCTGATAACATTATAATGGCAAATAATTAAGGGAAATGAAACTTGCAATTTGAAGGGTGAATCTGATCATGCTGGCAGCGGCGAGATTCCATTTTAGGTTCAACGTGGTGAAAAGGATGTTTACCTTCTACCTATAATTATTAGTGGGGGCTACCTTTCGCTTTATCAATAAGAACCTGGTGAAATGGCAAACGAGAAGACGTACTTGAAACTTCCTGCTATGAAGCATTGATTTACCAAGTCTACACATATTGTTTTTGTCAACGCATGGAGCTCCTGAAGAGCTAAATGAAGAAAAAAAAAAACTTTAATGTATAACAAAATAGAAAACTATTGTAGATTTGGTGTATACAGTGCAAGCTTCATCTGCTATTCAACTAATCTGAGGTAATCGATTTCAGCTTGCTAGGAGTAGCTCTGCTGATAGCCTTTGTATGGACGCTATTGATGCGATTTTTCGCCAGTGTCATCGTTTGGACTTCATTCTACAATTTTCTTATCGTCTTCGGCGGCTGTTAGTAGCTTATTAATCTGTCCTAACATTGTCTCGCCTAATCAATATAATTAGTTTAGCTTAGAATGTATCGCTATTGTCCCTACTTGAATCTACTTTCATGATTCATTTAGTCGTTGTTCAGCGATTCACTCTGTTAAAGACTTTTCAAAACAAAAAAAACGATTCCTTTCACCAATGTTTAACATACAAAACATCCTCATAACAGTTATTAATAATAGTAAATACTAATAGTAATTAATTCAGCTTAAGAACAGATCTCAGTGTGTGTGTGTTATCATTATATTGGTTTTTTTCACCATAAACTACATTATTAAAAAACTAGCTAAGGTGACTGTTGGGCGTTTATCGAAGTTCGCGTTTTTATGAAGAAGCATATTTTAGTCGCGAGATGTACTCATATTGTAATTCCGTGGCTTATTTTCTTTAATAGTGGCTGTATTCACGGGTCACAAGGCATACACACTGCGTTTAATCGATCCGAAAAGCGATATAAATTTTGAAACCTTAAACGACCTAAACTACCTGAAGGTATGTGGGCCAAAACTTTTTATAGCGATTCAACAATTACATATAGAAACACGCTTTTATAGTGTTACATTTATTGCTTGAGGGTTGCCGGTTCTACGCTGCTACACATGCCTAAATACAATAACAACAAATAAGATGAAGACACCTGTTACAATTGTTCAGTTGTTTTTTTTTCTCTCAGTTGATTTATAACCCGGCTTGCGATACTGTCGGTAGTATCTGTTGACGTTTTTCTTGTCAAATATTAACTTAAACTAACAGGGTAACCAAATCGATCGATCAGCTGCAAAATTCCATACCCAGTGTTGCATGAAAGAACTTCAGAAGTAATCTGAATTTTTGTGAATGACTGTGTAGTGCCATTTTTACTAAATTGCCCACTCGTCTTCGGAGGCCACAGGGATATACTGAAGCACTCTTAACTATTGTTACGTTTCTAAAATATGAATAAGTCTCTGACATAAATAGCCGAGCATCGACTACGAGGAAATTTCAACGGAGTCTTCTTAGACTGGATCCTCATAACTTGTCCAGGTCTACAAAAAGATCGTGATCTTAAACTCTATTCAGATGTCCAAATGAGTCGGCGAGCTCGATCCGTTTGCATTGGTAAACGTAGCTGTAAAAAAAGTATAAGATATAAATATCGAGCAATTTATTCATTCTGACTAAACTTTCAAACAGTCTCATTTTGATTGAGTAGTGAGACTAGTAAAAAAATTTCCCTTAGACAGAATCAGGACAAACACATTAGTGTTATTAGTTGTACTTTTACGAAATTGTGCATGACTCTACGAGAGTCCTATACTTTCCTAAGGTCGTTAACCTAAACGTTAGTCTTTTACCTTAATATATGAAAGCTTACTACTGAAATTGTCCGTTTTATGACGGTTAAAACAATATCAGGATACTTGTTACATTAAAAGAATTAATTTTGACAAAATTAGAACCTAGTCAAAGCTTAACTATAGGTAATTAAGTAGTATTAGAATACCAAGATTAATTGCAAACCGTATCATATTTGTGTTCAACGGATGTTTCTTTCATAGAGTCGCTGGTATATTTGGGCCGGGATTAGCGGAGTCCTGGGTCTCCTCTTCTTGCTTATGCTCGTCCTCTTGGTTTTTCTACGAAAGAGAGTTCAAATAGCCATCGCCCTGATTAAACAAGCGTCACGGTAGGACATGTATAACGCTTATCTATATTTCAATCCTAATGGCCTGAGTCAATGAAATCCAAAAGCGTCTATCACTTTATTATCAGCATTATGCTTATTTAAACAATATAAATATAGTATACAGCACCTATGATGAAAAATTTTTTTAAAAAATCGTTGGCAACATGGCTCAGATGATCCAGGTGATCGGTAATTGCTATCTGGAAAAAAACGCAGATAAAGAATAAGCCTAAATAAAGGAGGGTCAAAAGTATGCTCACAAAGGGTCCGCGTGTTTGACTTCAACAAGTTACAAAAAAAAGAAAAAAAGAAAGATTATAATTGAAATAGATGCTATATAGCATGCTACTGTTCATTAAACATTAGCAAACGATGAAAATGAATGTGAGCTTTCCTTCTAAGGTCTGATCCTACACTAAGACTACTTTTGCCCTCCCCTCCTTATACATTGTATGTAATTTGGCTCTTTCTTCATTTGATTAACGCAGGGCAATCGCCAGTTTACCGACATTGGTTGTGTTTCCTGTATTCCCGTACATCTTACAGGCTGCTGGTTTAGCGTTACTGGTTGCACTTGGATTGTGAGTTTATCCACGTGAGACACACTTATCTTCTCTCGTTTGTTGTGTGGAAAACCACAGAACACCCCATTTGATCCAGCCAACTCGGAACTCTATAAGGACAAGTGCAATAAATTTCGTTTAGGATTTCGAACTATAATCAATCAAACTACAAGTTTGATCGTTATTTCTAAATCCGATTGACTGTCACCCTAATCTGCTTGTTCTGATTTGATATGAAGACAATTTGTATTCTTCTTACGCTGCTTGCAACCTGATTTTGATAAAGATTTAGCCCTGTCAGAAGCACTTCGTCTCAATTGATAGCATTTGTTCCGAAACACACACACGCAAAGACACACGCACTCGACGCTCTGTAACAAGCAAGGTACCTAAAATATGAGCTTGAATCCCATATCTACATAAGTGAGTAGATTGATTTCATAAAACTGTTTCTTTTGCGAAGCATAATACAGGCAGTACACAATGAAGACAACGCGAAGTCTACATGCATCAACGACTTCAAGAACTTGGATTATGTTAACAATGGTATGGCCGCCAGCTTTTGTGGAGTACTCATCGATTTTTTACAGCATACTGTAGCTATACAGATTTTCAATGTGTTTTGTGGGACCTGGCTGGTTCTATTTATAAACGCTTTCGGATACCTTGTTGTTGCCCACGCTGTAGCCAAATACTTCTGGACACATAAAAGTGAGGTAAGCAAATATGCCTGTGTCTGCCTATGTCTTTACATTGAAAGGAACGAAGGTCACTCAGCACATTGCATGGTAACTTATGGCTCCGTTCAACCTCATGTCTAGTTTAAAATCAGTGCTCGACTAGAAGTGTCAATATGGACGACTGTGTTGCCTAACAGAGAAGTCGAAACGAAAACTCTGTACCTATGTATTGTCACTGAGACCTGAGGCCGACTCTGAAAAGAAGGCGCCACTGAATATGATGTACGCAAAGAAAATGGTTTATGTTTTCTTCAGTCCTGCCTAAGCAACAATATCACGGGAGTTATCCTTCCAATAAACTGCTCTGGACTGTTACTAGCGATTGCTCTATCGGTAGCTCCGTCGTTATCAGTAGAATGGGAACCTCAGATTAAGATACAGTAGCATAAGGTTTAATTGGTGGAAGATCTGTATGTATGTATGTATGCATGGTGTTCAATGCATAAACGACCGACATTCGGAAAAAATAGGTTTGGGTTTTTAGCATATAACCATAAAAAAGGACAGAGGCTAATTGGTCGTGTTCGAAATTGCTAATAAAACGGTTGACTTACTTTAGATAATAGAACATGCCAGCTTCATTGTGATATTCGGACGGAAGAATTACTTCGGTATCAACACTTACAAGAGCTGGTAAGGACACTTGTATTAAGATAATATTCAGTGGGAATAAATTGTGTCTTAACCTTGTTTCATTGAAGTCGTATGTTTAATTTCGTTTTCGAACTTCGAGACTGCACCCAGGGTATGTATTAGCATGCGCAATTCCCTAAACACCCACCTTTGAGATTTTATTTGCCTATGTTCTGATTCGAACCAAAATCTACCAAATCGATTACGCCATCTTCAGGGGCCAAATATAGATCTAGTCATACATGAACAAGAGTAAAAAAGACTTGATAACAATCAGGCGTTTCTGTGAAGTCCCAAAAGCACTTTTTAAGTTCTCACCAAGTGCTCGTTGTTTCTTTAAGGTAACTGGCTATAATTTTGGTTGAAAGACGCAAAATCAATAAGAGAATTTTAGATGACTGAAGGCATCGCTTTAGATAGTTACATATTAATTTTTGTATAGGGCGACGTAAAAGAGTCGGCTTTCAAATGCGTCAGCCTTTCTGTGGACGAGCAACTTTAGGTTACGCCGATTGCACAAATACTAATCAAACTTTATGTAATATCGTATGTTCACGTATGTTGTAAATAATAAATACAGGTTAATAACAAAATATTCCAACAATATCAAAGGAAATAGATAACACCATTTGAAATACTTTGTGTTAACACGAGTTTCGTTGAGTTTCTATAACAAATTCGAGAAATTTCCCAGATATTCTAAACATAGTACCGGAGACAAGAAGCGACATGATATTTATCACAGTTTCCTCCGAATCTGCAGCACCTACATGCATCGTCGTCCTTGTAGAAATCTCAACCTATGTACAGCAAAGCGAGTGAAGGTATATCTGTTGAGTCGATTTGTCCCTTCTCAACGCAGTTGAAGCAGAATAGTCCCATCAATCCCCGTAGATCTTTGCTCCTAGCCTCTAGGGTTTGTTTTGAAGGCTTCCGTTGGTCGAAGGTAGAGCAGAGCCGGCGAGCAGATACGCGAGGCATTTTTTCCGATGGTTAATTCCACCTGGTCCCAGGATTCTTTTTAGAAAAAAGCTTTAATATGACGTAATTGTTCGAAGCTCTTCACAGGAAAATCTTCCCAAATTACGCGCATTATAGTGGCACAAATATGTCTACTGTACACTACAGTTTTGCGTATATTAATGTTAACACAGTCAAGACATTGAACTCGGGCCGATCCAGTTACTCAAGCTATCTTAGACTATCCTATTTGGTTTTATAAAGGAAACCTTGTAAGGTCTGAATTTACTTCTTATTCTGTTCGTCTTTAGTCGGGTGCTGCCGCGACGAGCTAAAAACGTATTATTTTTAGCATTAGGCACTGACGACAATTTCAGATTCTACTTAGATATCTTGATCGTATATCCGCAAATAAGGCTCATTAGTCGCATTACGCAATCAATTTTTTTCTTTAACTTTGTAATTCGCAGCGTCCTACTGACATTTCTCGTTTAGCACTACTTGTTAACAGTCTAATTGTATAACCACCAATGGTGTGTCGTTAGAAAGTCAATGGCAATTATTCGAAAGGAAACGTAAAGAAATCTACACTGTATTTCTATAACTTTCGCTCCTGATTGTGATGCTCAGGAACCACAATGCATGGCAGTAGTATCCTCAATCGGTGTAATAGTCCGGTATCATTTGGGCACGTTGGCTCTTGGTTCGTTGGTAATTACCATACTTGGACTCGTAAAAGCGGCTGTTGAAAAATTTCAACATAAAGCCAGAAAAGTGAACTCAAGCTCATGCATGAAGACGCTTCTTAGGTATGTATATCAGCGGACACGCGAAATTCTATTGTTAAGTATTTCAATGGCCTAATTCTACTATCTAAATGGTTTTCTTTTTATTTTTGATATGTTTAATCTCACCCGTTATGCAACGTACCTTCATTAAAGCATAATTTATTATGGCATTGAAGAAGCTATATTATTGGTTAACAGTAAACAAGATCGTGGTACGATGCCCAATCATTGCATGTTGTTATAACAGCAGATTGAACAGTTCGTGAACTTTTTTTTTGTTCAAAGTTCTCCATGATTGTGCTAATTGCACTAAGGATTTTAGCTTTACTAAGCTTTTCGACTCCAGTCTAAAATTAAGATCTTGGATTTCATTTCTATCTGGTGCAAGTTTTTCCTTAACTTTCATCGCTGACCCAGTATACCTTAATGGTGAAAATATAGGCAGTGGATGTACTTATTCCCTTGGCGTGCATGTACTTATTTTGCTAATGATTTCTAACAAAAAGAAAAGGAACAATTTACTACTCTTCTCATCGGGATAAAATGTACAATGCGATCTTCATCAGATGCTGCGTATGCTGTCTCTGGCTCCTTACGAAATCTCTTATTTACGTGAACAAGAACGCCTACATTATGGTAGCAATGTACGGTAAAAGTTTCTGCTATTCTGCTTCGAAGACATTTAACCTAATCGTCAGCAACATACTCCGAGCACTAATCGTTACTAAGGTATCTTTTATTATTTAAAGGCTTTTAGTTAAGTTGTTCAGGCCATTATGTCTATAACTGATTCATAAAATTGAGGCGCTTTGCCAAGAAAAAAAATCCATAGAAAGTACAGCTTTTTATTTTATTTCACCTCATTCCGTCTAGTTTCGTTAGACTATTTTTGTGTGTTTTCATTACACATACGGCATATAGAGGTTGACAACTGAGAGTCTCGTGCTAGCCCAGAAGAATGCAAAAGAAGTTTCATCCTATTTTTCCTGATCAAATAGCAAGGCGTCCCAGTCAACTTTAAAAGATAATCAATAGTATGCTTGCACTAAACGTAAGAAAGTTGCTTTCCAGCGAGACACAGATTAGGGCTTCTGCGGACGTCAAATGTGTTTTTGTTTTTCAGGTGACAAATTTTATCATTTTCATTGCTAAGGTAACCACTACGATAAGCATTTCGGCAATCACTTTCTTCATTCTACATCGAGAGGATATACGAAGCGGTTTAGAACTGAAGGAACCCAAATATATTGCAGCCCCTGTTGCGGTAAGTCAGATATCGAATTAAAAAATTGTGTGTCATTGGAAGTAAAACATCACTCTAAAGATAATCATCTGCGCCTGTCCTTTTTGCCCATATGCTGTAGTAACTAATAACATCGCATCTTTTTACAGGCGGTAGCACTAAGCTCATATGTGCTTATTTCGTGCTTTTTCAACGTTTACAATAACGTTATAGACACGCTGTTTTTGTGCTTCCGTAAGTTGTCCCATTTGATGAAACCTTCTAGTAAGGCTTATTTTAAGCACCTGTGGATAAAATTAACTACGACATATGCTTCTATGTTTAAATGATTCACTGCTAACAGAGATTTCCGGCCGAGAAAAGGTCTCATAACTACATATTATTCTTTTGCCTCAAATCGCGGCTAGGTTGCTAGAATGAAGAAAATAAGATTAATCGATTCTCATTTGTACCTGAAAGTCAACCAGATTTTCCACTCTAAACAGCTGTAAGGACAACAGGCGATTACAAATTTCATTAGCCAGACTACTTTGCCGAGTTCGACAGCAGAGGCCTGCGCAAGACGCGTTGTAAGCAAGCCGAAAAATGCCTTTCGTTAAATATCACATTCATTAGTAGTTGTTATCTTTCGTACCGTAATTCAGTTGAAGACACAAACCAGAATGACGGATCACGAGAAAGGCCCTACCGAATGCCTAGTGAGCTACTACGGATTCTTGGAAAGAAGAACTACAGAAGACGTGAAAAGAAGAACTGAGCCAGCATCGAGCGGAGCAGTCTATGCTATAAGACTGCATGAACGTCGGCACTGATATGCTTAACAAATATCATGCCGTAAGAAAAGTACCCCAAAGTATTTGCCACTGTACATTTATTTCGGAATACACGGATATTTATTTTCTTTCTTGAGGTGTCCCTTATGCTATAGACGTATGCACACTCATGATTCTAAACAAAGTGTGTTACTGATATGTGAATGTGCTTTGCGTATTGTTAAACGCTGTAGCATAAAATCATCTTTGACTGACTGAGCGATCCTCAACAGAAACGTTAATTAAACATTAATTCAACCTTAGAAGCTCAAATATATGGTACTACCCTACCTGCCTCCTACCTTGGATGGTTGCTTAAAAGCAAAAACTTAATCATGTCACAAATTAAACGCTAACTTAATTATATATAATAATAATTACGATATAGTCGTTTTATTTTATAGCAAGCAGGACCGGTGTACTCCTTACTTTAAGTTTGTTGTAGTATACTTACTTAGTGTCGGTAGACATAAAATCTGACGTATGTTTATACGAGTCGTTGTTATTTTTATCTATAATTTATTTTGCTTTTTCTGTTCATCAAATGACATCTAATGACGGAAATCTTCAACGTCGATAATCAAGCCAATTAGCTGGAATAAAAGGTCAATGGCGGACAAAAAGAAGCTGGGGAAAAATTCAAGAATCAGCTCGCTGCAGATGCCACAGTCCTTTCTATAAGAAATATAAATAGAGGAAGCTCGAGTTTTCAACAATGAGTTGAGTCAATTCACACAACTTCGCTCGTTAAACCCTTCCGCTCAAAGTGTCACATAGCATTAATTTTTTGGTTTTGTTTTGGTTTGATCGACTTTTTACGAGGAAAAAATCCTGGAAGAGAGTGTTGAAGGACTGGTATAATTCGAATTCTAGTCGTGTCAGGTTCCGGAAAGAAAATGTTGAAAGGCAACGTGGCCACGGAGACACTCGCCTCAGCAAAAGAATGATGAGCAAGGTGTGCTTTCAAAGATGCAGATAGTTATAAAAAAGAAAATTGGATCGCCGTATTAGCCACTGTCGAGGCCTTTTGGATGAGATCTGCGAATCTCGCTTAACGGAAACGTCTAAGACAGCTGTTGTAAAATATTTTTTGAACAAATTTTGTTCAAAAAATGTTTAAAATAATAATAAATAGGTATTTGCGATAATGGCAGAATCATGTTGAACCATTATATAAGAGATACCGTTGCAGCTCGCCTTTCAAAGCATTTAGCTCTATCGTTAAAAAAGATGTACGAAAATATATTCACTAGGTAGTTCTATTGCTCACCAGGAAACTATTTACTATAATAGCAGCAACGTGTCGGCATTTATATTAAGTTTATAATTAAGTTTGTTGATAAGTAACCAATCTCATTGAATTTAACTACAAAGCAAAAGAATATAAATTGGGTTTCAGCGCTGTGTAAACCCACAAGCGTGATAGGTTGGGCTAGACTGAAGTGACAACAAGACGCTTCCAAAGCTAAATGTGACAGTCGCCACAATGCACGCTGGCGCATTACATGTCAATAACTGAATTTAAATAATAAATGAGTTGTTACTTCAATTAGTTATACAATAGTCACACAGTGCCATGACAGTCAAGCGTGTAAGCAATGTAAATTATATGCCCTTATGGAATTTCTACATTTAACGACTTTAGTACAATATAAGGCACATAAGTACAGGACAAAGTTTTAACTTGTTTATTGTTTTTACAAATGACAGACTTCGACATCTTAGTTAGCGTGTTCTTTTACTTTCTGTCGGCGCTGTTCTGTCTCTGCTGAGACCATCATCGGAGCCAATGTAGGCGGGAATCACGAAGGCTGGCCAAGTGTATAGCATAAGATCATCTTTGAGTGTAAAGCTTTAACGGATATGCACTCAATTCCTATATTCTTATTGAGTATTAGCAACAAAGCCATAGATACCGTTATCGTAATCTGCTTCCATCTCTTCAATAATCAAACGTCTGTTCTGTTCGCACCATTCAATTAGCGGACGGATTCACCCAGATACGAAAGGTTTCTTCAGTTTTGCTCCAGCGTCAATGTCATAGTTACTCTGCTGTACGGGTATGTCATAAATCTCGTTCACTGTAACAGAATGAAACAGTCTTTACTAAACTGAACTATCTAAACAGGAGTAAGATAACATTTTACAGGTATCTATTAATTAGGAAGACTATTCTAATCAGATCGACCAGCTGTCCTATTTTAGCACCTGCAAAGTCATTATGATGAAGGAGAAAATCTGCGTGAAATAAAAGCATGTTTCTTAGTTACGTTTCATTTTTCATAGTTTTTTAAAGTCGAAAATCGAAGCGGATCGTACGACAGGAATCTGACATGCCTCTCTCTAAGCTGCTTTGTTGACTGTGAAGTGTCTGTCGAGATAAATCACTTTGCTTTTTACCTTACGATCTCTATTCGTGGGACATGTGAAACCTAAACGTTGAAACACAGCTGGTATAGTTGCAATGTATTCTGCCAATTATTACAATTTGTGACTGAACTCTGATTTCGGCTGTGCGGGTCGGAGTCGCTAAATGTTGAAGTCACAGAGACTGTCAGCTCATACATGGTTTACTAACAAAAGTGCATATATATTATGTACTGGAGCTGCTCTCGAGCGAAAACTGGCGATGTAACTTATAACAATCATAGATTTTTGCATTTTTGCTCATGTAACTATTAATTTAAATGGACTAGGTGACTTAAACGGCTATACCATTAGCTAAAAAAAAGCCAAAAAAAAGCTGAAGCTAACTTGTGTGGTTAGATCACTTTTAATCTAAATAAAGCCGTCTAATTGGTGCGTCTGTGAATGTGTATAATACACGATCTAATACTCCGTTTTGCCAGAAAATACTTAGCTAATTAGATATACTCAGCATATTGGTGAGTGTAAATGGTAAGCTATAATACAGAAAAATGTCAAGCTGACATTTTTTTATTGTACAAAACAACATTTCATATTTCGTGCCGGTACGTTCATTGTGAGCACAAAACATCAGGTGGTGACGGCACTATAAAGCATCCTTTCTTCCTTGTTTTGCTCGTACTTTTTGAAATTTGTTTATGTAATTTTGCCCGCATTAATATAGGAACTATCAGCAAATCGGAACTGGGAATTGTGGGGCAGATTTACTCCGCACGCTGTAAACAGGATTCGTAACATACGCTTTTTCCGTCTACAATGCTTATTGTTAATGGGCCTTTATGGAACTTTTAGCACTACTTACGGCATGAAGCTATTTTCTGTTGGTGCTTTTTTGTAACTTGTTTGTTAGTGCCGTCAACTTGATTTCTTTCATACTTACATGACTCATACGTTTCGAAGGCGAGAATAATTCACTCTCTTGTGTGTATAATGCTCGCGTTTTAGGAAAATGTTTTCCGTTGGTGTTAAGTGTATTCTGTATCACTTACGGGAATAAAGAAGTATTATGAAAAATAGAAAATTCATTCCAAGGATTATAGAGCGAAGTCCAGTACTCTTTCGACTCTTTTCTTGAGAAAAAAAAATTGAAAAATTGCATCTTAGAGGCAAAATCATATGGCGTTCGTTGATACGGAAGTAAAGACACGGAACGTTATGACGCGATAGTGGTGATTTCTCTAAACAGGAAAAAAATTGGGTAACCTACATAAGGTCCTACAGGATGATCTTTTCACCCGATTTTCGGCTTCGGATGCCTCACAAGTTTCTGGTCTTAAGTCTTGTTATCAGCATTATTACGTCACATGTAAGGTATAAGCTTTTAGCTTCGCAGATACGCAATCTCTAAGTGGGTCCCCTCAGCATTCTTGGCACGTTTTTCCCCTATTTTTCGGAACAGCATCAAGGACTCGCCTCCATTAGGAGTATAACCGAAGTGGGTCTTGCTGGACTCATCTGGGATTTTTCTAATACATCCATGAATCAGCATGGCAACCATACAAGCAGCTATTGACCTCAACGATAATAATACCTTATAACTCACATGTTATGGTTATCATGAAATGTACTCAAAAGATGCATATAAGCCACTCAGACCACGTTACCCTATTGTTAGCATGCCGGGAACTTTTTTCTTTTATTGAACGTGCCGTTTGGAATCCGGACAGGCCAAAAAAGAATGTCCTATCCATGTCATAGCAACACGTAAATGTATACCTTCAGGTACTTTACAGCAAGCTTTCGGAATGTTGCCTTTTTAACCAGTAATTTTTTTAACTCTTTATCGACAGACGAATATCTTTGTTTTTCGTATCCCGATTTTCATATAGGCCTACTACCATTTGACTCATATTATAAAACAAACTGGGTGTTATCTGCTATCTTGTGCAACTTTAATCAGCGGTCCTTAGGTATCGAAACCTAAAGTACAGTATTTTGAAAATACTGATAATAATAATAAATATAATTGAAATAAAATGAAACTTCAAGTAAATAATAAACTCAATTAATAAATTAAGTTTATGATTTATATATATATATATATATATATATATATATATATATATATATATATATAAATTCGAAACAACGTCGCTCTTGAATAATTATACTGTGTATACTGTACTAATGCTTGTATTTTCAGTATACTGATTGCAAATAAAACGCGATCGAAGTGCCTAAACCTAATTATCGCATTGTATCATAAAAAAAAGTAACCATAAATGTTAAAAAAGAAAAAGACAAACAGTAGCCCTTTAGACCAAAAAGAAAAGGGGCTTAGGGTTAGAATCGTGCAGAACTAAGTTTTGGATTAACACGCTCAGTGCGCTCCGAGCCTTCACTATATAACATATTTACGTTATTGAAAATAAGACAGTAAGTTCAAATTGTAGATACATTATTTGTTACCTGAACACTCGGCTAGAGTAATACTGTACCATAGAAAATAGCGCGTCTGTGGCCAACATATGTAAAGTGCTTTTATAAAAAGTGTGGTCGGGTTTAAGAACTTCTTAATTGGCAGCACTTCATATACATATAGATATTAGAAGTAAATGTAATTCCATTTGTTCATTTAAAAGCAACAATATATAGCTTTCCAAAAAACATATTTTTCATAAATGCTATACAATTTGTATAAGTGAAGAAAGTTATATATATGAAAATGTATAAAAATGTTTATAAAATGATTTTATATATTAATTTTATATATAAAATACATTAATGATACATTTTTTGTCTTCTGTTTAATAAAAATTAAAAAAAAATCCACATAGTCCTGTCTTTGACCATGATTCCAATTGTACAACCGACGTTTTACCTATCCTACGAAATCTACGAAAATCTTTATTCATGACAATCCAGTTCGAATCGAGTAATACCTTAATATAGTACGAGAAATTATAAACTTCGCTAGAAAAACCTCCTAATAATAATGCTCTATCTGGCCTACACTGGTGGCGCTCTCGCACTGCCCATAGCGCTTCTGCACCCTCAGTAGACATAAAAGCACGCATCAGGCGCGCATTCCCCACAAAGGCTCTTCCTACACTCAAACGCACAGAGAACGAGGGCAGTGAGAGATAGCCGGCATTTTCCGATACCTCGGCTCTTCTCATCCAAAAAAACCTCCCCCTCGTTGCCTTCACCCTCATTCACCACCTCCTTTCAATTCCAACTCGCCACCCTTTCTCGTCGTAATTATTGACCTCTTGTTTGAACCGCATCGCAACAAGCGTTTATCTTAGTTGTCTGTTCGCGCGCGTCATTCGAAAAATAGCGGGCAAAGCTAGCACTCCCTCACAGCTACTTTATGTCATAAGAGCGGCCATATTGGTTTGATGGGTCGGGTCGGTTGTTCGCATTTCCCGCCGTCGCCGCCGCCGCCGCCGCCGCTGCTGCTGCTGCTGCTGCTGCCGCCGCTGCCGCCGCCGCCGCCGCCGCTGCTGCTGCTGTCGCCGTTGCTGCTGCTGCTACTGTCGCCGTCCTAGCCGTCAGCAATACAACAACAGTGACGCCCGCTCGTCCGCCTGACTACCCGTTGGCCCGCCACTGGAGCAGCTGCGGCTCCTGTTCGGCGCTCCGCCAGTGCAAATGAACTATCTCTACTAGGGGGTGCTGTTACCCTTCTCCTCGACCGCCATCAGCAGCAGCAGCAGCAGTAGGCCGCCATTACGGCCGCTGCCGCCGCTGTTGTTATCGTCGTTGTTTTGCAGGCGGGTTGCAGTTTCCTCGTTATTAGCTGCTGCCTGGTGTGCAGCGCTGCTAAGATCTGGCTGACTGACTCGCCACTGCTTTCATTCATCGCTGTCGTCTGTAGTCGTACACATCGGCAAACACTCTCGCACACCTTCTCTTTCTCTCGCTCTTTCGCCAGGAGGAAAACTCAGCGGACATCAGAGACACACAAATTACTCAAGAGTAACCGTATGTGAGGTGTGTACTGTGCTGCTACTGTGACCGCGGCTGTTACGGCCGTATCAGTGCGGCCAGTGCAGCTGCTACTGGCCTATGACTGTTACCAATCAGATCATTGTCTATCGCCTGCCAGTCTAACCGCCTGTCTGGCGGTTTGCGAATGTGTGTCCCTATACGATAAACAGAGTATAGTCTTCTTGCGACAAAGGAGTTATAGTAGCAGTGCTGCCGAACTAACTGGTGCCGCTAATGGCTGAATAAAGCGAGCAAACTGCAGGAATCTGCCTGCCTGTGCCAATGTATGTGTATATCAGTGCCCTGTGCAGGAAGTGTAATTAATCCAAGTGGTGTCGATAGGCGCTCTTGTTCATGATAGTGCTGCTGGTAGCTTGGAATTGATCGTGTCCGCTAGTGGCCAGCGCTTGACTGCGTCAGCGTTTGTGAACACGATGCCCCTTGCAGGAGGAGGATGAGTCGTCGACGGCGTTAATTCGCCTAGATTCAACGGTCGTCAGACGAAGGGCTACTTCCCCCTCCTTATTGCATACACGCTTAGAGTACAAATACGTGAAAAGGGACAACAAGCATTTGGCGCTGACTGGAACTTGCCCCCGCGGCCACTCCGGTGGTCTCCTACCTACTTTCGGTGGTGCCACCTGGAGATTAGAATTTCCCGTTGACGAGAACGTCGTGATCTAACGACGGAAAGGTAAGCATTGTAAACAGAGATAGATCCTATGTGACATCAGTGAATCGGTGAGACAAATAGATCGTGAGTCCATCATCCTCAGTATGTACACAGACCCCTTAGTGAACAGCAAATCTGTCTTACATTCAAAAGCTGGCGCTCGTTTTGGAACGTTATAGGTTCCCGGCTTTCTATAAAACCTACCTTTCTATCACATCTTACCTATACCACCACACTCTACTAGGAAAATATCAGTGCAGTCCACTAATGGAATAAGCCCCGTGCAAACCAATTCAAAGAGAATGGAATGATTTATGGACCAACCCGCCAATCAGTCGACGACCAGCTTTATCAAGACCGCCTGCTAAGGGCCCTACCAGATCACATACATCACATACACGTTGGTTTATAAGCGCCAAGGGTTTTGACGTTCTAGTTTAAGTTCCCAGCTAGTTATAATGAGAATTTGTGTAGGATTTGCAAAGAGCGCCAACCAACGGTCAACGCTCGAATTCCTTGCCCTGTGTTGTCCTTCCCGGCCCTGTGTTTAGTTCTATGTATCTGGGTCGGTAGTGATGGCGACTGTATTCGCCTGCTGCTGACCTCAGCGGCGAAATTTTGGTGGCCAGGGATCGCTTTTGGTTCGTTGCGTGCCGCTCCCCAACAGTTAGTCCACGATACAAAGAATATGTATAGCCGTATCTGTGCAACGTTTGACATAGGGCACAGGTGCTACGAAAAGCGACGGAAAAAAGCGGGAAACCATCAAAAATAAGAACCTGTAGTTGTCCTCCCCTGCTTTATATGTTTATTGCCTGATAATAAGTGTGTTGTTATTGGCTGATATGACTCCTATGAGCGCACTGTTTTGAAAGGAGCTCATCGTTTGTAAACAATAAGAGGCGAGAAGGCCACCAGGTCTGTGCGACAAGTGGGCTGGCCTGCTCGGTTTTGTTCGATTTCAAGAATCACTATTAGTAAAGCGCAGCTTCGTGTATTAGTCGCACAAAAAAGTAATTATTGATTATAAATGTTGAAATGTATGTGTAAGCTTAACGATCTAGATCAAAATATTGATACAAGATGTGCATATACATGTGATAGTCCTAGGTTGGCAAGAATATGTTCGTGTATTGAATTAATGTCAGAAAAATTTATTTTTATGATTTTTGCCGCTATCTCGGTGCCGATTCTCTTGACAGAGTTGACTGCCATTAATACTTGTTATTTGTGTGCGAACATCCACTTTCTCTTTGTGTTAACTAATTTGACCACGCAAAAATGTTAGGACACAATTAAATCTTCATTAAATGCCTTTTCGTAGACTTGGTCGACACGAATGTGAGCGAAAACAGTTGGAAATTGGCAGTGTTTCGTAGATGATGACTCCATATGAAGTATGCCGAATATAAAATACGCCAATGATATAGAAAGGGAACTGTATCAAAAGAGAATAATATTTCTCGACGTTTAAATAGTTTTTAAAACGGATTCAGTTAATAGTTAAATAATAAAATAGTTTATAATTAAGTAATAAAATTACACTTTGGAGGTATTTATGCAGTTCCCTAAAAAATCAAACGAATCGAAAAACTTAATTGTTTTGTAATAGAATGAACTGACGTGCTAAAAAAGAGCAACCATCTCTAGAAGATGTTCGACTTAGAAATTTGTCAGTACCAATAGGATCAAGTATTATGTCAGTTAAAGATGATCTTATGTATAACTTCCAACGGTGCCCTGATGAAGATATGTTAGGTACCAAGAAATTACTAGAGAAAATAAATATTCGTAGATATAGGAATTGAAGTATACTTCTATGTTCTGGATTTAATAGATGACTAATTAGTTTTCACCCACACCGAAACGCAATTAACAAGTAGGTCCTTACATATGTTTGGCATTGTGTTTAATGTTGGACTAACAACACAAGCTGTTCTTTGCAGATGTTTTACGCGCACTTTGTGTTAGCGAAAAAGGGTCCGCTAGCCCGCATTTGGCTAGCGGCCCATTGGGATAAGAAACTGACGAAGGCGCATGTTTTCGAGACAAACATTGAATCATCTGTAGAGGGAATCCTCCAGCCGAAGGTCAAGATGGCTTTGAGAACATCCGGCCATCTTCTGCTTGGTATATATTAATATAAATAATCATATTACTGCAGGTTTACGTATAATAATGAACTCTGAAAAAATTAAAAAAGATTTATCAAGCAAGTAATTCATTTAATTTGTTGAACTATTACAATATTATTACGATACTCAAAAATACCTAGACCCTAAGCTATGTATAAACATGGTAACACTGTATTTTTGGAGCTCAGGTTAACACACTTTATTTGACTGGATCGATAATTAATACAAATATTTCTTGACATCCAACATTTGTTTATATACTCCTAACCCGAAATATTTGTACGTTATAACTATGTTGTGTGCTACGTTTTCTGTCCACAGGAATTGTACGCATCTACTCCCGAAAAGCCAAGTACCTTTTGGCAGATTGTAATGAAGCGTTCATTAAAATCAAAATGGCGTTCCGGCCAGGAGTGGTCGACTTGCCTGAGGAGAACCGGGAGGCAGCAGTACAATCTATTACTCTACCCGAAGTGTTCCACGATTTCGACATTGGAATGCCGGACTTGCCAGCCATTGACATGGAGGCTGCAATTACGCTAAATCAATCGCGTGCCGAAGATATCACCCTTAAAGAGGACTACGGAATGGGCTTGATGAACGACGAGGAGCAGTTATATGCCGACATGTCATTTGACGCTGACGCTGATATTGGACGCGACGCAACGCAACTAGATTTCGACTCACAGTCGGTAAACCTAACAGCGACCGAGATGAGTAGTCATGTGAACAAAGAGAACGCGCCTAGTCTTGTAGGCGCGTCCCAGTTAGCCGTTGGCGGACCGGGCGGTCAAAGTTCTCTAGATGCACCACTCAATGACGACGGCTTTGGGGGTAATCTTGACTCTGCGGGTCTCGAACTTGAAAATGAAAACGAACCCCGCAGTGATTTATACCCACCTGCGCCTGGCGGTACCGAACAGGAAGAGACGGACGCAAGTAAACTCGAGCCTGCCGGCTTGTTCGATGACACCCCAATAACTCGCCGATCTGCAGCGGCCGAGGCCGAGAATGCGCCAATGAGCGATTCTGAAAGTGACTACGATATTGGTCCGGGTGGCAGTATGGGCGTACCGTCACCACCTTCGTCAGCCGACGGTGAAGTTGATGATTTAGATGACATTAATGTACAGCCGCCGAGTTTACATGACGGCTCGTCACAACATGGTCAGCAACAACAGCAGAGCATAAGCAACAACGACGCAATGACACCAACAATGGGCCATCATGGGATAAACGCCAGTCACATAAGTGGCGGAGTCAACCAAATCGAGCAAAACCAGATAGGCGCTGAACTAGGGATGCAAGCAACGATTACAGCAGCACCCGTGCCGCGAGAAGAACCCGAAACATTTACGTTAGCCCCTCTCGATGCAAGTACGGTAGAACAGCACGCGGGGCCTGCCGTCCGTCGGATCCCTAATCGTAAACGTAAGCTGATTATCGACGAAGTAAAAAACATCTCCGGCGAGGAAATGAAGTCACAGCTGTCAGACACGTCCGATATCGTCACGACCCTCGATTTAGCGCCGCCCACTAAACGCCTGATGCACTGGAAAGAGACGGGCGGGGTTGAAAAGCTACTATCATTGCCGGCTGTCGAAAACCGCCACTCGAAGTATCTCCAGAAGCTGTATCAGGTACACTTGGTGACGCGGTCAGTTGAGTCGGACGAAAGCCTCGTGGCGCCACCTGCTCCTGAAGAGGCTAGCGAGGAAAGTGACCCGGTACGCGAGCGTGCTGAAAGCCGCTTGGACGACACCACAGTAGCATCGTCTCAGGTAAGCAGCAACATTGCGCCTCCTGAGACGCCGGCGGCCAAGCGTTCACGTATGGAAGACGTCCCGCCGACACCAGGTCGAGACTTCATGGGCGACATGGGCGGGTACCAGCACGCGCCGGCCACCGACTATTGTAATGCGCCATATACGCCGTTTACACCTGCTCCTGCGACACCTGCTCATAATCAAGGCGACTTTAATAACACGTTCCCGACGCCAGGTATTGGCAACGAAGAGATCTCGGCTAACTTCGATTCGCTTCAATCAGCGCAACAGCAAAGCGGCAGTACAGGCGCATCTGCGAACGGGCCGGGTAGTATGGCACCTCCGCAGACGCCAATGCATCCGCCAACCACACCGATGCATCCGCCTGCCACCCCTATGCACGGCGACCTGGACCACGAGGACGGGCCCCTGGACCTGCCTCAGCATCACCACGATGACTCCGACGAGGAAGATGCCGCTCAGGATCGACGAGGTCAGGGGCCCGCACCAGAGGCGCAGGCAGCCGACATGGGTATTGGGGCGGAAGAGGCGGAGGGCGAGTTACCTCACGTCGACGAACAGGCTGACGACGAAACATTTGAGGAATTCGAAGAGCGTATCCAGAACAAAAGAACGGTGCAGCTGTTGCGTCACGTCAAACCAGCGTTAGACGCCGGACGGCCAGTTCGCTTTGCGGACCTTATAAAACAGAATAACAACCGCAAGCAAGTGGCGCAGAAGTTCTACACGTTCCTAGTGTTGAAGAAGCAACAGGCTGTCGAATTGACACAACAACAGGCCTACGACGAATTGTACATTTCTGTTGGACCGAAGTATCAGCAAGCGTTTGCCGTTAACGAGTAAAAACAAGCAGAAAGGGAAAGGGTACATAAGCCGATAAGATGGAGTAAACAAAGATGAGTTGGGAAAAAATAGAAGTTCATAGGAGTTCCAGTTGGCGAGTAAACGCAAATGAAATAACGGAACGAAAAACACTAGGTAGATGAAAACGAAGGGGAGTCCGTGCGAGACTGAGCGAGAAGAAGAAATAGTAGAAAAGAGCCATGCATCGTTGCCGTTGCATTGTGTCAGTGTGCTCTGTGTTGTATACTTAACTTGTATAGTGGGTCGATACCCAGCCAAAAGTCGCCGTGATGCTTTTGCCTGTGTCTTATATATATATATATATATATATATATATATATATATATATATATATATATATATATGTGAGAGAGAGAGAGAGAGCGAAATCTATATATTGCGCTGAAACAGCATGCATTAGACAGTAGTAAGAGAGAGAGAAAGTGCATTGAGATACCAAGAGGATAAACGAAAAGAATATATCAGTGTATCTGTGTACATGTGTATGTGCGAGATGTCTGTTCACGGTGATTCCGCGCGTATTCAGAAACATTTTTCAAATTGCGGAACAGTGTTTGCATGTTTTAATTATAACTATCACTTCCGCTCTCTGAGGTCGTCGTTGCCGCGTTCTGAAAATAGCCGTGTATGTGTGTATATGCAAGATGTCAATGTAGCCCTAAAAACAAATGAAGACCAATTCTGTGCGTTGAGAGGTACTAACATGGCAATTAGACATTTTACAGCAATGGATGCCGCTCAGACAATGAGACTACTGTAGCTGCTATCGCTTTGAATGCTATTGCGGTGACGACAACGACGACGACGGCGATGGTGATAACCAAATCAGTTCCAAACTGAAAATAGTTGATTATAGTAAATCTGATAATATACTTGAAAATGAACGTCACTGCTTATAAGTGCATACTATATGACAAAAATGAAGAGATTCTATCAAAATTCTTATCGTGATCATAATGAACTGTTTCGAGCTGCTGACTCGCACGCGTGCACGAAAAAGACGGAAAGCGAGAAGCGGAGAGCAAGACTTCCAGAGATCGAGCGCGGGCAGCACCATGGCAGCTTTGCTGCTTTTGTTACCCGTTGCTCAACCGTAGCCAGAAGGCTGGACGGACAAATCCGCGATTGGCACAAGCTGTTCCTACATAAGACTTCTATGTAGCTAGTGCTATGTAGCTGATCAAATCGGCACGATTTATTTCTTCCTCAACTACCGCTACTCGCGATCGTGCGACAGCTTGTATCGTATATGTAGCATTATTATTATGTTAAAATAACTAATATTACGTCATATTTCATTATTGTTTTTCTCTCGCATAGGGCGCGTGCGCTACCTCGTAATCTGTATTTCATGGAGACATTACTATTATTCAAGTAAAGTATAGAATGTAATTCATCAAAATAAACCAGCAACAGCAGCAACAAAGAACGCAATCGCACGTCGAGTAAAACCGAGGTGGAAAGCAGCATAGAGAATTTAACAGGGAGAAATAAGTACATCTTTAGACACATATATATATATATATACACAAAGCTGTAAAGGCTCTAAGTAAGACAGAATTATTGGGACTTTGTCAACGAACAGCGTAGGAAAAGGACTCTGTGAAACACGGCGAGCACCTGCGCAGCTTGTCAATAACGTTGTCCCATGGGTGTTATTGTACAGACATTGCATATATTATAAAATTATTATTATTATTATTGAAACAGAAATAGTATATATGGCCGGCTCTGGCTTAGCTGACTGTGAAAGCGACAGGTGGTATTTGGTGAAGAAGATCGGTTAAAAAATATCATAACTATTTTGTGAGACAAAGTAACAAAATAAAAGAAAAATTGTGGCCTGGTAACAAAAAGAACATTGGCAAGAACATTGTTAACCTCTTTGACCTGAAAGAGTTTAAACAGGCAACATCTCTGTCCACCAGAAAGCAAAATTATCAACAACTTGTGGAATTTTCAGTGGTATTTTTTTTTCGTTTTTCCTGATGTTTTTTGGCTTTTCATAACAAAATAATGGAAATAGCAGTCGACTATAGTAGCAACAGGTGGTGGAGGCGTTTATAGAGATAAGGGAGATATATATTCTAGAAGGCTAGAAGATGGAGACAAACAAACCAACACAATCAAATCTCCCATCCTGTCCTGCCCTTACTAATTAACATACGACAAAGATAACGATATCAACAAGAATACCATGAAAAATTCGAGCTCACTACAACAGAGGAAAAAAGTGGCAATTATGTTTAAAATAAATCCGATCTATTAGCCCAGCTGAAAGAACGTTGTGTCCTTACTCTGATGATGCTGTTGAACATAGAAAACAAGAGAGTTCAACCAAAAATGCGCAGTAAATGATTAATTATCTTTAAGCTGATTCGGCCATTTAATGAATTGCCATATGCACTTGGTTGTTAGTTGTAGTTTTAATTATAAGCGTTTTGGCACCATCATCATTTATTAAAAATGAATTCGAATCTTGACCTTTTATGCTAGTTATACTGCTTTCGAATCATAAGGTTAATAATGTGGCGACTACTCTAGGGAAATACAATAGCATAGTGATAGACATGTAGCCATTCACTGCGAATTAAGGAGCGCCCCTCTAAATCCATAGGTCTCCGAATGGCAGTGAAGATCCTCAACAGACTCTACCAGTTTCGATTTATAACGCAGATTAATAGATTAGTGCCAGAGTTAACATATATCGAATTTAGCTAATTTGGATTAATGTTTATATAGAACCTATGATTCAAACTAAAATGCTTCCTGCATCGAATTATTGTATCCGGTACTATCCTATAGCAAAGCTCAGGAAAACCTTTTCGATGTGAGTCAGCTTGCAAAGGAACGATTCACGCAATCAATTGTTAAATTGAGCTACTTTAGTTTGCCTAATTTCTGAAAAACCTTGTTATTTTGGATTATAATAGCCTACCTGACAATATAGGGACTGTACATAAGTAGGGTACCCCTGTCCTACCGGTTATCAGTGGACAGCGTAAAAATAAAATGGATACAAGCTCTTTAGAGGCGCAGGGAGCTCAAAAGTCAAATACGGAAAATGTCGTAATTAAGTCCTAACGAGAATCTGAACGAACCTTGGGGAGCACCCCATTGTATAATAACCTAACGGCCAACATTTTTCCACAAATATAAACATTATCATTCAAATATTTTACATAATAGAAAGTGCGTACTTAGATATGGAATACTTTAACATGAATAACATTGTAAAGCGCTGTAAGTTATGTTGATTTGCGAAAAGGCATTAGCAAGTAGAGTCGATCACATTAATGCCGATGACATGCGTATAAATTAATATAATTTTATGTTTAAATGGCCAGTAAAGAAATAAGAAATGGTAAAATCCCTACAAACGGCATTGCAGAATATAACACGCAAATGTAGTTAAATTAACCTTATTATAAAGGGTATTTATTTCCGTTGCCCATAAAAGACAATCTGGCAAAATAATATAATAGTTAGGAATGAAAGGCAATCCTTTGAGGTGCGTATGTCTTAAAAGGTTTTGCCTGCATTCTCATCAACGCTGATGAGGTCCTTAGAGCTCAGTCTAAGGGGTTGGCTGGCGAGTGAATATCATCAATTTTCAAAATCATGCGCACGAGCTGGGTTGCAAGCATAATCTGCTGCTTTTTCGATCCTAACGGTTCAAGGACATTTTGAACTTGCATATCATTAGTCCCAGTTTGGTTACAGTCAATTCCAAGGTAAGGCTTTTTTTCTTTGTTTTGACGACTCTTGACGCTTGTCAGCGTTTCGATGGGCGGTAGACCACTGTTTTCTGCTAGAGCCAGCGGAATCGCCTCAAGAGCATCAGCGAACGCACGGAATGGATATTGCTCAAGACTGCCCAAACAACGATCAGCTGCCTCGGCCACAGCAAGAGCACACGAAATCTCAGCAGCTCCACCTCCATACACGACACGTGAGTCACGCACCAAGTTGCGAATGACACAAATGGCGTCGTGAATTGACCGTTCGGCTTCATCTACAATCATCTTGTTGCCACCGCGGATGAAGATCGTGACAGCTTTTGAGTTGTGACACTCCTCAATAACAAGCATGCGGTCCTTTGTCGTCCCAAAGCTCAACTCCCGAACAATTCCCGCTCTACCAAGCTTGTCCGCGGTCAACTCGGAGAAGCGAGGAACAATTCGTCCACCGGTCGCAATAGCAATCAGCTCGATCTCGGGGCCACCAACCCAACGTACGGCTGGTAGCTTCTTTTGCAGGAGTAAATGGTTAGCCTCATCATCGAAACCCCACTGGCAAATAACGAGGTTAGCGCCGGTCGCCTTCACTTGTTCAACCATTTCGTCGAACTTCTCCGCTTCGTATTTGCGTAGGTTCTCGTAGTCCTCAACACTGGTAACGTCGAGCTTATGCTTTGTTTTGGGCTTGGGTGGCTCGAATGGGCAGGTCAGAATGGCAATCTTAACGTCCTTCAACTCCTTGGGCATTTGTGGATGTGACATATCTTTATCAACAATGACACCCTTCACTAGCATTGTATCTTCGAGCTTACCTCCTGATTTGCCCTCAATTTTGATTAATTCGAAATTCACATCTTTCCGTTCCGGGTCTGCAACCGCCATAACAGCATCGACCGCTATTTCAGCAAACTGACGGTGGCACTTGTTGACAATTTTCGACCCGAGCGTCGTCATTGCAACCTTCACGAGCTTTTCCCGGTCGCTGACAGGAAAAGACCCTGCAATTTTGTCGAGGTTATCAATCGCGCATTTGGCAGCCATGTCGAAGCCGTCAGCGATACGAATCGGGTGAATGCCCCTGTCCAATAGCTGCTCGGCCTGCTCGAGCAAAGCTCCCGCAAGCACGACAACACCTGTAGTGCCGTCGCCGATTTCGTCATCTTGAGATTGAGACAATTGCACTAAAAGACGGGCTACCTGTAAACGATACGAACGGTTAATGTACATTTACACAGCTAACTCTATGCATATCTTCAACCATCGACTTTTTTCTGCTTGCGCATAGATCATTGTTTGCACAACAACAATATGGCATAATAATCATCTTTGCGAAACTAAGCATAGTGATGTTCTTGCGGTATTCAAGTGTGCGCGTATTTTCTCTACCTGGTGCTCGACGTCCATTTTCTTGAGAATTGTAGCTCCATCATTTGTAATGGTCACATCACCATCAGCTGAAACCATGAGCTTGTCAAGTCCTTTGGGGCCTAAGGACGTTCGGATCGAGTTAGCCACAGCCTTTGCGGCTAATATATGCGACTGGAATTACACATGCACGAAACAGACGTTTGTCAACTCTTTTATTTATTACATCCCACACTAGCTGCACAACAGGAATTAACTAACCACCAGGCGAGTTTTCCGTTAAATTTCATAGAGTGCTTAACGTTAAGTTCGGGTTAGTTAATGCTTTCAATTTAATGGTAATTCCCCTTTTTGTGAGAGGTACCCGTTGGTACTTTGATTAATAAACCGTAACTGTTTTAAATTACGTCTTGTTCGTTGGAAGACTATTTATGAATTAGTTAAGCTACAAAGCTACAGGATGGTTGAAACGTTTATGTGCCTGGGCAATCATATAATAAATGTTATTAATAGCTTAACATATTTCTTGCCGATGAATTAAAATCATATTGTTGTTACTATTTTTTTTATATAACCGAAAAAACTTTTGTATTTTATTTGATTTCATTTTACACTTGCCGGCGTTATGATTTACCACCATATACGGTCATATCAATAATTAATGGGATTTCGCTACGCTTATTCCAGTGACTAGGCCCCTTGCACGTTACTTATTAAAACAAAGAACATTCGAGAACAGACTTTTACATGGTCTCACTGATCGCCTACTGTTTGCCAGCATTCGACTTGCAGACAGACTCATGAATGCGGCAAAAAAGTCGCACAATTAACACTTAATCATAACCCTACCTTAAGCGCTTCGATGCCTTGCAGCCGCTTTTTCTTGTCCTGGTCCTTGATAATGATGAACGGACGTCCGAACTCGTCGAACGAGAGCGTTCCAATCGACGACATGGTGACGTATTGAAGCAAATCGCGGCAGAGCAAAAGAAAATTGTTTTCAACAACTGCAAAAGAACAATCGTTGCTACCTGACCACGCGCAGCAGAAGAAACTCAGAATCAGGCCGCCTCTGGCTGTCGTGTTAGCAGCGTTAACGAGCTAGGGTAAAGAGTGCAGACTACACACATACTCCATATACAACGACATCGAATGATAGACACACCAACAAGCCCCAAACACACGATATCTAAGTACCTCTTCTACATAAACTACGCGGGCATCGCGAAGGCCTTTTGAAAGTTTTCCTCGTGTTAAGGAATGTGTCGTACCTTGAGCGATAAGGGAATCGTTTACTTAAATCCATCCGTGAAGAAAGCAGTAATGAAATAGATAAAAATGAGATACCATATAGAATGCAAAGACAGCCCTTAGTCAATCAAATGTTTTCACGTACTGCGTATATAAATTGAGAATGTTTTTATTATTAATAGAAGGAAACACAAACACAACTGGCCGACTGATGTACGACAATGGCCCGGTTTCGAAAATAGTTTGTCTCATTTAACGACACAGAACGATTCTCACAAACATAAAACATTTAAAGAAAAAACCATGGCGATTGAAATAGAGGCGGCGGAGTGAGTCTAATTACAAGATATCTTTGCTGCAATTTGCTTTGCGCATATAAATTAGCTTTCCAATAAATGTACATATGTGTTTATATCTCATAGGACGCGAATGTGACAGTTTGTGAAAAATATCGGCTATTTTGGTGACGTTTTATTTTAACAGTTCTTTTCAATGTCAGCGCTTCAATCATATATATTGGAAACTAAAATTTAAACTCGCGTACGGTCAATGATAATATGGCTGTAGTTCGGTTGATTTGGCTTTCAATTTTTTTATGCACGATTATTTAAAAGGTGCCGAGTGTTTATATTGGGGTTTCCATTGTGTAACGCGCGGACATATTCTAATATTAGTAATATACTGATGAATTTCAGCGTGATTCGTCTTATACAACAATACCTAAAGGAAAGCAATTTGCATAGAACGCTTCAAACACTGCAGGTAAATCATCACTGCATTTTTGTGTGCGTATAGATATTTCTATATATGGTTCATTCCAAGGAAATAATGTATAAACTTCCATATAAGATAATAGAACAATAATCATTGTCAATACTATATCTGAAAAAAGACCTTAGAAACTGAAATCTGTCAGCTTCGTGCTCCCAAGCATGTAAATACTGGTCTGAAACAAAAATTTCTGAGCGACGTTAACACCTTAACATTTTTCTGTGTCTAGGAAGAGACAACCATTTCGCTGAACACTGTGGATTCAATCGACTCGTTTGTGCAAGACATCCAACTTGGTCACTGGGATATCGTCTTAAAAGTTGTCCAGGGTCTCAAACTTCCCGACAGAAAACTCATTGATCTCTATGAACAGGTAAGAAATTTCATATGTGTACTTGTATTTTATTTGAGTGACAGAAACACCTTGTTTTAGGGAAAAAAATAAATAAAGAGTAAGCATTTTATTATCTCGTGTTGTCATTATAATCTCTTGTTCCAAAATGTTCGAATGAGAAATTAACTTCCAAATTCCAACTTGAGCAGATCAGTATTGAAGAGAGCACTTTTCGTAATTCTGTTTTCCTTCCATAGTTCTACAGTACAAATTCTTTTTTGTCAGGTTGTACTTGAGCTGATAGAGTTGCGGGAGCTTGGCGCAGCTCGATCATTGCTTCGACAAACCGATCCAATGCTGAAAATGAAAGCAGATGAGCCTGAACGGTACCTAGGCCTCGAGAGTTTGTTAAACAAGAGTTTCTTCGATCCACTGGAAGCCTATCCAGCAGGTACGCTTGTTTCTAGCACAGTAACTGCTAGTGATAGGAAATATTAAGGTATAGTTAAATGGATGCTTAAAACATACGTATGAGTACAACTAGGCGTAACCTTACTTTTGGAAATATCGCTTTCAGGCAGTTCGAAAGAAAAACGCCGAGCCGCCATTGCCGCAGCTCTGTCTGGCGAGGTCTCGGTTGTTCCTCCATCGCGTCTTCTCGCCCTACTAGGTCAGGCTCTGAAATGGCAGCAACACCAGGGCCTTTTGCCTCCAGGCAGCCAAATCGACCTGTTCCGCGGTAAAGCAGCTATTAAAGAACAAGAAGAAGAGAAGTATCCGACGATGCTTGCCAAAACCATCAAATTCGGTAAATAAGCTGCTGTTTTGTAACAATAAGATACAGAATAACAGCAAATTATGTATCGACTGAAGTGTTTCAATTGTTAATACGATTAAATAGAACGATTTGCTTACAAAAATATTCTCGTTTGACACGCTTCTAGTGAGCAGATCTAACGAGAGAACTTGTAGTAGCGCGAGTGTTCCAAAGAGTGTACGTACGTTATCTAGAAAAGTGCTTGACGTTTCTGAAGAAGTCTTGTCGAATTCATTACTAAACATCGACCGCGGCCCGTCTATTCTAAGGTAAAAATCATGCGGAATGTGCAGTATTTTCACCTGACGGACAGTATCTCGTGACTGGTTCTGTGGACGGCTTTATTGAAGTTTGGAACTTCGTTACCGGTAAGATCCGAAAAGATCTAAAGTACCAAGGCCAAGAAAATTTCATGATGATGGAAGAAGCGGTCCTGTGTATGGAATTCAGTAGGGACTCGGAAATGCTCGCAACTGGTGCACAAGGTAAAATCTAACCAGATATTTACTTTGGAATCATCACGATAATACTAATAAAATACTAGCTATATATTATGATACTTTAATTCTGGCTAAGTGAGCTAATCACCGGGTTGTTGAATGTATCATAAAGAATAGTACTAAGATTTTATATGCTATCGTGTTTTCAACTCGGTCATAGATGGCAAGATCAAGGTATGGAAGCTACAGAATGGCCAGTGTTTACGTCGGTTCGAAAAGGCGCATTCGAAAGGAGTAACTCGTGTCCGCTTCTCCAAGGATTCTTCGCAGATTCTTTCATGCTCATTCGACCAAACAATTCGTATCCATGGTCTAAAGTCGGGAAAATTACTAAAGGAGTTTCGGGGTCATAGCTCTTTTGTCAATGACGTAATATACACAGCAGACGGGCACCATTTGCTAAGTGGTAGCTCTGATGGAACAGTCAAAATGTGGAGTATCAAGACAACCGAGTGTCTGCACACATTCCAAGCGGCTCTCGGAGCAGCTCAAGTAAGATAAAACATCTGAATGTTTTGTGTTACGACCGGTACTATTTTTAAGCATTGCCTTGAAAGAAAAACAATGCTCAGTATAGAACTACTTACCTATAAGTTGCTGTGTCCTTGAATCATTTCTTTCGATATGAAAACTTTATTGAAAGGAAGCGCATGAACCCTAAAAAAAATAGTTCTGATGACTTACTATATGCTCTTAAGTTCCTTTGCCATTTGTGTGACTTATAGACAATACAACGTACCAGAAACTAGAATGTCTTTTATCATGTTGTCGTTTGGAAGCATCTAATTTCAGCATAACGTTTTGCATGATAGTACTGTATTCTTATATAAAAAAAACTATTTGTCTTACTTATATTGTCAATATTATTCTACAGGGAGCTGCGGTAAACTCGATTCATCTGTTACCCAAAAATCCAGAACATTTTGTGGTCTGCAACAGGTCGAATACAATGTCAATAATGAATACTCAAGGCCAGGTATCTTAGACAATGGATTACTTACATTTACACATAGTTTATACTCGCAAGTTTCCGTCATATACTCAATGAAAAGGAAATTAAAAATTTTTTAAGGCACTGCCATTAGAAGCGGATATGATAAGAATCATATAAAGTTAGAATTTTTCATTAGAACTATTTCACATTATTTTCACATTTCTTTGTAACATGAACATCATATGTATAAGTGATAGCATGAACTAAGCCTTTTAACTATCTTGAAAGATTTCTGTATTTTCAGAAAAAAATTACTATTATTTTTGTATGTGCGCTTACTATGTGATTTTTAGATTGTCCGCTCATTCTCTTCGGGCAAACGAGAGGGCGGTACATTGGTTTCATGCGTCCTGTCGCCAAGAGGCGAGTGGATTCACGTAGCCGGAGAGGATCACGTGTTATACTGCTTCAACGTCGTTGGAGGAACTCTAGATCGAACGTTGGCTGTAGCAGATGGCGATGTCGTTGGATTAGCTCACCACCCTCATCAGAACTTGTTGGCGTGTTATTCAGACGACGGCCTCCTTAAATTATGGAGGGCCTAGGCGTTTTATCTGGCCAGACCTTACCGTAGTCGTCATATAAAATGTGGATTCATTAATGTATTGATAGGAAAGAATTATTTGAATATTGTATCATATTGACTATTGTTATTGACTTAATATTCATGTGTTTTATTCTTAATTGTCTAACTGATCGAATGAAGTATGTTTGTGACGAGGAAGATCCACACATGTAGTTTACTTGTAAGAGTATATGAAAATAAGTGTATTTGCTAACTATTAATTCGGTTTTCTCTTGCTAGCGAAAAATACGGAAAAAGTAAACTTTTATTGCATGTAATATAACAGAATTCGTAGTTTGCCCAGTATATGAAAGTGGATCAAAATGTTTATCAGATGAAAACGTCAAGATCGACTCTCTAGCTAAATATATACATAAGTTCAGTTATAATCCAATTTTATTGAGCGATTCAACATATCTATAATTTTGAAGCGCACAAACGTTTGTGGCGCCTTTTGGTTTTGACTTCTTAGAATCGTACATACATTTGGTAGAGTTTTATCAGAAGATTCTCCTATGCGAAAAACGGGTCTAGAAAACAGAGTAACTAAAAGAGAAGTCTATTTAGAAATGTAACATACGTTTTGAGGAGTATTTGTTAATGAATATGGCTCGGGAAGAGTGCGAGATTGGAAAAATTGTAGCAAGAGTGATTAATAAAAACCTACGCATTTTTTTCTGTCACTTTGGTGTAATTGGTTGCTTCATTGATCCATACGATCTTTCAAATTCGACTGTAATTCAACAATTAACCGCAAATTAATTGTTTAACAACATATCGAATGCCTAATTTTAAATGTGATATCAGAATGACTCACGGCTTATGTTTTTGTTGATCTCAAGCGGTCCGTGAAAAAAATATCCAGAGCAAGTGCTCCTAAACACTTTTACAAATTTATAAATTTGTATAATAATCAGGAAAAAAAATATATATATATAAATATATTTGTAATGTACAGTAAATAAATAAAAAAGAAATTTGAAAAGTCATCTGAATGGGGTGTACTTTCTTTGTTTTCTAAGACAAAGGTGGTGTCGCATATTTTGAATAATTTTGCAGCCTTGTCCACCATTTCTTACCATTCTACCTGGTCGTGCGGAGATATTTCTGACAGGTTCTAGCGCTATGTTGCACTTTTTAGACAATATTCAATTTAATTTACAAAGTATTCGTCTTGATATATAAAATGACACATTCGGAGTGAAAGCGGTATGTAGGATGTCCCAAAATGTGGGAATATTTTAAGGAATTTAGGATATTACTTAAGGAATTACGGTGTTGTGTAATAACTACTTTTCCAATTGAAAGACTGAAGATGCGCTCTTGCTTATAATACTCATTTAAAGCCATTTAGTTAAAAGTATCGCACTCGCATGATGATGGTATCAATGAAATGCTGAAGTTTCAATTGTATAGGACACTAAGTCGACGTTCTTTCTAATACTCGTTGTCACACTAATAGATACCTGAAAACATTACTGCTTGTAGAATTATATCTGACTTAATTACAAAAACTTTGTAGTATTATTTTGGACAGATGGAGCTTCTTTTAGCACTCCGCTAGCTTCATTAGCGTTAGGGTAGTACCAAATAAAAAAGCAAAGTCTTAACGCTTTGGTATTCCTCACCTCTAGTCATCATAGGAAAATTCTAAGTAATTTTTAAGCGACGATTGAATTTTTGGAACCTAAAATCGTGATCATTTGGTTCGTTAATAGCGGTTATTTTTGATAAACGGGCTTGAAATGGGTATCGAAAGAATAAACGGATTTCGCCTATACGCGTATGTTTTTCAGTAACTTTTATATGCTCGATCGAGGCAGTAGTTCTCTATATATATATATATCCATATATATATATATATGGTAATTACTAACCGGGAAATTACGCTCTGTCGAAAAGGAATACCAATTGCCTTATTGCTTCATTCATCTAATAAAAAGGCTTCGTGCTCTTGTAAAGCCACTGGTTGATAGCTTTCAGGAATGTCTGTTTCTGTATATATTAATCGATCAATTCACTTGATGCCTGCATGCTTACTAGCTTGATGATACGCTTTAGAAAACGATATCGAATGATGTCATTCATACATTCTTAATCCACCTAATGGAATTTACATTTTTATTCTTTTTTTTGTTCTATAAAAAAAAATTTAATTATCTTTTTCGATTACAGTCTTAGCAAAAAAAAACACACCACGATTTTTTAGTGTATCACACGTTTCATTCCTTTCTTTATTTACACAAGTTGATTGGTAAAAATTTTACTTATTTACAACTATTCTACCATTTAATTCGTCACCGGGTTACTTTTGACACCAACGATCCCTTGCATTGCTATCGACGGTGTCTGTTTATGATTTTGTGGTGCATAGCCATAAATGCGACATCGGAGTTTGCCGATATTAATTTGTCACGCTTGTCTCTATATTTGCCATGATAAACTCATTCTCGCAAGCAACTCAACGCAAATTAAAAATAAACTTCTGCTATCTAAAAGTATGAATATGACATTCGGATGTTAAGAGCTTCGTCTCTACTCATGCACATAGCCAAGTGGAATCTGGGAAGCTGCCGTTATGAATAACTGGCAAAATATATTTGAAGTTAGGTACAATGAGTCCTTAACAAAGGCGTCTTTTTGCTGAGCGTGTGCGTTTTTGTAATTAATGATTAAAAAAAATTCTTTACCATTATGTATTTTTTAATGTAAGAAGATGGGAAGCACTGTTAATAACTGTTTGCGATTCTTTTCACTTTTATGCTGCCTTACAGCGCTCCCTGAAAATTAATTTACATCTAACTAATCAAAACAGAATTACACGTCAATGGTCGAATGACGCGCAATTCGCGGTAATTGTCATGACCTAGACAAAGAATTTGTCAGGATACCATTCTCGAGAGACAAAAACAATAACCCCGCGAAAGAATCGCACTTTGTGAAATACTTAGAGGCGCGTCAACGGATAACCAGTCTGCAGTGAATATTCCCGACTGTGCTTAAAATCGTCTGACAGGTTATTGCTAAAGGCAACTCACCTGTTAAAATTATGCAAAAATCTATGTTGAATCAGAAGGTGTGCTCGAAAAGCGTGCACTACTGTGTGCACTTTTACCGGTTACGAAACGGTCACTTTTATATTATCTTTATCTGTTTTTTATTTTATCATGTATAGGTAATTCTAAAAATTGATCAAAGAAAGGTGGACTTTTGTGCTCAATAAGTACTAGCTCAAGGTTTAGTAGGGGAGCTGCATGAAACGGAAATCTAATGGCATTTTCAATTGTATAACCTTGTTAGTTTTAGTAAGAGTACGAACTATTACTACGGCAGTCATCCAGGAGAAGGCTTTCAGCATAAGTAGTCCCAAGTCAGCCTCCTGGAAAAACTTGCGAAAAACAGACAAAATCTAGAGAGACTACTATATATCTATAATGTTGCGAGTATAAGCCGAAAAACAGGATTATAAAGGCAATTATAAATATTTAATGAACTAATACTTTTTTAATAATTTATTACTAATAGAAGTACCTCGTATATAATATATGTATACGTAAGTCACTTCAGTTAATAGTTCCTTAAAACCGATTATTGAAAAACGAATTTAGAATTAATTAGCGCCTATATTATACGCTTAATTTTGTTTAGCGTTTTTAAAAAAGTACCATCAAAACTCATTCAAGGCTCAACTTCGTTTCATTTCGTCAGCCAATGCCTTTCGGCAGCATTTACCGAAAGTTCGTCGTGCTGAATCCTGGTTCAAGTCTCCTGGTAGTGCAGTAATCGTCTCCACACGAATTCGGTTGGCGTATCGGGGTCCCAAAAAGGGAATGCTCCTTCTATTGAAGGTTTGAAGATCAATCACCTCGACAGTAGCCGGCCCAGCAATAAGGACCTGCCCATTAGAATACGCAATAGAGTGACCGTTTTTGAGCAGAGGAACTGGTATCGAACCCAGCAATTCGGTGCCTGTTTTAATAAGCACCTCTCCAGCTCGATATATGATTGCTTTACCTCCGCAGACACCAAGTAGTAGCAAATCAAGTGATCCCGGCTCGACAACGGTCCATTGATCTCGTAGACTCTCAATTATGGGATTTGTACCGTAGATGGGCTGCTCATTATCATTTAATTTGACCTCAGCTTGCATAATGAAATCTAGAAGACCAGGCTTGTATCGTCTTATATACATCCGGCGAATCTTTTCCCGCGACATGGCAATCCCCATAAACGTACCATCGTCCTGTAGTACAAATATTTCCAGCCCTATCCAGAGGAAGAGGTCTCGTTGAAAATGCGCTAGTCCAACATCACCTCGATCCCCATAGTCCAGCGGTGTAGCTAGTTCACGAAGGATGCGCCCAGTGGAGCAGTCGATCACTTTCACCTTGGAGTCGTCCAATACTGTAAGATGACCATCCTGCATGAAGCACAGATTGTCCGGCAAGTGGCCATACCAAACGGCTAAATGTGAGTTAGGGGCCATAAGTGTGTGCTCTTCGAATCGATCGTTGGAGAAACGAAAACACAAAACCTGCGAAGAGTCCATTGACTCGACCGACCATGCCCCAAAAAGGTACATGTTTGATTCAGCTTCATCGCCCCGCGCCAGCTCATCGTAGACTTTAAATATGGAATCCATTCGACGGCTCGGATCATGCGTAACCCAACGGTGCAAATGTTTCAATACGTTTGGCCGAAATGGCCGCATTTCTTCGGCTAATAGAACATCGGCGAGGCTCATAATATCAAGTTGGGTGAAGTTGAGAAAAACGTCCGACCCAAGAAACGATAGAACGGCCACACCTTCAAGTAGGAACTCTCTAAGTGGCCGAGAGAGATCTTCAAGAAGGAACTGTTGAGCAGCGATGTACAAAGGAACGGCTTGGTCGACACTCATCACCATTTCGTTTCTTGTGTAGACCCAATCAAGCATAAGCTTGAGAGTTTCCGAGTCAACTGGCAATTCGGCTTCTCGACGTCGTGACTCGATAAACTCACTATTGCTTACCAATGTACGAAAATAGTCCGAGGCATCAGCCAACACAAACGAATGCACAGCACGTCGACCGCCATCCTTGCCCGCAACAAGGCAAAAGTCACTTGGAAGAAGTCCATCAGCGTCCAATGCCACTTGGAGCAAGCGATCTCCTACAGCCATTTTTCGATTTGTAAGACGGATCGAGTACATCGCCCTTACTTTGTTAACAAACTCACTGAAATGAAAACCGCAAAAATGCAAAACATTATTGAATGTAGCAAAGAAAAATATCACATGTCATATATAATAATACCGACTTTCCGTACGAGTATTTAATTACTGGATCAACTAAGCCTCCACATTTTTTTACAAAACGTTGCTGTGAACTACCCTTTTCTCTTGATGCAACTGAAAGCGTGAAGAACGCAGTAGTAACCACTATAAATAAATGCAATAACGGTAAACGCGCCTATATAATTTAACCAAGTGCTTATCAGTACAAGCTTTTATATGCCAATACGTTTATAATACACATAACCTGTATAAATAAAATGTTTTTTTATTCGTATGCCAAAAGACTAGTCTCCTGTACAAACGCATTTGGCAAACACCGATGTTTTTCAAAACCAATTTTATGCAAGGCTTTGATGGCTTAACGCTTTATTAGAAGTTCGTTAGTAAAAGTTTCTATTATATATGTATTTCACGTCTAGCAAATATCCCTGTGTAAATATGCGGTGTAAATTCATCCACCAGTCAGTTCATTCTTTGTGTCAATTATCATTACTTACAGCTGGCACCGCCAGCTAAGCAGTGAATATTTTCCCTCAGAATGCAAAATGCAAACTCAACCCACCGTAGTGAATTTGTACAATGAGCAGCTTCAGGAAAATTTCGCAAAATTTTCAGTTATGATATAATGAACGATTTTTCGTTTGGGTACATCTGCCATTTTTACCCTCATCAGAAAGACCTCATTTAAGCATATATACATAACTACTGAATATGGTTTTAGGTGCAATGTCCTTACTAGTAAAGGATATGCTCATGAGTATTTCACAAATTATAATTGAACCTTCGAAATTCCCATCATCTTAAATAGCTGCAATGCGTGGTATGTTTTTTTTTTTCAAAACATCTCCTAAATAAACGAAGTCTTTAACGTGCACAGAAAATAATTAGAAGATCTGTTTTCCCATTTACAAAAAAAAAAATACAAATGATTAGTTAATTCGTGACGCACTTGTTAATGAAGATGTGCGCCCTACAAATTCAACGGCCACATTTATATATGCTTATTGTTTTCGTTAAAGATGCCAACGCCGGCCATGCATTTTTTCAAGTAGAGAGCTTAAAATGAATAGAATTGTTCAGCAATTTGATATATACTGCTATAACTTTACGATGAGGTGTAAAAAGGGTTGTCGCATGCGATCACAGTTACAATCATTACAATGTGTATTCTTGATGATAATGATAGTCCAACTTGAATCATGCATAAAACTTTAAATGTTAGATTTTACAACTGTTAGGTTATAAGAAAAAGAACTCGGTATTGTAGAAAATTGAAACCTCAGATTTGGGTACCCAGAATGATTGACAAGCTGCCACAAGACAACCGAGCTCACAAAAAAATTGTTTAGTGCAAAGGAAATTGCTGTCATTAACGAGTCTATGAAATAGAATTGAGTACAAAGCTTGTTCAAGCTGACCGAGAAAATGGGAGTCGTATTTTGAAGGACTGGATAGATAAGAAAGACCAAAAGCCGTTCTAACGCCTAGAATCACAGTTGCCAGAATTGGCCCGAGTCTGGGCTAATTCTGGGAAATCGGACAGGTAGCCGCAGTCACATTGTACTGTGGACATTGAAGGAACGACCCGAATGGACGCGAGCATCCCAGCTTTTAGGTATCGTATTGTTGTCAAGGTGTCATGGCTGACGGATAACACGCTCGAAAAATTGGTCACTAGCGAGCTAATAACAGCACTGAATAAGTTGGCGTGAAGGAAATGAGAGCAAATGCCGATGGAACCAGCCCGCGAAGTGTTGGAGCACAACTCTTTTACGCTAGGAAACGGTTATACTGCTAAGTTCTACGTTAAACGCTAAAAAAAGGGTAGAGAGCGGAGACAGCGATCAAAAGGGCTGAAAAGATAGGAGCTATTACCACCAAGAACCAAGCGAGTAAAAGCTACGTAGTTCTGTTCCGAAGTCTAAAGACTTCGGTTGACCGCAATGCTGAAGGCGTGGAGATTCCGAAGGATATAAAAAACGGCGGCCACAAGCCAGAAGTCAAGAAGAGCAAACAAAGAGAGTCTGGCTAAACGCATCCAGGAAAATGCTTAATTGATCCAAAAGAGGTTACCCCACCGAAGCTAGTTACGATGGCTCTTCGAGAACTGTACGAAACAGCGGTTATGGAGGAGATTGGCAAGGCCTTCGTGGAGCAGCTCAGGAAGAAAATAGAAAACCTCGAGATTAACTCATCGAAGGAAAATCGGTTCAAGACATGGAGGGAAATCATTCACCTTTTGAAACGGGAGGCTGACCTCCTGTGTGCAAAGAGGTATTTCAAGATGAAATGGTATATGATATATGTTAACAATAAGCTACAACTGGTGGAACTTTTGACACCTTGCTGGGGACAGTAGGGATGGAAAAAATGGCAAAAACATTTAGTGCCGGTGCGGAACTAAGGGATGTATGTCCAAAAACTGCACGCAGGATAGTCCCACATTCTCTGCATGCAAAGTGAAAGGACATTAAGCCAACTTAATTTCTTGTTCGAAGCCCAAAAAGTGTATCAAAACTTTGAAAAAATCGAGACTTAGAAGGTCGCGGCAGCGACACAAACTTCTAGAGTTACGATTCGCACGGCAGCGTCAAATGATGGATAAAACGGAGCCAACAGTCACACCCAGAATAGAAAGAAGCATCGCACAAAGGAGGCTACTTAGGAAGAACGGGAAATCACCATTCACCAGGTAGATGAGACGACTGGAGAGCAAAATCAACAACACCTTTTCGATCTTCTCCGGGTTTTCCAAGTCAACCTCAGCAGGTATCACGGTGCACATGACTAGTTAGAAAGCTTTGCCGTGACGTGGAAAATTCACAACTGCCTGACAAGAGAATTTGACAAGGAGTTCGCTCCCAGGAAGAAGACGAATGCGACGATGTCGGGATAAGGGTCTGCAATAGAGGGTTTAGAATTAATTCAAGCTTAATAAACGGGAAGTTCGCCTGGACAGCCACAGATAGGGATACGCTATATTGCAGCTACAAGTCCCCTAACGTGAAATAGGGACCACTTTTTAGACACGCTGAGAGGAAGCCTGATGAACCGACAACAACGAAAAGACACGGTTGAAGGCTATGGCGACATTGTAACTAACGTAGGCAGCCGCCGAATGAGGCAGTAACACTACGCATCAACGTATGCGGAGCTTTTTTAATGAATTGTTTAAAAAAACTTGCACATGGTAAACGAGGGCCGGAATGACAGGAATCATTCCTGGACCTGACCCTGTGTGGCAAAGGAATCGCTGATCGCATCACGCGCGGACGACTGAGGGACGAAGAAAGATCCCTCAGCGATCACTGTAATCCCACCTTTAAAATAGCAGCACACGTAGAAGCAGATGCGAGGGAAAACTCTCAGATACGCGAAAGATGATGCGCTAAACAGTTTAACTGTAAGAAAGTAAAAACAAAGGAATGTGACGACCTGCAGAATCTCGACGCAAGAGACATTATGGGTGCAGCACCAAAATCGCAAATTGGAATGAGAACTCGCTAGAAACCTAAGCACTAGTAGAACTGTACGATTACAAAAGCAAGAAAGAGCTGCATAGGGCTAGGCGACTATAACAAGAACATTAAAAGGCAAAACAAGAACTCGACGCGACGCAACCTTGGAAAAAAGACCGTGGCGCCTACAGCTCAACAAGCTCACGACGCATGCATTAATATCAGAAAGCAGTTTCAAGTCCGCATCAAATAGAGAAAAAAGTAAAAATGGCATGCGAAAAGGTCAAAAGGGATATATGGTTTTTCCTAATACCAAATTGCTATTAAAAAGATTGGATGCACACTGACACTTCTGTTGGCCGATCTTTATGGGATTCCATTGTTCTGCCCTTCATGCTCACTCTAAAGAGAGGAAGATGCCGAAAGCAGAACTCTACTTCCCAGAAGTAATAGAACAGGAGACCATCACCGCGGCAAATGAGTATGACTCACGGTAAGGTGCCAAGGCTAAATGGTATCTTACCGGAAGCAGTATGAGCCCTGCAAAAACACAGGCCGAGCACTTTCCGATATGTAATTACCAAGTTACTAAGAAGTCGATTTCCACGACGAAAGTGGAAAAAAGCGCGTCTTGCGCTAATTCTGGAGCCGAGAAAACCATTTGAAAACTTCAGATAATACAAGCCTTCAAGTCTCAGATAATACAAGCCTTCAAGTCTACTAAGTACTGCCGCCAAGGCATTTGTGGCATTCGTTTTAAGAGACTGACGGCGGAACTATAAGAAAAAAAACATTCTATCGGAGGAGCAGTATGGCTCTAAAAAGGGTTGGACGGATAAGTTGGTTTTATCAGTTGGACTATATTAGTGAGCGTTCTGAAGCGACAAGGGATATCCTGTTACTTACGCTGGATCATAGCGGGCTATTTCAGTAACAAGAGGATCGAGTTCAACTTGATTAAATAAGATCTGTAGCCCAAAGGAACCACGGACTTGCCGTAGAGGGCCATTCTGGGGCTGATATTGTGGTGCCTTGGGTGCAGAAATTCTAAGTGCCGGAAAAAGTCAGTACCACTGCCTACGCCGACGACTTAATGGTGGTTGTTGCCACAATAGCGCCAGAGGAGACCGAGCACAAGGCAAACACTGCATTTGATCGCGTTTTGCACTCGATGAAGGAAAAGAGCTTGGCGCTAGCCTCGGAGACGTCTGGAGCAATACTGCTAATAGATCGAAGGAGGTGTAGAAAAATCAGTCACTTCCGATGGTAACATCATTGCCTTGAAGAAGGAAATCAGGTATCTCGGAGTGATCCTTGATCAAAGGCTGATTTTTACTCCGCATGTCAACTATGTAACTAGAAGGCAGCCAATGCGATCAACCGCCTGTCGAGGATTATGCTGCGGGTTGGGGATGCAAACTAAGGCCAAGACGGCTGCTGTCACCTGTTGTGAAATTCATCATCTTGTACGTCTGGCCCATTTGGCGAAAGACAAGTTTTCGGAGTGACTAGAATCACAGGACTCTAAGGAGCGCTCAGCGACAGCTTACGATTCGCACTTGTCGTGGATATCGTACAATTTCAGCAGAAAACAACCGCACAAGGGAGCAGACACTTTGCATCAGGCAGGAGGAGTGGGCATCAGCTGTCGCTGTGGAAATCACTAGCCCATACTGGACTGACCACTAAACAGGGGAGCTTATTCTAGGTATCGTGAACTGGACTAATACGGTTGAGTACTGAAGAGTACTTGTAGAAGATCGGCAAGGCAAGCTCGCCCGAGAGCTTGCTGTGCGATTTCACTGACAAACAGCTTCCTGAAATGGCGGTGATCCAAGAGATCAGTAACAGTCTTCAGACTCCGGCTCCACAGCGGTTCACTGCTGATAATATCCTCCCACTAATATTGAAAGGCACTGAGAAATGTAATGCATTGTCTAGTGTCGTGGAAGCTAGGATCAGAGCTAAGGAGGACAAAGGGTCAGTAAGAGAAAAAGCTGCAAGAAGGACAAGATTAACTTCCCAAGAAGTGGGGGTCATGGAGTCATAGGTCCTCAGCTATGTTAAGCAGTGGCGTCAAAGGTGTTTAGGGCTGTGGTAGCAGACCAGTGTGACGGGTACCCGCGGGGAGGAATGGAGGCCCTGAAGCAACATGAAAGCAGTCCTAGGGCTCCATCCCCTCAATCTAGAAATCGAAGCATAGACTCTTTAAATGATGAACATGTTCCACACTACCCTCGGGTTTTCGGACTAGCGATTTCGCGGTTGGTCTTGTTAAACAAGAAGAAAAGATTCAATAGAAAGGCGATGTCAGTAATCCTTAACTAAAAATTATACGCTTATCGAACGAAGTGGATCTCAGATCCCTATTCACTCAAATGCTTTTGTAAGCTATCACGCACTAAGTTCAATGTATGCAGAGGCCTAAACTAGTAACATCTGGTTCTTTCCCGTTAATTAAAATGAAGGTATAGTAAAAATCTCGATGAGTGTCACAACTACGAATCTGTCTCAACAGTCCGCCCAAAATTTGTTCTCCATGTTAGTCTACGGCATCTTGTAATTTTCAAAACAAATCGAAGAAAATAATTTGAAAATACAGTTTAACTACGACGTGCAATATGTAAGAGGTACATCACATATTTAAGAAGAAAAAGTTCAATTATACAGGTAATGTATACTAACACATTAGGATGCTTCACCCTGATCCCGGTAAGTGGTGACGGCCTACAGTGAAACGCTAAGTGGAATAGGAAAGAACCGACGTTTAAAAAGTAAGTCCAGATATAATCAGTTGATATTGGCTTTGGACTAAGCGGTTTAAGTTTTCGACGCAAAATCGAAAGTGAACATGTTAACGGAATCGCGCTTCATCATTAACTCGGAAAACATTATGTAACCACATCGCTTACCGCCACCCCATTTTTGAGCAATAATTAATCAAACATCGAAATCGATGTTACAACTCGTATTTATGCCAAGCACATTCCAATAAATCTTGCATTAAATTTAGCTCAAGCTTATAAAGTAATCGGGTCGTTAACTCAAACCGTAAACCGTCGTTCATCGTAATATATCTATGCTTGTGTGCACTGGTACATTTTCACTTACCTTCGTAAATTATATAGAATCGGTTAGCAGACGAAACGACGAAAACCCAGATATGAATCACAGTTCACAACAAAGCTAGTTTATCACTCTCTCTTTTACGAAAATTACATACCAAATATAATTCAGGTACCAGCTTTTTGATGTGAGCGACAGCCGAGTCACGCGCAAGGATTCTAGGAATACTTCAACTGGAGTCAATGTATCAATCATACAGCGGCACACACGATGGCTGGGCTGACCCAGCCAGGCGATTAGGAGAATAGCATGTCGATCTCCTATATATCTATTACCGGGGTCGAACGAGTGAACGGACGGAGCAATTGTAAGCGCTTACCGGAGAACGAACGGTGGCGCGACAATAGGCGGTGGCAACGCGGAGAGGAATCGTGGTGAGGTCAATCGCGCATGCGTCTCAGCAGCGCCGAAATGGCGCGCGAAGCTTAAGAGATCGCTGCGATGTGCATCGATCACTTCAAACTTTAAAAAGCTTTAACTAAAGCCATTTCATCGCACAAACGGAGCATAAGTGTGTAGACCGTTAGACGAAAACCAAGAGGAATAAAAAGCGGATAGCTTTTCGATATTTGTTTATATCAATGTAAGTACAACGCCATCTAAGTGAGTAACCGCAAGCACGAAGTAATTTAGTTAATGAAATCAAGTTTGGAGTCTTAACACAAGCTGTAATGTCACAGAAACAAAGGCTGTTTAGGCAGCTTATACAAGAGCCTTCGCTGATGATGATATAGGTGTTCAAATCTTAGTATGGAATGTATGACACATGCTTTAGAACGCTCCTATGGCTGTAGCTACTGAAGAGCATGAAAACTCAAGATTCACGCTTCATATCTTCAACTAAGTTAGGATTATTAAAGTAGCTTGCAGTTTAATCTACTTTCTATCTTTCCTTAGAAAAAAAACAAAGATGTAGTTAAACTTGCTACCGCAAATACTGTCTAGTTATATATGCATATCAAATAGTTTCTTAAAATATCGAGGAAACAAAATTACTAAGGGCTATGTAAAAGTACGTCAGCCTTTACTTTTCAGCTTAACCTTGAGTGGTCTACTGTAGAGCAATTAATTTGGTGGAATCAGATATGTGTATCGTGTGGATCAACCGGAGAATTAATCCTCTCTGCGATCCATGATTCGGATGAAGGTAAAGATCGACGATTATTTTGAACCCGCAAGGATATACAGCAGGAATATTTAGACAGTGCTAAAGCTTCAGCTTAAAATTCGTAAATTGATGCCACGAGACCGGTTGATCTAATTTCAATTCTCGGCGCCTTCCAATCGTGGTCAGGTTAAATTACGAGAAGGCTGAAATCGCACAGTGAGAATGAAACTTGTCAAACCTTCCAAATGCGATCAGAGCTAATTACAACTACCGCTTTTCAAATAGAAAGAAAATCATGGTAGATTATTGAGATGTACGTTACTTCAGATCCGCATTATCTACACGGATGTACCAAACAAGGACAGCAGAAACATGTAACTCATATAGATCTAACGATGGGCGGGAAATTTTATAACAAACTATATAATCTTGTTTGAAACCTACCAGTACCCTTATATCGTCAATCCTGACTGCTTAAGTTTGCGTAGTCGAGTAATCCTATCGGTCCAGTCATAAGAAATACCATTACATTTTATTAAGCTAAACAGAAGCTATTTAAGTTCAATGACTCAATAGAAACATGAACCCGTGGATACCCATGATGATGCAATGATCACGTGTTTATGTACTAAAGTTAGATATACCTGAGGATTTAGGTTCGAAGGAGAACGTTGACAAAACTGAGGAGCAGCCGCCTTAATCAATCAACATTCATTCACAACCATGTGGTTAGACGAACGATGTCCAAATAGAATTAAAATCAATTGAATAGACCAATATGGTCATTCAATTCCTTATGGCTATATTAGCCTTCTTTCACTTTCGTATCAATGATCGTTAAGATCGTTACAGTAATGATATATTCAAATCCAATTTAGCCGATTAATCCGTTATTCAGCGACGCAGGTCAAAATTTCGAATGTATTAATAAATTCTAATGCAGCTGTGCGTGTGATTTGCGGTAGCGCTAACTTACTCAGTGAGTGTCGTGACGAAATGCCTTAAAAAGAAATTAAATATGATATCAAATACATACTATATTGTGACTATAACCATAATCAAAACATGCCCTGCTACCATGGCATTGCGACTTCCCGAAGCCTTCGCTGAGTTCATTAAAGAACATTCTCCAGGCGAAGTCATTAATCATTTCTACAAAATCCGAAGCACGTATCACTACCAGTGCCGGACGAGAAGACTTTTCAAATAAAGCTTGATTCTCTTCGAAGTATTAAGTGCGTTTTGATATTGTCAGAGGTTTGAATGCGATAAGAAATGAGAGCTGATATACCACCATCGAAAAAGCGGAAGAAGCTCCCAGCATTAAAAAAGAAAATAAAGGCTGCCTTTTTGCAAGGGTAAGCGATTGGAACCGAAGGAGAATAAACGAAGATAAATAAATAAATAAAAATAAGTATTATTTAGATTAGTATTTTCGTTTAGTGGGAAATATCATTCTAATTATTTGTTTAGTGAATCATATGCTTCTCGTTCTGACATATCAAGATTGCGGATCGCGATAACAACAGCAGCAGCGGCTGCGACGACGCTATTCAGTCTACTAAATCATTATGTAGAATTGAACACGGCCCATCGATGTCACGTGTTTCAGAATTCTTAAATAGACTACTAGGCTGATCCATTAAATGCGGTGTTTTGACAAACGTTTATCTATTATCACACTATTGGCCTCTAGACATTACTACATCCGTTCCTTAGTGGTGGACTTACGTTGTTTTATTTTTGGGGCAACATATGGTAACGAGCACGAAATGATCGAGAGTGATTCCCGGTTTTGCCACAATTAAAAAATGAGTAATTAGTACGCCTACGCTTTCTCACTAATTTAGCAAAATGGTTTAGAGTTTCAAAACTTTCATGTGAGCCATCTAACGGTTACCGCAAACGAAATGAACGGTTCAAACGTCAGATAACCTGAAACAATCACACAACACGCGAAGTTATTTTGAAAATAGCATAATGGGGTAAGCCATGGCCTCATATTCCTTACTGTAATGCCATAAAAAATAAAGTAAAGGACGAACAGGGAGAGTAAAAAATTGAAAGTCTTTATGCTTCCGTAGGCTCCTGCAGGTTTATCACAACGCGTCATGCACTCATTTTTTCGAAAATAATACCACCAAAACTCGTTTTAGAAAAAGAGAATTTCTAAGTTTCTTTTTCTAAAACGAGTTTTTCATATTCAATCTTATACACTTAACTGCACAACGAGATATACGTTCTTTCTAGGCTATTTTTGCATTGCATGTCAAATGTTTGGTTTGTATTTGTTTGGCAAGTACCTCAAATATGAATGACCTCCCCGCCTCGTTCAAGAATACAATAGGCTGTTAGCAATCCTTTTGGTTCTGTTTAGTGCATCGTGCGGCCTGTCTCTAATTTTTCCGAAGCTGATGCTCTGCACAACTCCCGCGGGGTCTAACCAAACCCCCTGTAACTCTGTGTACGTTATGTGGAGCATAACGGGCACGTTGTTACGACTAATAATCGAATGGAAGAGCACTGAATGCAAAAATATCACCAATCTTAGAGTAACCGTCGCAAAGTTAAGGGGTAGCTTTGATGCGTGAATAATAACCACGGGTAAATATCTATAATATATAGTGGCACACATATTGCCTAGACTAAAATTTCTTCTTTTTGGTTCTAATTCATGTAGTTTATAATTATTATTACTACAGTAAGCGCTATTATTTATGAAATTAACTTGGCAAAGTAACATTATTGAGTCGATTAAAAACCTCCACCGATTAAATCCTTGACTTACTCCACATATTCCTGGACGATTGCGGTAATCCGCGCTGTAATATGGTTCTTTAAGGTGTTAATAATGTGAATTGTTGTCGACATCACCTGCATATGTAGGCTCGCCTTCAAGCTCATATAGTTTAGTTGGAAAAGTTGATGGTCATGGCTCACTTGCGGCAATATCTACGATCATTTATATATATATATATATAAATATATATATACGGTTTATACATTCAAACTTTGCGCATTTGAGAAAAATTTCGAGTCGAAAAATTTTATTACTTACGATGACATTGCGATGCCTCATTGTAGAAATTGGATTCTTCAGTAAAGGGCCAGTCGCACTTCAATACATCTGTATTTTATTCCAGCTATTTGGTCATGACGATGTTAGGCGCTTAATTCTATATGCAAGTCTACATTTGGCCTTTATCACACGAGGCGCATGTTTCGACAATGTTTATGGACCCGGAGTTTGTCTTGCTCGAGACCCGGTTTTCTCTGGATATGGGCGTCTGCATGGCTGTTACTACTCACATGGGAGCCAGTAATAAAATCAGTGATAACGCGTTAGACTATTTCTATTTGACAGTCAAGGCCAGCTAGCTGTCGTCCATACACAGATTATGATAAATGTGTGGACCTCATCCTCTAAGCGGACTGCGTCGCTGGCGCCGTGCCAAACGTTAGGTCAACGATATCAGTGCCACTCTTGGCAATGCTTGGTATGGAGCTGCTCATTCGTGGAGATCCTGGTTGCTGCAAGGACAACCTCGATATTACGAGCGACTCCTAAGCGTTTCAAGTTGGCGCTAATTCGTGGTACCTTGAAGTTATACTCTTGATCGTGATCGGCTGCAGCATGCCAATGGCCCTAATATAGCCGTATGTAGCCATTATATATCAATCATTGTTATGGCTGTATATTTCCTGTACAGGAACATAGAAAAATCACACATCCTGGGACAGCCCTTTTTTTCTCATGCTTTGGGATTTATTGTTTAAAAATCACTGTATGGCTTCAGCTACTTCTTGCGCCGTATAATCTCGTTCCTGCTGCATTTTCCAAGCATTATCCTCCTCAGACAGAGCACTTCGACACTGAGGCTTAATGTAAAAAGCTGTACCACGTAACCCCTATATATTGTTAAACTAGGTGATATCATTAGTTTGTCGAAAAAGTATTCACCAGTATATGTTAAAATTGAAACACATATTTTTCATGCTTTACAATACTACTACTAAACCAACTACGCACCATTTTTTTCGATGGCTTTTTGCCACTTCTCTTATAACAACAGTTTTTAGAACAAAATACAAGTGATTTTTACATCCCTCCATTTAAGCAAACGTGATACCTCTAACGGAATTCCGCAGAGAACGAAACAGATGCTAATGTAATGTTTAGTCCAGGCTATATGGCGGATGGCACCCAAGCATCGAGTTGTTTTTATAGCTAGTTTTCTTCAAATGGTTCAAAATTCTTTGTTGATGTATGTGTAGTTCCTTGGCGATATCACAGTTACTCACGTATTGCTCTTGCTCGACTTCCGCAATAATTTCATCATCTTGTTCCGTAGCTGGCTGACCAGTGCGAAAGGAATTTTCCACACCGAAATTTTCAAAACAAAAATGACTGAGCCATCTTCGCATCGCTTCTTCAGGGCAATGGCACACATTGGCCATAAACAACACAATTTTTGATGGGCCTGGGGAGCATTTGAGCCTTTCCCGAAATGAAATCACAGAATAGGCAAATTTTTACAATGATTGTAGTCGTCTTTAAAGCGCCTATATCTACTGCTGGTAAATTTTAGTGTTATAGTAACACCAACGCTGATCCCGACCAGACTCAGATTACCCGAGAAATCCGAGTTCAAAGATAAAGATAAAAGTTCAAAGAGAAATCTGAAAAAGGTCAATACTTTTTCGGCAGCCGAAATCTACTCCTACTACAACTATTCTCATAGTGGATAAAAAATAACTGAATACTTTTTATGTACGCCTGCTACAATTTGAATAAAAGTAAAGAGGTCACTAAAAGCTTTCTAGTTGCTCCAATAGGCTCCGCAAAGACCGTTGCATCGTTTCACCTCTCAAAACTGTCGTCTGGATGCGGTCGTCAGTAGCTTTATGACAATATTGGAGTGTGAGGAAATTGGCTACACATATTTTGCATTTACTGCTGTATGCTGAGTGCGACTTTCTTTTTTGTTTCCCATACGACTAACACAGGTAATAAAGCTCCTGGCATTTAAGTTAAGGGACATATTTTTCGGTACCTTCTATTTGCTCACCCATCTGTACCGCGAAAATTCGTGAAAAAAATCTAACTTTGATTAGAAGTATTATGCGAACGCACAATATAGGTTAGCCGTGCTTTATATAAGTGAATTTGATGTACAGCGAGAAATATTAGGTTCAACTATATGAGCTGACTGGGCCAACTGATTGTAACTATAATAAGGTATATGCGTCTGCTTAATTCCAACTAACAAAACTTAATGGATGTTTTACACTGTATGTTATGGATCTCGTATTATGGTTAAGAGGTATCAAGCTTTATAATCAACCTTTTTTTTGTAGAAGTTAAATTACGCGAGCAGTAGAAACAACATGTGTACTGCAAACGATGCACTAAATAATTCTACAACGTCGCAATACTTGCTAATGTGAACATCACCAACAGGGGCTGACAAACCTATTTGAATACTTAAATTCGATTATCCTGTTCATGGTGTCGTTCACCATTTAAAATGACAGTGCGCTGAGCCGGCAATTCTAAAAAATATTTGACAATATACGAGTGTAAAAAGTAGTCTAATATATTACGATATCAATAAAGGCGTTTTGTTCAATATGATGTATGTTGCTTCGGCGAACATACCTGTGTGATTCAGTCATTGCTAGATACTATTAGCGAGTTAATGCATTACTACCAAGTATGCTGAGCATTTTGTCAGAAAATCCATCACCGTAAAAAAAGAAAGACTGACTTATGACTAGTAGTGTTTCGGGTTATAGGCTGCCGATTTAATTGATACCGTGGGACTTTGTGATGTAATATACTGAATTCTATTGCAGAAATAACTACAATTAAAAAGTAGTTATACATGCATCTTCTAGGGGCTAGATAAGCCACGTTGGCCAGTTATTTAAAACCACTTGCAGTTTAGTTAAAATGCATCTCGTCCTTAATAATTAGTAAAAAATAAGAAAATATGTAGGATTACTGCAAAGTCACTGGTGAAAAATGCTTATACGAAATTGCGCTGTATCAAAGAGTATTAGTGTACAGTACTTAGATCTTAAATTTCACAGCCACCGCGGGATGCCGGACTCATAATCGCGAGGTTTCGGATGCAATTCTCCGCTAAGACTATATGAGTTTGTGCTTACCAAGCAATTACGATTGACCAATGTTAATTTAATTACATTACGTATTTACAGTGTAGTCTAAACTAGTCTTTGTCGTGTTACAGGCATTACCACTCAGCGCAGGGCTACCAACGCAAAGTCTAAACTGTTACAAAAATATTAGGTTTTAACCCAATTAGATTGAAAATATTACGATACATCCGTTTTGCTGGCAAGCATCAACAACTACTAGATGTACAGTGTTTGATACATTTCAGACAGTTTTGAAATGATGCTAAATTGAGATTACTTCTTCGGCTGGAACTCTTGCTACTAAAATCGAACATCTAAATAACGTGATCAAGAGAAATACAGACATTCAATTCAAAACAAGCTCATAAAATTGTCATTGAAGTACAAACATGGTTGTTAGGTTCTGATAAATGTAACAGGCTACTAAGAATGAAGACATGATTCATTATTATTTCTTTTTTTGCGGCGCGTCTCGGTGCAACATTTACCGAGGCACCAACGTAACGTATTATTTATTTACCTCATCGTTTTATTATTTTTCGTTTTCTTTTGTTGTCTCCTCTCTTGTTTAATTTTTTCCCTTCTTCAGTATAGTCCTGGCTTGTGTGCGGCGCTAGGCAACATCCTTCATCCGTTATTGTCATAATTGTGTATTTAGTTGTTAATTATTTCATTATTATTATTATTAGCATAATGAATATATATATATGTGTATGTATATATATATATCCAGTTGTCTGATGACAGACGTGTTTCCCACCTTACATTTCAGCTAGCTTTTATTCGAAATACTGTACACCCTGACCCACTCGGCGCTCATCGATAACATCATCCTGCACTTCATTTCCATTTATTCTTAAGGAGCCTGGCTTCGTTTTTTCGTACGATTAGATCCCATCAAAGATCCCACCATCGTCATCCTCACATACCCAGTCACTCTTAGGGTCAAGCTTTCGTGTTACTTCGTTTTCTCGCTCATTCGCTCTGTTTTAGCTTTTTTTCGCTGTTCTCATTCAAACCACACCCGATGTTCTCATTATGATTGTTATTGTTATTACAGTCATCCTGAAGTAGTGTCAATTTTTTTTGTTGTTTCTGTTTTGTGTTCCATGTGTTTTGCATGCATTGGTGTGTCTGATGTGTCTGCAAACCGCTTTTTTGTCGCTTTTACATTTTTTCTTCTTTTTTTTTGCAATTATTGTCATTGTTATTTTTCATTACCTTAGCATGATTTTGCAGATGCCCGTTTTACCTGACATCTGTTCAGATTAAGACTGATGCCGACCTTCTCTATAACGCATTATTATTCTTAACGTCACATGACATTCTCATAATAATGATTACAATATTATTATATACGGTGACACTACAAAGTGACATGTCTTGTTTGTCATCTATTTCCAAGAGCCAATGGGTAATACTATGAGTGTTATTCATGCCGTTTCCTCTGTTTTTTCGTAATAATTACCCGATTATATGTTGTGCAAACATAGTTCATTATCGACGCCCTTCTATTTTTAGCTCATCGCTGGAGCTATCTTTGTCCCTTTAGGTGACTGCCAGTTGACCAACAAAGTGAAAGAAGACAACCGTTGTCGTACGGTTGATCTACCCATTCTAGACCTTGAAGGTTTACTAGCTGAGGCCTAGGAGCCGCAAAAATTTTTTTCGCTCATCATGCTGCTCGTTCATTCTAATATCTAGGCTATTTATTAATATTATAATTAATAATATCAATATATCATTATTATCAATCATTATCTTACAATTATCAACAGCATATCAAAACCCAGAGATCATCTTTTCTTCTGTTCCAGCTATTATCTCTTCTGCTCGCTTTCTCGCAGTTTCTTTCACTCTTGATTTATTCAATTCTGCTTTCATATGGTGAGTCATTCAGTTTTTGGACTTTTTTTCTTGTCATCATAGCCGAAATCATAGCCACTAGCTTTTCTATGGTTTAATCATGAAATCATTATACCGTGATCATTCTTCTCATTTTTTCCACATTATCTTCGTATTTTGCCTTCATTTCCATTACCTCATCTCGCGGGACTCGCTTGTTTTATTTCCGTCGTCGCCTGGTTGTTATCGTAGTCACCACAGTGTTACTATAATGTTGTATCGTCTCGGCATGTAACGTAACTGTCTCGACATTACTGTAAGCAATAATAATTATTGTAATGTGCTGTCTGCTTTTCACGTAATGTATCTATTTGTTTTGTTTATCACGCTATTATACACATATTTACATTACATTTGTACCGATTTCAAGGGTAACCAAATATAATTACTTTATACTCATGCCATCATTATTATTATTAATAGTAGTATTACTGTTGTTATTATTATTGCCACAAGCAGTAACGATATCCGCTCTCCTGTTCTTTACTCCCCTATCGCCATAACTATCGGGGTTCCACCTATTCATTTATCTCCCTGCTTCCATTTTCAAGCTTTACCAATACATAAAGTCATCGACTTCGAAGATTTACAGTTACCGTTACTAATTCTCGTTAGTGTTATTTCTATTATAATTCTCATAATCGTGTGCAACTGTTCCACTTTTCTTCATTCAGCTATTATCTTTCCACTACTTAATTTCTTTTCTACACTTCTCCGTACGTATGAACTCTTGTGAATGATAGTCGGTCGGTGTACATGTAAGTACATGTGCGTGTGGACACTTGTTGCAGCTCTTTCTTCTTCACCTTTTTTAGTTTTGCCCATCCCCTCTTTTTTTTATCAGTTTATTATTTCCTGCAACACAAACTGCAAAGCTTGCACCCCTCCCTTGTTCTGTCTGTCGTAACTTCTCGTGCAAAGTAACTTTATCGAGACTGACCGCTGGATCGTCCCACAGTTCTATCTTATCGATTATCGACGCCTAACATTATTTTAAGCCAAATAATAAAATATGAAGCCGAAAGATCAATTGTTTTCTGGCTATCAAAAGTATAGTAACTGATCCATTTACACCCCTCGACGGGTCACTTGCCCAACGTTAGCGAGTTACCGCGGCTCTTACAAACCCAATTAGGCTGTATCCTAACAATGTTGTTGTTGTTGTTGTTGCTTCTAGTTGGTTAGACTCAATCCAGAGTTACATCATCGCACATATGTCGCGTAGGCTGTTGTCAGGTTTATTGCTACATCCTTTCGCAGCACATTCCTATAGGCGATGATACACTTAAGTCGTGTATTTGTCTACGTTACGCATATGCGGACACTACTATTATGATCTTTATGTTATTAGTTTCATTCTTCCTTAGATTGTTATTGTAGCCGTCATCGTTATTATTATCATCGAAGGGGACGCCTAGTTGTTATTTTAAGCGCAGTTGTTGTTCGTTGCTGGTATAAATAGGGAGATATATAATAGAGGTAAATAGTAACAATAGTAGTAGCGATATACTATACTTGTAGCAATAATTGTGGTGTGCTTATCGTACAACATCATTATTATTATAGCCATATCAGAAGATGGTTATAGGAATTATTATATTATCATTATTTATATTATTCTTAGCGGTCATATTGTTAGATGATGTTCTGGTATGGTGGTACTCAAGCAGCAAAGGATCAGCTTAGGACTTCAACAAAGCATTTTCACACACACGTTATCGAACTATTATCATTATTATTTGCTTCTTTTTCTAGCCTCTTCTGCACTTCACTATCACCTTCACCCTCAATATCATGCTAATCTAGGCATTAATATTATTATTACTATTCTTAGTCTATCGCATCCCGTAGATATATAATAATAGTCATGCTTATTACTAGAGTAATAATAACCCTAGTAAATAGAATACAATAACAATGATAATAATATTATAGATCCTTGTATAATAGTATGTGTATATATATATATATATATATATATATATATATATATATATGGTAGATATGGACTACCGTACATGTCTGATGATTTTATAATCATATTCATGAGGGTGTGTTTAGATTTGTTTTTTTCTGTTGCCGCCAAAATTTCTTAGGCAGTTTTTTCGTCTCTACGTTCGCTTCTGCTACCAGAATTCCACCACTGTCGTCGTCTTAACATCAATTCGCTTGTTCACATAGGAAACGTATTTCAAGTACCACTGTTTTTTGATGCGAACACACAAATTTATAATATACAGATTCTTTGTTTCCTACAGCATGTTTCATTGTTTAGTACCACCCGCAGCGCATTGTGTGTTTGCTTCGAAACCACGGAAATAAGTATAATCATTACACTATAGCATTAATGACTGACAGAAATCGAACACTCTGGCTGCTACGTATCTGACAGCTCATTTGCAATATGTTGTTTTGTGATTCAGTTGATGCTGATGGTATTTTATCATATCATGATAATTACATACGACGGTTTGATAAACGCCACACCTTCGCTCTCTGGTTTCTGTTTGTAGATGGACACGTATCTGCTAGGTAGCCGATCCTGTCACATAAAGGACGACGTTCCCTGCAACATATGTGCTGTATACGTAGGGAACAGAAAGGTGGTTGTCCATCTGTTGATTACATGACGCTACACGTTAGGGTACATGGCACAACTAGGACAATGCAGTACGGTCACTGCTTTGTCGATTTAATATCCGCTGTCGGCCGCCTGCAGTTCGCAACAAAAGCGATTAGTAGACCTACTAGCTAAAGGTAGCTTTCTTTACACAGATCTTTTTTCGACAAAGTCGCTCCTTTTAAATTGCAGCAGTTCCGTGTCTCCCTGTGCTCCTGTTGTGTTCTTTGTTATGTGTTTCCTTTTTCATGTTCCATTTGTCTGCTTTCTTCTGATCATTCCTTCTTTTAGCAGCGAAGTTAAATTCAGTTCTGACGCATGAAATCTTTCACGATTTCATTCGGTGTCAATAACGTCGACCGAACATCCTTTCAGCTAAGCCGTCTCATATATTTCCATTAGGGATAGTTGCTGGAGAGGAGCCGGTGTTATCAATCCTACTTGAGCGTCTAGCAAAAGGCTTCCTTTTTGCCTCATTAAGTTAGTTGGTTTCCCACTCATCATCAAGCGGATCGAATTGGGTACGCCGAACGTCGTTGGAGTCATCACCATTTAGGTCTTGAAGAAGTCCGAGGGGTGATTCTATTTGCTGTTGTTGATCTTGATCATTTGTCACTTCATCCTCGTCGAGATTGAAGTTCTCGCCAGCCACTTGGTTGACAAGAGAGTCTACGAGGGATTCAATGAGCTCTGAATCGCGGCATTCGCTGTCCTCTTCCTCATCATCGTCACTCGAGCATGATGCTGACTGAAGTTCGGCACCTGCGATGCAAAATGAACACCGGACATCACGTCGAACAACGTAAAAATACAGTACAAACCAAACCGCCCGAAACTGCTTTAGTAAATATAATTAAAGCAAACATTTTTGGAGACCAGACAATTTCAGCTTTTTCTATCGAAATGTTCGCACGTAAAATACTGTGTTATTCACGCACTGCAGTCTAATAGGACCTTTCATTCTAATTTAAATGTCAAAAAATGGGGTACATGGTAATTTGGCATCATTAAACGTACCAGAAAAGGCGTATGTGTTGTCTGCTACTCGGTAGAAGAAGGGCTGGTCTTTGGGTACCTGCTCCCCTGGGGATAGCTCGGCTACAGAGTAAGGATGAATCGGTTCCGATGCAGGTCTACCCCGATCTAGCCATTCCTCGTGTTGCCATCCATCAAGACGCGAGCACAGTTCCCGAATAACCACGTCACAGTCGCCAAGTAGCTGTACATCGAATGGGTCAATGTGCGCCAACGGCTCACGGTTGATTAAGATCTGAGGCACTCGACGCTCCATCAATTGAGGAATCGAAGCCACTGGACGGACTTTAAGCGATGAGCCCATCACAATTAGAAGGTCGGCAGTGTCCTTATCCTCAGCGATAAGTTCGTGGAACTCCTCCGGCAAACCCTCGCCGAAGAACACGATGTCCGGCTTCATTACAGCCATTTGGTTTGGTCCAGAGCGCATATAGGCAGACTCGAGGTCCGAATCGATACTCGCATCACCGTTCGGGCTTTCCAGCTCTGACTGTTCCCAATGCTGGACTTCAGGTTGTGGACATCGGGGACAGAGAGGTACTCTTTGCGCAAAAATATCTTCACGAATTGCTTCACAATCAACCTGGTAGCCACATCTCGTACACGTCGCTGTTAAGAAGCCTCCATGGCAAGCAATAACACGCTCCAGCCCACAGGCGTACTCAAGAGTGTCGATATTCTGCGTGTAATTCCGCAAAAGCCGACCCCGCTGCTCAAGACCTCGAATGAAGTAGTGAGATGCCGATGGTTCGAACTGGCCCGGATAGATTTCCCGCGCAAATTTGAAAAACGGCCGAGGATCTCGTCGGAAAAATCGCATGTCGAACATGGCTTGTGGATCGGGAAGCGAGGGGAAATCGCGTCGCAGACGCGCATATATACCGTTTTTTGACCGGAAGTCAGGGATGCCGCAGGACACGGATACCCCGGCCCCAGTGAGCACCACTATCCTTTTACAAGTTGACAGCAGACGAAGGGCATCTTCCATTGTTGACACATCTGGAAGCCTGCAATATCACAACCAGTACTTAGAAAATTGCCCAGCTCGAAACTTGTTCTGAATTTCAATTTAAAGATACTAAGAGAGTTCTGCTAAGAGAAACCACTGAATAAGAGAGCACTGTTAAGTGTAAAATTCAACAGACAGTCACAATACATAATGAAATACCGGCTATTATTATATAAATTGTTCTTTGTGGTATTAAAAAATTTCACTAACACAACCATACATCTATACCCACCTTTGTCTTGGTGGCTTGTGGAACTCTTCCTCTTCACCTAGTAAATCTATGATAATGTCCCACATAGTCATCCGCTCAATGGTGTTCGGTAGACGCACGTTGGGTGGTAGGAGCTGCTCGAGCAAAGGGCGAGGATCAACGCCTGCCTGCATACGGGCCGCTATCCATGCGAGTGGGTCGCGCGTACTCCTAAGGGCGTGCACGGAGTCAACACCCCCGCTGCTAGTGTCACTGATAAGGCTGCCGTCGCTGCTGGGCTCGCTGACAGGGCCTGGAACAGCGACATCGTCACATTCGCTGGCCGACGAATCATCGCAGCGGCCACCAATATCGTGGAATCCTGAGTCGCCATTATCTGATGACACCGCTTCTCCCACCTCTAAAAACCCCAACAATAATGTGCGAAGAGTATAGCATACATCGAAGTTATTGATAGAAGCAATGGTGAGAAAAACTTCAGAAAACATCATATTTCCTTAAATCTGTTGTTATACCTTTTTAATCTTGAATATAGTTGTTAAGATTAATTAACTGAACCTATAGTTAGGCTATTGCCATCTGATTTGATCCAACAAGGACAATAGCACTAGAAATCTAGAATATGCAATCTGCACTTTTAAATCGTGCACAGCCACTTCTAAATAGGTAAATATCTCTAAACTAGCCGCGTACAGAATCGATATAAATTTAGTATTAGTTTGTACTGCCAAAAACGACATTATAAATGTTTTTAGGTTTGGAGTCTGACATACTATTATATAGTATTACACTACCCCTTATATTGAATACATACATAGGTAGTGTTCGTTCACAGTATTAGAGTAATTCACACACTCGATGAAATTGTCGGTGTTATTGTATATATATTGAAGAATATAACAAAGGGTGTTCAATAAAGTGTTTTAAAACAAATATTTTACAAACGACTAATTTTTTTCTCTCCTTCTCTCTATATATATATATACTTAGATCGCATAACATAGCTAATGAACCGAAAATAGCTTTCCCATAAAAGGTTCTGATCTGAATACAGAGCGCAGTTTAAGATCCTTTTGATCTTTTAGTGAGGTTTTCCTTCTACTACTTCCTTTACTTCTATTCAGAAGTAATGAAAGCAGAAGATTTGGTTTAACGCCAACAATAATCGTCATTTGCATCGACAACACAAAGGTTCCATATAGCCAACTTCTATTTATCTACATATCATTAAAACGCCATGTGTCATGTTGTAACGCTCACACCTCTACCCCCAGCGGGCAACACTTGCCTTCACACCAACAACAAATTTCCGATTATATATCGGTAAAATAAAGACGAGCCTTAGAGATAAATCTAATCTGCACTACTGCTTGGCCGGCATCCCATCATTTTTTTACCACCTGCTGCTGCACTGCAGCTTTCTGCTATGGGGACAAAATCACTTCCATCATATTTAATTTTGGGTTCCACCCCTAAACAAACAAAAAGAAAAAAACAGCGTGAGTCGCCAGCAGAAGCAACATAGCAATCGCTATCGAAGTTCTACGTACGGTACCGTTATTAAACACCGCTTCAGACGGTTAATCCCAGCAGGATACAATGTCTATATCCTGTTTCGAACCTGGATCACTTCACCTGCATCTATATTTAGTAGGCAAACACGTTAACAGAGAATTATCACGAAGACAACAACTGCTACCCGCACCCTTTATATTGCGCACTCGCCCTCAACGTACTGTCGTCTGCTCGTAACAAATTACAAACACCAACAATATCGTGCTTGTTTACATCGTCGCGCTGACGTCCTAGAAGTTCGAAAATATAACTGCGAACAGTGCGAAGAACGGTCTTACAGGACACTCGCCGGCTATAGATTAAAGCCTATGGAACTACATCTCCGTGTTGCGGCTCGTCGCCAGAAATAAACGCTGACCCATCTATTCTAATCCGGTGACCAGCTAGCTATATGGATACACAGTCTGGGCCTTTCGTTTGTGAACTCCGCTCTACGAACGAAGTACATTCAAATTGTGTCTATTCGACGTGTTTGTATAGTGAGAGCATGAGATCATGGACCAACACAAAAAAAGCCTACGATAAGTGAAGTGGTAATAAGGAAACAATTACCAATTTAGATCGACTGAACACAGTGGACCACCAACTGGACGCATCAAGGTACAATTCACACTAAAAGTAAAAACAACAGAATAGAGAATGCAATACGAAATGTGTGTAATATATGTAATTCCATCGTTTTTTTATCGTATAACTGAGTATTTCATTGCACTTAATTTCAATAATCGACGGGCCATTTCAAAAACAATCGGCTGAAGTGTTATAAGAATTTGTGCTAATGAGATGTTGATCCGGTACAGCTGTTGCTGTTGTCCTCAATATATAAGACTCGTTTACTCGTAAGTGTTCGAATTCACAAAACTGGCAGGTTTCTTTGACTACCACAACAAAACGACCTAGACACATTCTGGCAGTTGCAGCCACACTAACAGCGACTGCTAGCAGACAACACCGTACTTATATGACACGCTCCAGTCAGTGCACAACATTCAACTGTAGTTGTTCCACACCGTGGAAATCCTTCGAAGTGCCACACAGAGGTGCCATCAGGGCGTACCACATGCGGCGAGGCAAGTCCTAACAGACCAGGAGTTGTTGAGTATACGACGACGCGGATCTGGTTTAGGGGTGGGGAAAACGAGCCCATAAGCGCAGTGAATAGTTGTAGGTAACGTTCTAGGCGCGCGCGAACTAACGACACCAGTTGTTGGATAGTTAAAAATGATCGAATTTTATTCAACGAAACACAACAACTATAGCAAGATTAGGCGGCGATCACCGGCGAGTCGCGCTTTTGCTATTTCTCGAAGCTTCGGCAAGCCATATTCGCACACAAGCTTACACGGTCATATAATACACGGGTACGAAAAACTACCAGGGCGGCCATATTGGTGGCCACAACCAGGCGCTGGACTTGCTGGTGGTTGCTGTTCGGGGCTTTCTTTAGCGGTACCACGGTGGCGCATGCGTGCCCGACGAGGGCGGTGGCGTCGCTGGAGACCAACGAGGCATAAGGAATTGGCCCCAAACCCCCAGTTAGGAACACCAGGCGAACCCAAAAAACGCCAAAAATCGCCCCAGCCGAGAAAGGCAAGACTCCCATCGGGCCGTATCCCCCGGGGCGAAGCGTATGTTAGGCTTAACTGGCTGAATGAGCCATCGCTGGATCGCTCGTTCAATGCAGTTAGGCCTAGCTGCCGCCTATCCGACGCCTTAGCGCCTGGGCGACGCGGGCGTCAAGTACGGGGTTTTGGGGACAACGTACTTACCATTCAGGCGGTCGGGGGCACTCGGGGGCTCACAGACGTCGTCGCACGTACGCATCCGTTTCGATGGGGGTTCCGCAGCGGCATCCAAATGTGGGTAAATTTGAGCATTTTGCGAAATTTCGGGTCCAGCCATATTTGTACATTGGCTCCTGGCTTGGAACTGCCACAGCGATGGCGATAACCATGAGTCACGCGAGGGCGCTCTTGTCGATCGCCGAACGCGACCTCTGTGGTTGCGCCAAGAACTACCAATGCTGCTACGACTTAGATACAACTCTATGCGCCGAATAACGACTGCTTCTGCTGTTCAGCACGGCGCTAGATAGATAAGGTGAGAGAGAGGCCGCGAACAAAAAGAGCGGCGGGAGTTTTTGAAACGGCTAGCTGTGCTATCGCTGGTGCTACTGCTTGGCTGGATGAGTGAGAAAACAGGAAAAGAGCAAGAGGCTGTTGGGTGTGTGTGACTCTCTTGGGTGCCCATTGGCTCTATGGCGCCATGGCGCCAAGCTTTTTTTTTTGTTTTCATTTCTATTTATTCAGGAGATCGAGCACTAAGTTCCTGACCGCACATTAAGCCTCATGTTAAAGATATTTGCTGGTCCTGTGAGGTTTACACCACTGAAATCCCGGTCTCGGTAACCTCGGCCACTATCTCAAACTACTTGCGTTTTACTTAGGGCAGTCGCTTGCCAGTGCCGGCAGGTTCACTGGTAAGGAGGGCAACCCATGTCCTGTCTCCTAATCCGTCTTCCCTCTGTTGCCGTTCCTGGGATAAATTAAATACTTTTGGACTGGCCCTTCTTATATCATATGATTACCTCAAAAAGCCTAGTTGTGGCTCTCCATTCTTTTGCGAACTTAGCACCCCTTCAACAATGCTTTTGACTGACTCCGTGCGCTGTTCTGATTCTCTATAGAGGCACTGCAGCATAAGTGTGTGCTCCACTCCGTCCGACTCTTCAGCAGCGCGTAGGTCATCAGAATTCTTCTTGACTTTAACCACGTACGTTTGGAACTGACCCTAACCGCTAAGCAACTTAGTTACGTAATAAGACAGCTTTCACTAACATGTCCACGCCCACATCCATTGAACCACAAACGGAATGAAAGGCCGGCGAGCTCCAAGACGCTTTCTCGGGTCCATTTGGCTTGCTACTTTTGCAGCGTGTTCTCTCTTGCCGTAAAAACGAGACAAGTTCATTTGCCAGCAGATTCCAGGGTATCGTTCGCATAGTGTCAAAGTAGACGATACTGTCTTGCACGCCCGAGCCACCCAGTTTTCTAAATTAACCTGAATGTTTCAGGTCTAATAAACTTTTGCTACTGGAACTGCATAAGCCCATACTGAGGATCTGGAGAATGTCTCTGACTTTGCTATCAGGGTTAAAGGAGCCTCACTTCACCCTCGACATTAGACGGACTAGACTATGCGCTGATATGATGTGCCGTTACAGTTGCGTACCGTGTACGCGGCGTCACTGTTAGCTCACCATCCCTCCTACTGCGACCCCCCGATACTTAGCCGTTCTTTTTAATATTTTTATTCCCTTAAGAATAAACTTAACTTCGTTAAGTTTTTTTTCTGCTTGTGAGGTTTATTGCTTGACGTTTCTACGAAGCTACCTTGAGACAGCGCTATTTAATTTATACTTATTTGAAATTAAATGCCTCATTAACTTTTCTTTCTAGCCCAGTTTCCCTCCATGCGGAGATCAAGAAAGCCAGGTCATTTACGTAAATGTGGTACTCAATGCCCCATGAAGGATAAGCAACCTCCAGAAAATCATCAGGAGCGAGGTTTCAAGGGGTTGAACTTAACACGGGGAGTCCTGGAGGACCCCAGCCGGTACCTTTATCCTCACTTTTCCGGTTTCTAGTGTGCCGTTGAAGAAGTATGACAAAGTAATCAGTCGTAGGTATGGCGATGTAAGCTTTCTCTCCAGAACTTCCACTGTTACTTTTTAGCTCATTGAGTAGAAGCGTTGGAAGACTTTATGTCCAACAGGGTGAGCAAAACGAAGTTCGTGACCTTCGTACGGTCGAAATGCTTCTTACTTGGCCAAAACCTTTTTAACAGTATCTGTTGCGGATTTCCATTCTTGGAACCCATAGTATGCTCCCAAGACAACTCTCGTCTCTTCTATCTTTTTACCACTCTGTTTATAATGACATATTCCATCACTTTTACAGTAGTATTAAGGAGGTTTATTAGTATTTTTCTACCCGGCACCAAAACCCGGTCGGCCTAGTTCTACGAGTAGGAGAAATGTCCTTCTACCATAAGACGGTTGGCCATACCTTTGAGCAATTTTGGCCGTTTCGTAATCATAAGTTTCTTTGCCTCCCGCGGTACCCCGTCTGGTTCGGGTGCCTTTCCAATTGCTCGTCGTGTCATTGCCTTCTCGATCTCTTCATGGCGCCAAGCCTATGCCTGCTGCGTTTGCCAGCCTGCTTGCCTCCGTGTGTGTGCTGCCGGCTTCTCCGTAGTGCGCGATCGTTGCTCACTGCGCGCCAGTTAGCCAGACCGGCCGCCCATCTGTCCACCTCCCCTGTGTGTAAGGGGAAAGAGTTATCAGGATGGGTGTGTGTGTTGTGCAGTGAAGCAGTACGTGAAAGCCACAGCATTCCCTCGTCGGCTTTCTGCGGTCCCGCGATACTTCTATTGCCAATTCTGCTGCTGCAGTTTGCCTCTGCGAGTAGCATGAGCAAGTGGCTCAGATGGTGCTGCTCTACGCTTTTATCTGTCGTCCGGTTTTCAAGTAATGGTAGCAATAGTAGTTTCTAATACAGCAGTAGCTGCAATCTGTAGCATCGCTGCACAGCATGGCAGGCGGTGTGAGCAGCCATGGCGCGCTAATCGCGACCGACGGCAACGCCAATTCGCCGTCCACTGCCGAGCGATGGACGGACGCGAACGCATCGTAGAGAGGAAGGAGGTGTGGCGTTCAGTGAAGTCGTGGTGGTGATGGCGTTAGCAGTCGTCGGTGCAGAGCGGAGGTCGCATAAAACAAAGAGAAGAAAAAAGAAACAGCGATTCACATAAAGCCATCAGTAGCAGTAGTAGTGTGTAGTAGTCGTAGCGGTAGTCATTGACGCTGTCTTCGTCAGTTCGTAACGCATTCGATTCACAGGCACAGTTCTATCTTTGTCATTCGGTACGCCATCCGTTCGCTTTTAGTAACCGAGCGACTCATTGACGCTCTCAACCTTTCATTCTCTCTTGAATCGTGGAGGTGTTGTCCATACTGATATTAGGTATAGTATGCAATGCGTAAGCGTTACGCACATGTGTATGTTTGGCTAAAATATATATATATATATATATATATTACAAGTGTTGGGGAAATTCGTTCCGCTGCTACTGCTGCTGCTACTGGTGGAACTCCGTCGCGTTAGTCAAAAAAAAGCAACATACGCAGCGCGACGAACGGTCACCAGTCGAGCCCTCAGCGTACTACGACCCGCGAAAATTGCAATATTTTTCTAGGGTGATGGTGGAGCTTACGGCGCTAGTAGGCTTGAGGCCGTTGCAGGCCGGTGGGCCTCATATAACTCGTCAGTGCCGTGCGTGTGTTGTTGCCATACATTGAAATCAGCCAGCGCTTGAGCTAACAGCTGATAGCAAAGCTTGGCAACCGGCTTGTCAGGCCCTCTGCCTCCTTTTTCACCTGTCCGCCTGTCGGCCTGCCGACGAATTTGTTTGCACTGGGCGTAGTCATAGACACAACGCAAACCAACCACCGCCGCCACTGCCGCCGTGCGTTCGTCATTGCCTCGCGCTACGTTCTATGCTAGATATTTTGGGTCACTGCTACTGTTGTTGCTGCCGCTAGCGACAATGGCTGCCGGCGCTAGGAGCGACGGGGAGGGTACTAGCCTTCGGGAGGAGTGCGTTGACCGTCGATGGCGTTCGATGTTGTTGCTACTGCAGCTGTAGCTGTTGTTATTATTGATAATTGTGATGATTATGGTTGACTGTGGTCAACCACCAGCATGAGACCACCACTGCTCGACTGCTGCCATCAATGGACAAAAATGAACGACAGCAATAAAAGTCGCCGACTACAACGACGGCGGCAACAGCAGCAGCAGCAACGACAACAATAAAAACAACCCACGTAGACATGTACGATGTATGCGCGCACACATTATACACAGAGTATAATAATGACATTCAATATTATATATTATAATAAACAGTAAAGAGTGGCATCAACCATACAGTTAACAATATCAGGAAATTAAATTTGTATGTTCACCGAGGGTGACAAAGAGGTGTCCCCCAAAGAGAGATCCGCAACTTTGTTTTGCAAATGTGAGTAATAATAGTCCACTGATGACAAAGGAGAACGGTCGGGCAAGCTGTCCGTCCAACCGACACAGAGATGAGTGTTTTGTCAGGACGGGTGTAAAGGCAACGGTGATGGGCGTTCCTATCGGATTACAACGCCAACGATACTGAAGCAAAACCACTATCATCAAGACAGTTGCCTTTTGCTAATACCTTAACAACAACGCCAAACTTGGTTGTTTTGTCTTGGGCCGAGTAGAACTTCAGACGAACCATGCGCGGCGGCGATGGCTGTGCCAGTGGGAGTGATACAGCTGATAGCATTAGCAACTTTAGGCTATGTAGGTTAAATACAGCCTGGCGAATTTTCTAGCGCGGGATGAAGATAACTTTAGGTATCCCAGAGGTTTAGATGAAATTAAATAAAAGGAAGGTAAAAAGAAATACACAGAGGCCTCTCGGTCACAAACGGACATAACAGAATGCATTTATCACATATGTGTGCTTCAACGTTTAAGATTTTGTAAGGATATTTTTATCTGTATTACCTACATTTGTCATTAGTCGTTTTTACGGAGGTCTGAAAGAACTCTTAGTATCGCCCGTAGTAGGCTTGTACGACATTTGTAGCGGTCTAAAAGGATAAACATAACTGTATAACTCTGCGCATGTCGTTTAATCAGTACAATGATGGAAGTATGTAATTGACAATATGACGAAGGTATGACATTGTGCCAAAGCAGCTTTCGTTGTGCGTCGCTGGAATTGTGTGTCTGATGAAGTCCAGCAACTGAAGTTGGGAAGGATAGTTGCGACTCAATGGAGTTTATTAGTGTGACTAATTCGACCACCCCGAAAGACAACGCTTTAGAGTTCTAATCCGGCATTATTTAAGCTTTAAATATTTTCGGTAAACTCGCCAACGTTTTCCTCGAAAAATTGTTGCACTTTAATGAAATCCGTCAACTTCTCA